GAGGAGGTGATGGGGGGGGAGCAAGCTCCTCAGTGGCGAAGACCTGTTGCTGGTGTTGTTGCTCTTCTTTGATTGCTTTGCTGCTGCTGCTTCTACTCCTACTCCTACTCCTACTGATTTTGCTGCTGATTGTGCTCTCCGGCCGCAATGGATCTGTTGGGGTTGAAGAAGAAGTGTCGATCCGGCTAACCTTAGAGTGACTACCAGAGCCACCGATCGAAGGCCTTTTAGATGAGGGTGTTGAAGGACTGATAGAGAATCCTGCAGAATGATGGCCGGCATCCTGGACTGGCCGGATGGTTTGTTCCGCTGTTGAAGTGCTCGAAGAAGAGCTTTCATTCTGAGAGTGAAGTGTTGAGAGTGAAGATGTCGAATAAGATCGGCGTTCAGGGAATGATCGACTAGTTGCCGATGGCAAATCATGGTGTCGTAGAAATGGCGCAGGAGGTCGAGTTGGCGAGGCTAATCTACCTTGAGGGCTAGATTGGTGTGATAGTGTGGATGAAGGGTCTATTTGCAGTGTTACAATCGCGGACGAAGGTTCACCAGGAGGAGGAGACGGTGATGATGGAGCGGGGCTAAAGGTGAAGGGCCGAGGCGATTGAGGGACAGGGTTGATGAGGAAAGAAATGGGTATCGACTGTGTTCGGCGTGGACGATCGGCCAAAATTGGTTGAGCCTGAGAACCGCTGGTGTTGAATGATGTTGATGTTGGTTGGGTGGTTGATGAGAAATCGAAAGATCCACTCGAGTTTCCTGTTGACTGACCAGGAGCGCCAAAGGCTGTTACTGACCCCGCGTACCAGGACACGGGCGATGCCGGTTCATGTTGTTGGATCGGAGAGTTTGAAGTAGTGGTGGCGGTGGTGTTGGGTGGTGATATAAGTGTAGGCGTTCCCGTAGATGTCGATGCTGATGATCGTTTTCTCGGCCTTGATTTCCCAGATGGTGATGCTGGGTTGTTGGCCAATTTCCGCGGGTGCATGAAAATATATCGTGGCGATTGGATCCAGAACTAGCTGAAGAACGTTGAAGGTTGAATGTCGATTGGATCCTGTGTAAAAATGGGGTTATCGGGATTCATCCAGTTGTCGAATGAACGCTCAGAGTAAGTTCCGAGAAAATGAGATGGGTCCAGATGTGTGAAGGAGTCAAGTACGTGTAAAAGTAATACTGTGTAAAGGGCGATTGAAGGTTTTAGAAAAACGCCGAGTGGGCAAAAATAATGGTATTTGTTTTACTGTTACTAATGGGTCGAGATCGACGACTGGGTGGAGGAATGGGCCAAATGAAGAGGGAAGGAGAAAAAGAATGGGCAGTGAAAAAATGGAAGAACGACAGGGAGAAATGGGGACGATCTTTGGGTGAAGGAGGGGCCGCAAAAAGAAACGAAATTAACAACAGAGCGGCGAGGAGGAGCGACAAAAGTTTGCTCCGCACTTGCGAAAATGAAGCTCGGTGGAACGGACAGAGCAGTCAGTGGAGGATGGGGAGCAATTGGAAGCAATTGGTGGGGAAAGAAAAATGAAGTAAAGGAGCTGTCGAAGCGAGAGAGCGGATGGGCAAGAAAGAAAAGGTTGGGTATGGCGAAGTGAGTGAAGAGAAAGGTTTGGAGTGGACGGATGGCGATGAAAAAATGTGATGATAGTGAAATGAGAAAGTAGAAATGAGGAAAAAAAATGGAGAAGAGGAAAGGCGGAATGAAAAGCGGGAAGGAAAAAGGGGGAAAAGGGAGAAAAGAAAAATAAACACAAGTAAGACGAAAGAAAAGAAGAGAAGAAAGTGAAGAAAGTGAAGAGAAAAGAAAGAAAAACAAAAACGAGGGAGGGGAAGATGATGAGAGAGGTATAGAGAAGTACGAGAGAAAGTGAAAGGTAAAGAGTTTTGATAAACTTGGAGAGTTTTGGCCTCTGAGATCGATAGAGTTGCATTTGATTGACTAGTCTTGGGACACACAGGCACGTTATCATCGCTCCCATCACACACCCTCACCTTTTTTTCTTTTGCCACTCTCACTCAGATCTCTCCCTCCACTGCAAACCACTCTCCAATCTCTCTCTCTCTTTTCCTCCATCTTTGCAAACAACGAACAGTCAATTGAACTCTACTTTTTTACGCTTCTCGTACGCTGAACTTTCGCTAGCTGCCGTTTGCTCATCCGCCTTTTTTTCCGCCCCTGCCTGGCCATCGGTATCAATTCAATGTTAGTATCATAATTTCCCATTCAGCAATTACAATGCCACAGCACAGTCTGTGGAGTTAGATATCGACCACTTTTCAATGGCAAAGGCCCCATGTCCGCGGTCCCTCCCCCCCTTCTCCTCTTTGCTCTCCACAACTGTTCATGTTTTCACGTTCGGGGTTGCATACACATTCGGCTATGCCGCCTAATTGACGACATGTGGGCAGATGTACCATTGAAAAGTATCAAGAACAAACGGCACAATGGATTAAATGGATGATTTTGGAACGAGTGTGTAGAATGAATAGGAGTCAAAACAAAAACAAAAACAAAAAAAGGGCCACGCATGGACACCCTCCACTCACTCGGGCAGTTGCACCGCACAGCAGGATGAAAAAAGGAGTGAGATCGAAATATCGAGGGATGGAAGAGGGGAACAATGGGTGGCGATGCGAGAAGACAAGGCTAGCTTTTTTCCATTTCAAGAGAATTGAGCTTATTCAAGCAAAAAAGAATTACAACAACCTGACCTCCGATTTATGGCGAATGAGCAAGGACGACGAAGAGTGGCATTTAGTAAGGACTGAGTAGAGAGTGAGCATGAAATTTTAATTGCAAAATTGTCTTCTATCAACTTCCAAGCAGATGGTAACATCAACGACGAGGGGGAAGGAAATAAAATGAGAAGGGAGAAAGTATTTGCCGTGTAGTATTTTCTTCCTTGATCCCATCCTCCCACTTCGACATTTTTTTTTCTTTTCTCGCCACACCTCACGGACTCGCTTGATGCATGAAATCTCTCTCCCTTTTGTGCCATTTATTATTTTCCCGCGCACATTTCAACACACATTGTCTTTGCAGATTTGCAGGAAATCCATCGGGCATGAAAGTGCTTTCGATCAACAAACAATTGAACAGTCTCTTAAGACCCCTTTTTTACAGTTTGTGTCCCACTCTTTTTTCATTACACGTTCATGTATGCGAGTACTAAATCGTCCTCCTCTCTTCTCTATTGCTTGTGTTGTTGTTTTCGTGCCCATGTGTTTTCCTTTTGCCCACTGAATGCATCTTGCGAGTGATTGTGTCTCGTGTTTTTCTTAATTATCTTAATATTGCTCAAAATGCATCACGCCGTCGAAATGCATTGTGATGAAAGAGGTTTTCTTTTTTGTCCCCCTTTCTTTTCTCAGAAGAGCAACAACAGTAGTTGGCAAGGAAACGACAGGAACGAAAAGTAGGAGTGGTAACTGATGAAAGAGGGTGGCAATTTTCGCGGTATATGTTCTTATTTTCTTTTTTTTTAGACCTTTCACCCTCTTCTCCTTTTTCCTCTTCACAAAGGAGAAGAGTAAATGTCAGCCAGCCAACCAACCAAACCCCAGCTGTGCTCCTTATTCAATTGATGCAATAGACTGTCAAGGCCCTTTTCTATTCCGTTCTGGAGTTCAACTTCTATGTTACACACGATTGTCCACTCTATTTTGAGTTTTTCCTCCCCTCGATCATGTTTTTCATTCTCTCCTTCCTAATTGCTTTTGGGTTCAAAAACCCACTTCTTCTCCTTGTTTTCTACCCAAGTCGTTTTTCGTCTCTACCCTTGGTTACATTACCTTCTCACCAGTTTTTAGTTCTCTGGCAGACTCCTCCTGCATGCACCCCATGCCCATTCATCATCACCACGCTCCCGACAACCAGCGAGAGAATTTTCCGCAGTGTCATAAATGCTCTGAAGGGGGAGAGAGGAGATGAAACCAAGTCAGCGAAATCCCTCTGTTCCTGTCCATTCAATAAGGCCACGGTTTTATTATACATTTTGTGGTATCGTTATATTTTTTTTCCTCCCCTTCTTCCCTGGGTTGTGAGCGGACGCTGAAACAATTCAATCGTCCGTATTTTGTAGATCTAGTTAATCTTGTCTCCCCTCGCCTCCCCATTGTAATTTTTTTTCCCGCGCTTTTTTACATTGCGTTTTGTTTTAGGGGGTTTTTTTCCCTTTGCGGTGATGTCTTTCTTTGATGGGGGGAAGAGGGCTGAAATCAGACGCATCGCATGGCTCACGTTTTTAATATCAACCCCATACTTGGTCCTCCTGAAAAGGTCGAGCAGAGAGAGAGAGACGGAGACTGGGCAGAGAGACAAACAAATGATGTCGATTCTTTCGGCAGGCGATGATGCTCTCACTGACTGCGGAACTGCCCACAGAGTCTTGTTGTCGATGTTTGTTTTGTTCATATCCATGCTTCATTCATGCTCCTTGAAGTCAGCAACGTTGGCATTTTAGTCTAGGGCGAGTTATGGGAAGAAACCATCAACAACAAAAAAAAAAAAAAAAAAAAGGAGAACCCTTTTGCTTGGCCATTCGGATTGAAACAGTTGAACCCCTTTGCTATGTTGCGCGGGTGAAGGTGCGGGAGGCGGGAAAAACAAGCGATCGATTTAGATATTATTTTTTTACGATCCACCATTGCCACGTGTGAATATCGGGAGAATGGAAAAATAGCAGTGGGCACAAATATCCACGTTTGCATAACATAGCTTTTCTACGCCAATTGTTCGCATTTTACACATTAGATTACGAAAGAGGATTCCGTCATTCACATCTGGAGTAAAAAAAACCCCCCCAACCAAGAATTGGGTTTTAATCATGAGGAAAATGAGGGCACATACAGTAGTCTACGCCCACTTATTGCAACACAGACCGGGAGCATTGTACCCGCCCGCGGAACATCCGATTAGCAAGTTGTAAGCAAATCTCATAAGCAAAAAAACCATCCGTCATTCAGCAAGTTTCCGCCGATCCCCCTGAGATTTTCTTCGTTCACTTTTTGGATTTTTCCACTTCAGAGACCTTCAACTCTGCTGCTGTCAGAAGGGCATCCCAAGAGAGGAACACCTCTGACAAGGTATTGATCTATTGTTTACAAAAAGGAAAAATGTTACAGATGTTTAGTTGAAATAAACCAACGCGTGGGGTTTTGAATAAAAACTATGAATGAGAGAGAGCGGAAGAGACAGAGGGGTCTCGCAATATCAAGTGCATTCAACTCAAGTACATTCAACCCAAGTACACTCAACTCTTACCAGCCCATTGTAATCATCTGTCAGCTTGTTGACTTTGTCAGAAACTATGTTGGACTCTTGACACTGCTCAATGTGGATGGTTTCGAGCTTAGAAAGGACGGGGTATTGGGATTCGACATCTAAGCACATCGGAAAAAAAATCATTAATTTTTGTATCCAAATCCTTGGTTGACAGAGATACCAAACGTGGAACGAGTATTTCTTCTTGTGTTTTCTCGACCAAGTATATAATTTTCTACGTTAGCTTTTTTTGGCCAAAACAAGCCTGTATCTTACTTTTGAGGCCGCCGATTTCGGCACAGCGTTGTAAACTCTGGATGTCCTTGGACTCTTCAGAGAGTTTCAGGAGCTCGTCCTGGGCCGCCAAGATAAGCTCTGTCTTTGCCAAGAGCGTCAACAGCTCCCTGTCCGAGTGGCTTCCATTGGCCGGCGTGATCAAGTTGGACGCCTCGTCTAGCGTAAATGAAGTGTACGATGATGGTAAAAGTAAAGACTATTAGCACATACTCTCGGCCAAAAGGCTACTCCGACAAGTACGACCTTTGCAATAGTCTAGTAAAGCATCCCATTGTTTCAATTAACTCGACTCTCACGCTATCACCGTTTCTTTGCGAGAATCTAGTCAACCGCGTATTATTTTTCAGTTTTCTGCATTCTATAGGGTGTGTCCTGTTCAGGACAATACACAAAACTATTTTGCACTCTCCATTGCTCCACTATTTCATCTTCACCACCTTCTTCCTTCTCTCCATGTTCATATCATTCGCTTCTCTTCTCACACTTTCTTAAAATGACCCCATTCTTCCATTAACATGTCTTCTGAATACACCTGACACCACCCAACTTCGATATGGAACACGAACAAAGAAGAGGTAAAAAGAACTTACACTTCTGCAAGAACTCCTCGGTAGGCTTTCGCTCCTTGGCAGCCGCCCACAGCGTGGTCTCAATCTTCTGAATACGCCTCGACAGCGAGCCCGCAGCAGCAGCGTTCACTTCGTGGCTGTGATAATGATGGTGGTTCCGGGAAGGGTGTTGCTGAACCAAGTGAGGGTCCCCTCCTACGCGTCCTCCTCTCGGGGATGACGACGTTGATGTGCTAACAATATCCTCTCCTCCTCCTCCTCCTCCTCCTGGTGTGGTATCCTCCGTTAGACTCTCGTTCTCATTCGACAACAATGACAAAGTGGATGTGGCTCCTAGAAAACTACTTCCACTTCCGGAGGCTCTTGCTGCTGCCGTTGAAGTGGAAGGGGCGAGCAAGGTCTCGAGGGCGCGTATACGCTGGGAAAGACTTTCGAGGTCTTGGAGTTGCTGTTCATCGCCAGAGGATGCGCCATTGAGCGTTGAGGTATTTGAGCGTGCGCCGAGCATCGTGTTTTTGCCTTGTGTGGGGGGGTTCCAGTTGTGTGTTTTTTTATGGATTTGAAGGAAGGAGTGATGGGTGATTGACTCTTGTAGGGTGATGGTTTGGTTGTTCCTGAGGGGTGTTAATGGTTTAGGATGATGTGATGCTAAAGAACGGTGGCAGGTCCACTTTCAGGGACAGCGTTGGGCTTGGTGTCAGTCAGGAAAGGGCAAGTCTGACCCGTGGCTTGGATGGGGGGTGGACTGTCTTTTATCTCGTGCGCGCACGAACAAAAAATCTGGCACGGTCAGGCACAGGCACAATCTCAATCAAAGAACAGACGACACACACAGACAGGCACATGCAAGTTTGGTTTTTTATTTTCACCAACAAAAATAAATGAGGCAGGGGTGGGATGGGTGACAACGTCGTGCAGTACTAGTTTTTTTTTTTACATAAAGTCATCAAACTCATCGTAGTCGTTACTGTAGTCTCTGGTGTCGACGGTGGTAGCAGCGACCTTGGTGGCAGTCAACGAGGGCTTGCTGCTTCCTTTCTTCTTGGTCTTCAAGGCATCCTTGGCCGCCTTCTGCTTCTCGTTGGCAAGAGTCGTCAAGGTGCTGGCAAACTTGCGGACATCGACATCGCGGGTGCCCTGGGAAAGTTCACGGAAAAGTCCCTCCAAGAACGAAACATACAATCCTTGTTTCTAATATGTCCAATTGCAATTTTCCATGCATATGTTCGTTAGCACACATGTTTCAAGAGTAAAATCAGATCCTGAACTCCTGTTGACTCTGGGCGTAATTGCATACCTCGTGCTTCTGGATAAGGGCAACAAGCTGGGTGGAGAACTCGTTAAACTGATCCTTGGTCTTGGGCTTCATGGTCTCCAAATCGCTAGCAGCAGTGACGACTATAACGAAGACCAAGAAAAGAGTGCACTGTTAGCAAATGTCTTTTGCTGTTTCTAATTGATTTACGCTTACCATGCTGTCAAATGGCAAATAGTTTGACAAAAAAAAACATACCACCATCAGTAACCTTGACTCCGCTGAAAAGATCGGCAGCATTGGCAATGTCAGACTCGATAATGGCGTTCTTCTCACGCTGACGACGCTCGAACTTCTCCTCCTCGGTCTCGCGCTCAGGGACAAGCTATATAAAAAATAATCAAATATTAGTCAGTTGGACGTCCTGTGGCACGAATAGATCACTAGAGATCACTCATCGATTAATTAGCTGCTTGTAATGACTTACAGCGGCCTTGGCAGCAGCGGCCTCCTTCTTGCGCTCAGCCTCAGCATTGCGCTGGGCAATCTTCTCGGTCAAGGTGATCTTGGGCTTGGGAGCAGCGGCGGGCTTAGCCTCCTCTTCAGACTCAGATTCACTGCTGGCATCCCAATCCTCCTACAAAAGGTTTGAGCGAAAACACAGAATTATAATGATGTAAGAAACAATTGCAGCTGGTCGCGTGTCCACTTTGATTTGCGATGATATTAACTTGTTTGGCGTAAAGTTGGACGCTTGCTGCGGCAGTGCTGTCAAGCCTCTGCTCTGGCAATACTCCTGATCCTATGTGGTCCTACAAGGATGCATGATGTGTCGAAGACTTTTCCTGATAGCTCTCCTCAAAGTCTCTGCTGGTGTTGTCGGTGCTGCATTGACGTCGAATTAAAGTCCAATATCTCAACTCTTTCACTCGGCTCCAAAAAGACAATGAGAGTAGAAGCTCACCTTGATGTCATCGGAATCAGCGTCCTCATCGTCCCACTGCTTCTTGGCAGGAATCACGGGTGCCTCAATAACGTCGTCGTTCTCTAAAAGGGTTGTAAAATAAAAAGGACAGAAAAGGGTCAGGTTTACTGATTCCTTTCAAGTGTCCAGCTCTTCCCGCAGTTTTCCTCCTTGGTCGCTTGGTCGTGGACAGCGTGCAGCGATTCGTGTGTAGAACAAACGGGAAGAGTGTCCAACAGGTCAGGGGGTCGAAGTCGACAGAATGAAAATGAAAGCTAGGATGTTGTCTTTGTTGTCCAGTGTGGTTCCTGGTGCCATTCTGTCCCCTCGCTGTGCACAAACGAGAATAGAGAGCATTTACGCACCCCAGTCAGACATGGTAAATGGTTTGTTGGTATGTGTGGTGAAGAAAAAGGTAGTGGGCTGGACAACCCTTGAGCATTTTTTTTTGTTTTGACCAAGTGAACTTAAGGGTGATAGCACTTTCCCGCCACCAACATTGAAGGTGCATTGGGCCTTATCCCATGATTTTCATACTTGGATCTGTCTATCAACTTCTCGAACTTATGTAACAACATATTGTCTGCACCGCCAATGGCTATCATTGGGAGTGGAAACCACTAAGCGGGACTTGACAGCTAGGCCCATGCTCCTTACTCCTCATAAGCCAAAGTATGCGGCCTCCTGAGAACCAAGGAACTGAAGGAGCGTCTGTTTTCCCTTTCTCGTTTAGAGTGACTGCCTTTTCTTGAGTACTTGATAGTTTTGTTTTCGAGAGCTGGCTTGGGACACTTTCGCCATTTCTGCCTTTCGACCATTCCTCAGGAACAAGGTACACATGTCATGTCATGACGCAGAGGGAGCAACGACAACTCGGCCGCAATAGCTAAACAAAGATCGTTCTCGCAACACGCATTCCTAGACACAAGACACGTTCCCTCCTTTTCCCAAGCCTCCTGCACGACCACTTTCACCGCGAACTTCGGGGAATAATGGCCTGGATAGGACGAGTCTTCGGAGCTGGCGCCCGTGGCACCCGTGGCGACAGACAATCACACCGCTGGTCCTCTTACCTTCACACAACAACAACACCTTTCTCACAGTCGACATCATTGACAGCGCGAGCGAAGATTCCGACTCATTCGGCTTGCACTCATCGTCGCTGGATTCATTCGTCCCTCAAGTCGCACAAGGACACAACACCAAACGCCACCAACTCAGCTTCAACTTCAACCACCACGAGAAAACAACGGTCAGACAAACTTGTGGGGAGGGGCAGCCACCTCCTGCGAAACGTCTACGTATGGACACCTGAGATCGACGCCAAGATTCTGGAGATGCGGTTAGAGGGCAATACCTGGCACGAGATTGGCGCTGCCATCGGACGGGAACACTCTTCCTGTCACCAACGGTACCTGAAGGAACTGGATCCTGCGCTGCACAGAAAATGGAACCCGGAAAATTTGGAACGGCTAAACGCGATGGTGGCGGACGGGAAGAGTTGGCGGTATGTTTCGGAAAAGTTGCTGTTTACTCAGAGCATCTGTCGCGAAAAATGGATGAGCATGAACCAGGATCTTGTCCAGAAGGCCAAAGAGATGAAGAAGCTTGAGCGTCCACGGGCTATTCGACTAGTACGCGAGTCGGGAGTCTCGACTGTCGAAACCTACAGGAAGTCCGGGATGTTGCCAGCCTCGAAATATCGCTGGTGCCCTCACGCCGAAGCTCTCCTGCTTGAGCTCAAGGATCGGGGGTTCAACTGGCGACAGATCGCATCGGTCCTTGGAATGGTCCCCATGAGCTGCTACTTGCGATACCAACATCAACTCAAGCCAAAGCTAAAAACCGGATGGATCCCGCCAAAAATCGACGCCTCCAACGTTCCTTATTATTTACTACCTCGGCGTATCCGGCCTCTTCCTTCCAATACGCTCGCGACCGCCGCCGCAGACCTCACTCCAAACAACGCGACAAGCTCAGCCTTAACAGCAACAGTGGGCAGTGGTGGATTTATACCGTGGCTCAGGACAAAGAACTCGTTCCCTAAAGACAACTCTGTGCCGGCAGCTATTCTCGGCGTTCTCACCGACGACTTCTCTTATGATGTGCGGGAACCGACCAGCTCCAGGACGAGGACATGGACGCCAGAGGAGGACATATTTATCATCACGGGGAGGGAACAGGGCGCCTCATTCAAGACCATCGGTGAGCGTTTGAAGCTTGATCCACGAATTTGCTACAGCCGATACTACACCGCTCTGGAGCCAGGCACACAGGACAAGGAATGGACGCCAGCATTGGTCGAGAAACTCCGGTTCTATGTCCAGCAGGGAGTCGCTTGGTCTACGATCGCCCACGAACTCGGATTCCATCGCGTCATTTGTCGGGAAAAGTATCTCGAGATTTCAAGGTCCCCTGAGCAAACGACAGAGTCATCCGGATCTCACTCTCAACAGGACGACACACACCCCGCGTCTTCTGGCACTACCACGTGCGGCGATAATGTCGCATCGAGAGAGAGCAATATGGAGGATGATCAGGACCTGAAGGACCACGTTGACGAGATGCTGGAGGAAGAGTACAGTGGGTCTGATGGCGACGATGATGACTACTTTGGTGACGGCAATGGAGACTCTGAGAACGATGAGGATGATGGTGATGATGATGGTGACGATATCGTACACATGGGCGACGCGGAGGAAGGTGAGGAAGATGATTCTATGACAGTCGTCAAGAGATCGAGGCAGACCAACAAACAAAAGTCGCCACCAATCAGCTCCCCAACAGTCAGAAGCATCTGGGATCAGGAATCTTTTATGAGAGAGCGTCAGAGGCTTTGGACGACTACAGAGGAGACAACACTTATCCAACATGTCATCAGGAACGGCACCCGCAATTGGGACGAGATTTCCAAGACCCTTGGTGGAACCCATTCGGCAGAGGAGTGTCGAGCCTACTGGAAGTTTCTTGACATGCCCGTGATCCGACATGCTCGAGATCGGACCAAGTGGAGCCCTCAGAGCGAGGCCTTGTTCTGGGAGCTGTGGCTCGAGAGGGGTTCGAACTATGAGGAGATTGCCAGGACGCTGACGGAGAATTATGATGAGGATGATACTCCTTCTGGAAACAGACCAGTGTTCGAGGCCAAGGACTGCGAGAGCTTATTCACGGCGCGGACAAAGCATTTGCGGAAGGATCGAGGACTAGACGAAACTCAGCTGCAGAAGGAGTATGTCGATATCGCATTGGTCCAGGCCAAGAAGCCCGCGCCGCCCTTCAAGTGGACCAAGGAGAAATCCGTCATCCTCCAGAAAATCATCCGACAGCGTCTCAAGACTCGTGGTGTGCAGGTCAACTGGATCAACTGGAGGTGGGTTGCCCGTCATGTCGGAGGTGGCGCCACTGCTCAGCGATGCAGCACCCATTGGCGAGCATTGAGAATGGTCGAAATGGATAAGGACAGTTGGACGGACGAGGAGGTTCTGCTGCTGGAAAAGGGTATCCGAGAGGTGGGCACCACTTTTAATGAAGATGGTGTAGCAAGCGAGATGGGCGATTATGCACCTGGCGAGCCAACGGTTCCTGGGTTCAGAGCCATCCAGAGGTTCTATCTCCCCAATTATGGAGTCGACTTCCTCCAGCGCAAGTACTTTTTGCTGTCGGACAAGGCGACCGAGGTCACTGTCCAGGAATACATGGCGATCTTGGAGGCTGTGGAAGAGTATGGGGAGCATCACTGGGACAAGGTCGTCAGGCGTCTACGGACTCTGCCTTCTTCCTCTTCCACTGGTTCGGCTCTTTCGTCGTCAGTGTCAATAGCCCCCGCTGCAGAGACCGCATGGACCAAGGCCCCCTGTCGCCGTGTCTGGGAATCGTCCTACAAGTACAATCTCTTATATACCCCTTGGTCGGCGGCAGAGGATCTGGACTTGCGAGATTCGGTTGAGCACCTTGGCAAGGGTGATTGGGCCCTGATCTCGCGCTTCTTCCCTGGGAAATCGGCCTGGCAATGTCGTCTTCGCTGGTGCCAGATCACCGACCCACACCTCCAACCACCTTCCTCCTCTTTTTCTTCTGACCATCCTTCTCAGCATCCTACCACCACATCATGACGCTTTTTTTCTCCTTGTTCCTTACCTTCAAAAGATTTAGAATAAAACAGAAGCGAGCCTATTGCATTTTTTTGATATCATAACAGGGTAAGCCTTTTTAATTAGATTATTTGTACATGCGGGGTGGGGGGGGTAAATAAATGTTTGACAGCACTAGCAGGTCTTCATTAAGAGACAGCACGAATGAATTTGAAGTTCTGGGCAAGATGTGTATAAAAGTTAAAGATGATCAACATGACCAACAACAACTCCAATCCAACCATGGCTCCCTGTCGTCGACACAGTCGATCCGTCAAATGGTGATCCGGCATATCCTCGTTCCACATCCTCTTCAACTGCTCCGCCCCAGCTTCTGTACAGCCATAGGTCCATATGTAGATATAGATAGTAATCGACAAGACCTGTGACCAAACGATCGACGCGATAATCTCGGAAACGATGACGAAAAGAGGTTTGGAGTTGGAGGTATCGAGGCCTTCGGGCGGACGTCTGGATTCCAGAAAGATGGTGAAGCACGAGTAGGCGATCGTCAGGAGGGAGAGGATCGTGGTAATAATCAAGGCCGCATTGTCGTTCGAGAGCGTCATAGTCGGGTTGTTGTTCGAGGCCTTGACCAGGATAATAATCGTATCCAGCGCTATCGCAAACAGTGAAACCGCCGTTATGATCGTCAACGATTTCAGGAAATTGGAGAACAATGGAGAGTTCAGGAAGCCCTTGATCGCATCCAAGTTCAAGGCCGTGTTCCTGGTCACATCGTATCCTTGGGTCAAGGGCAGCTCTGCGTCCTTTTCGTCCCAATTGGTCGACTCTGGTGGGTCGGTAGAGACGCATTGGCCGGTGGGGTATCCTCTCATCAGCTCCATGGATTCCTTCTGGTTGCGTCGTTTGGAGAGAGAGAGGCCCAGTCGACTACCACGCTTGAAGAAGGGCGAATGCGGTTGTTGCTGTTGAGGGGAGTGGTTTGGGCAGGTGCAGGTACAGATTGGAGTCGCCGTCGCAGTACTTGGATGTGATCCTGCGCTTCCGGTAGGCGAAATGGCGTTGATAGGTCCAGTCGCTCGTGGCTTGAACATCTCGTCCAGCTTTTGAGGAAACCTCCTCAGACTGGAGATAACATTGGCGTCTGGACTCTGAGCAGACTGGGGTTCCGTTGGAAGGGTCGATGTTGGGGAGACGAACGAGGAGGAAGAGGTGGCGTTGTGATGGTATTTGCGTGCCATTTCGGACAGTGTGGATACGTTGCTCATGGTCGCAAAGACGGACCAGTCCTGTTGGTGTCCTATGCCTGTCCCTGTTGCTGCCGCTGCTGTGGCAAGTGCACCTTGTCGGAGGGTAGAGTTGGTGGAAATGGCTAAGCCGTTTTGGGTGCTACGACTTTTGGCGCCATGCAACGGTCTATGGCTGTGGCTGGTGCTGCCAGTGCCGTTGCGAACAGCCTCTGAGACACCAGAGGAGGTGGAGGAAGAGCCTAATAGGGGTAACTGAGACGGGCCGGCCGCCATCTGGTCGGATTCCTGAGTAGTCTCTTCTGGCAGATCATTGAGAAGAAGTGAGATTCGCTGGTCCTGTTCTGCCCAGCTGTTTGTTGGTAGAACAGTAAGAGAAGGAAGAGTGTGAATGTGTGAGCGAGTTCGCTGATGATCTGGGGAAGAGTATGCAAGGATATTTTTATATGCTGTTTATGTCTTGGGTGTGTGGAGTGAGTATGTGGTTATGTGATCTTACAGAGGCAGGGTTGAGACGGCGGCCTTTTTGAGAGTCGCCCGCTCGATGTCGATGGACATTGCGGGGGACAGGAGGAATTGGGGTGGTTGCGGTGGAAGGGTTGGGGAGAGTGGATGAAGAAGAAGAGAGAGTGACGGGTGTGAGGGTGATGGCGAGTGGGGGGATGCGGCAGTAAAATAAAGAGTGGAGAGAAGGTATGAGGAAGAGAGAAAGGTATGAGGAAGAGAGAAAAATATGAGGAAGAGAGAAAGGTATGGGGAAGAGCGAAAGGAAGTGCAAGAGAAAGAGAGGGACAACAAACGGACTTTCAATGAGGTCACCTCAGCAACGGGGACTGGTGTGCAGGGTGTACTCCCATCCTTCAGCCAGTCAACAACCACCATTACCGCTCGGCCCCCACTTTTTCTTATACCTTCTTTTTCCTTATTTCTCCATCCATCCTAAGGCCCCGCGGGAAGACCTGGCTGGGACGAAACAAGTCGTCATCTCCCACATCCTTGATCCTTACGCCAATGATCATAGAAAAGCAAGCTAAGCGGTATTTTCCTATTTTATTCAGCACGAATCGAGACGGGAGGGGACTCGGCAAAATGACCACTTGAATTAAATAAAAGCGCCTCGTCCACCCTCGCCTTGACGCCCAACTGCAGCCTCCTCTCGACCTGCAGCACTCGATGCAGGAACAGATGGATGATCGACCCGTGTAAACTCAACCAAAAAGTTAGCCAGGCTGTAAGCCGAGTTGCTCTCTGCCTCAACAGAGTCCAAAGCATGTCCAGTGCCCTCAAAGACCTGGATGCGGTTCACACCATGGCTCTGGTCCTTCTTGATCTTGTTCTGGCGAGCCTGCCACCACGAGAACCCTTGGCTGGGAGGGACACGACGATCGCCGGCTCCGATAAGCAACAACGAGGGTGCTGTCACCTTCTCCACGTGCTCCATGGGGGACGCTGCCCTCAAACGCTTGAACACCTCAGGGTCAGAGATGGACGCAGTAGGAGGAGCCTCCATGTCAAAGGGCAGGTCGTTGACGGCATAGCACCAGTCGGTAATGTCGGTGATATTAGCCATTGCAGGGATGTCTGTCACAGGGTTGCGCAGGACAGCAGCCTTGAAGCCAGTAGGGTCTTTAGCCAAAAGATGGGCGGTAAGGAATCCACCGTGGCTTCCTCCGGTAACGACGGTGCGCTCAGTGTCGACAACACCAGTTGACAAGATGTGGTCGCGAACAGCCAAACACTCGTTGACATCCAGCTCACCAACACGACCGACCAATGCCTCAACACTGTCCTGTCCGTATCCCAGACTTCCCGTAAAGTTGACTATCGTAGTTAGAGTCACATGCGGAGAATTGGGGGTCAGTATCCACAGATCATCAACTTACGCCACTGCATGTACGCCATACATCATATATAGTGAGCAATTTACCATTGGCAACGGCAAAGCCAAGTCCGACAAGAACCAAGTTCAAGATGGAAAACTCTGCGGCAAAACCACTGTGAGGACCACCATGAGGGAAGATGACCAGAGGAGGCTTGGCTCCGCTGACAGCGCTCGACACTTGGGCAGAAGCGTTGGACTTGAAGGGCTCGATAAAGATGGCTTCCAGACTGTCGAGCTGGCCAGGGATCTTGTGAACGATCGACCAGGAATGGGGCTGGTAATACGCCTTGGCCTTCTCGACCTTGCTGTTCTCCAGACTGAAGAACTTGACCTTCAAGTCAATGTTGTCCTTTTCATATTCAATGCGGCCCAAGATGAGAATCCAAGGCTCTGTTGGGGTTGAGTAGGTTGTCAGAACCCACTTGGAGTTGGCAAATAGAATGTTGGTGGTTCCAGGGTACTGTGAAGCGGGAGTCAACTCTTCGATGGCGCCAGTGTTGACGTCGATCGAAAGGAGAGTCTTGCGCGAGCGGTAGCTCGACGAGACAAAGATCTTGCTCGCAGAGACCCAAGTGTCTCTGGGAAGCTGGTCAATGTATAGACCTGGAAATCCTGACGCGGCCTCTGGCTTGCGGACAATATCGACCACAGTTGAGACCTTTCCTGAAGCAATGTCAAGCTATACATAGGAGGGTTCACAATTGGCGTGAGTAAGGAAGCTCAGTTTGCTCTTCTCCTTGCTATGCCCTTTTCGATACATGTATTCCGCCATAGTTGTACCTTGAGGAGCTTGGCACAGCTAGCATGAGGTCCGTTGACCGTGTTGGACAGGAACACCTACATATCGTCAGAGTATAACGTTGTTAATATACCGTTCTGCCGTTCTGTATATGCCTTCACTCACGCGATGCATGCAACATTAACAGTAACAGTAACAGTAACAGGTAATGTACCAATGTCGATCCATCCGCGCTCAGTCGTGGGGATCTTGCGCTCTTTAAGGTTGGCGTCAAGTGCTTGAATCCTGATCCATCGACGTTGACCTGATACAAGCCGGTACTATTCCATAAACGACGTTACCAACGTAAGTTAGTGAGAGTGAAAGACAATACTCATTCGGATAAACCAGCAGCCGGAAGGTGCGGAAAGTATGTAGATGACATGCGGACAAAGCCATCACGCCATTTTCCCACAGTATGATTTCTTTGAAGGACATTCTTTGCAAATAGAAGTACAGTTGACGTCGTCTTTCAACTTACAGTCGGTTTTGGCAGTACACGATACCGAAGAACTGGGGGTTGCGAAGGTATCCGGTGAAGATGAGGGACTTGGAGTCATGGGAGAAGATCGCCTATTCATGCACACGGTTCGAGCAAAAACTAGAATGGTGAGTTTTTGTAACAACTGTTTTTTGACACTCCACCATTACGCGTCAGTCATTCACGGATGCGTACCTGTCCAGGACTAGTGTCACCATCAAGACGGTCCAGCACCTTGACCTCAAAGTTGTCGAGGTTCACGACTACAAGAGTGGGCTCACGCTTGCCAGTAAAAGTCTCGCCCCAATCGGGTTTGTAGTTGTATTTCTATGACACCAGTCAAAAATGGTTACAACGTCAGGTTTTCACGCTCATACAAGGCAATTAACCATCTTCTCAGGTGTAACAACAAAGCGGTGCAAACAGCATACCTCGACGGCATCCTCTGTCTTTTTACGCTCAGCAACGTAGACAACCTTGGTCTCGTCCTTGGACCACTCAAGGGTTCCAAAAGTAGAGTCTGCATAAAAGTCATCATGGAGCGCAGTGGTCTCCAAGAGGTGGAGGATGGATCCATCAGCCCAGATCTACAAAAAGAAGTGCATAAAGCAAAGAACACGAAGGGTTGGTATAGCGAAATCTTACACTGCCACGCATTGCCAATGGTCGAGGAGATAGTAATGTTCATCCCATCCCTCCTCATTTTTTTTTTTGTGTTTTTGCATGAACTGTTCGTCTTTTTCGTTCTTACCTCGACAAAGTGCTTCTTCTTCTCGCCAGCGACTGAACGAAGGGTGACCGACAAAGCTCCGGAAGGAGAAGTCAATTGGGCGATAGCATCGCCGGTATCGACGGAGGGTCCATTGAGGATCAAAGGAATTGACTTTTCGGCGACCGAGGCGACAACAGTGCGTGTGAACTTGCGTCGGACATTTCTCTCAAGATCTCTCTGAGAGTAGGACACCTGGATGTCTGTCATCAGACAAAGTATAACAGTCGTTGTAAGTTACGTTGCGGAAGAGCAATTCGATGCACGATCAAATATCGAAAAATGAAGTGTGGGTGTCTATGCTTACTGAGAGTAGAGTCTGTGGAGTTGGGGAGGATAGTGGCTCCGGAGTAGGAAGGGATAGCCGCGAGGGCCTTGAAGATCTCCTGTGGGGTTGCCATGGCGCGCGTGTGAATGAAAGAGAATGGAAAGTGAGTTGAAAGAGAAGGGGAAAAGAAGCGGAATGAGCGTGAGTCTCGCACCCTTTTTTGTGTTGGTTCATTTTTTCCCAGGGGACATATCGTTGCTCATACGCAGTGTGACTGTGCGATGCCTGTGTTGCAATTGGCCAATAGGAAGAGCCATGACCGTTCCAGGGCCTTTAGTTTACAGTTTTTTACACCCACAATAAACTCCAATCGATTCCTTTCCTTTCAAGGACACGAAAACATCAACATGACAACAACCATCTGGACGACTCTCTTTGGCCAGCCTGACAACCCCGACGACCTCAAGGGCCAACCAACGCTGTCAGAAGACGCCTGTGGAGACCTCATCCACTCTCTCGCCCGTCTCGGCTACCTCTCCAACATTGCCACCTCGCTCGACGGGAAATCATTCATCACCCACGACCAACTCGACACCGACATATTATCTCTCCTCGACAAGCGCAGCGGTATTGAACAACCCTCTGTCTCTCTTGAAAGTGGATGACAGAAAGGCGTGTTCAAAGAGCTTTTTTCTCACGATTTCAAACGCATTATTATTGGTGGGTAATCGTTTAGGTCGTGTGAGCGTGCTGGACCTTCCTAGGGCATTGAACACCAATTCGTCCGATATCCAAGACCGTATCCAGGCATTGATTCGCTCCCGACCCGGCAGGATCTTTCACATTCAGGATGAGCTCGTCAAGCTGTAAGAAACTATATTGCCACCTTTCCCCGCACTTCGTCAGCATTTGCATACATCTCAGCTACCAACCATTGATTAACACATCGGAAAACAACTATTCCTCGTTCTGCAACTGATCGTAGAGAGTATCTCCAGGAGATGACATCTCAATTGAACCAGGAGCTCGCACAGCGTGGATTCCTGACGGCTTTGGAAGTTTCGCGAAAGTACAAGTTCGGCATCGACTTTGTCCGCCAGGTAAAGGGCATGACTAGGCTTCTTATTATCTTCCGTCATGATAAGTGTCGCTATCGAGAACGTGTTCGTGGCCAAATCATTTGACAATTATTTTTTCGATCTTTTAAAACAAGTTCTTGAAAGACCGCGTAGGAAGCACAATTCCAGGACAATCTGATACTGTCGACCGTGGACTTGTTGTAGCACCGTGGTTTCACGAACAGGAGAAGGCCGCTCTACTCAAAGCTCTGCACCAGCTCAAAGAGTAAGCCTTTGACCATGATACCCTCAAAGCAATCATTTCTACCCGCGTTTTGTGGTAGTGCTTTCGCTGACCCATATCTATCATTTGCTTCGTTAGACCGACGAGCTTGGCTTCGCTGAGGGCCAAGAATGTTGTTCAGGAACAGCTCATGTACGGATTGTGCGATACGCTGGCAAAGGATACAGGACTTCCTGGAACGTTCAAGGGCGTGGGCGATCAAGGCACCTTTGTGCCTCAACCCTATGAGCAACAGCAATCTGATTGGATCGAGACCTTTTTCAAGAACAACGGGTTCATTGGTATGACTTTGTCTCCTCAACGCCAGCCCTTCACTCTTCATATGCCCTCCGCATATGTGAAACGCATGATACTCATCTCTTTTCGTGCTTTTGTCTACATATCTAGAACTGGATGCGGTCAAGAAACATGGAGTGGCGGATCCAAAGGCGTATATGCAGGCAAACCACCCAACGGCCCTCCTGCTCGAAACTCACGCTGTCAAGGAGAGTATCTGGTCCATCATCGATGCCAGTGTTGAGGACACTATTGCCAACCTCTCCTGGATCGATGTCAAGGTTAGTTTCGTACACCCCGATCCACCACCTTTGTCAACCATGACATTAAATGTTTGTCTCTTGAGATTTCTAACGCCATCAAAAATTGCAATTATTATTTTTTTAGCCACTCGTGCCATCACCCATGACAAAGGAGGACATCTCCCGCCTCCTCCAACAACTCCCCAGCCTCGAAGAACCAACATCTCGGATCCCAGTCGCCCCAGAACAGGACCCTTCGCTCACAGGACTGAATGGAGGCTCTCCACAGGAGGCACTTGTGATTCAGGACAGTATTGTGGTGACCTCGGGGCAGTTCCAGAAGTGTCTCTTGAGGATGGGTCCGCTTTTGGATCGGAAAGCCAAGGCGTTGCTGTCGTGGAGGTTGTCCTTTGGTAACACCAACAACGATGATGATTTGGCTGGTAGTGGTGGTCAGGGAGAGGGTGCGGAGGGTGTCTTTTCGAATGACACTGCCAGTCTCAGAAGTCTGCTGGACCAAGCGTCTGCTATTACTGGAGGTGGCCAAGGGTCCAGAAAGAGTCAAAAAGGAAAGCAGACACAGCAACAACAACAGCAGCAGGGAGTCAAATCGGATGGGAAGAAGCAGCTGCGGGATTTCTTGACGATCCAGGATATTAAGGACGAGATTCGGGATATGGAACCCGATTTTGATTCTGCGGTCGTCAACGCTACTGCGGGTATTCTGTACAAGGACTTGTTGCAGAACCTGAAGGATAGGAACCGGTCCATGGTTCTTCGAGCTCAGGAGGAGGAAGAAGATGATCAGGAGCAGGGAGGCGAGGAAAGTCAAGGTGCAGTGAGTGAGGAGCAGACACAGGAGGCACAGAAGGCCGTTTGGTCTAATGCGGCCATGTTGGATATTCAGTCACTCTCGAAGCGCATCCAACTTTCGTCCAAGGCAATCGAAGTCTTTGAAGGTATTTTTGAACGGAAGCAATAATACTTGGTTGAAGGACACACAATTGGCAGCAAGCAGAGCTAACGTTGTTCTTATCATATCACTTCTTATCCATCTTAGATGGCACGGCTAGGAACTCGCTCAGCAAGTACCTACTCCAATCACTGTGCGTAGAACTACTCGACCTCACTACTCTGTACCTCACTACCATTATCAAAGACTCCACCGCCACCTTACCCACGACACCATCCAAGAACGCAGAGGAGACACGCGATCGTCTTCAAAAGGCATACTCTGAACACCACAGTCAAACAGAAGCATTCTCGGCAGGCAAAGGACCATTCCTCCTTCCCTCCGAAGACGCCACCATGTTATTGGCGGAGCTTATTCCAAAGGATCAGGTTGATCCGCTGAAGAAGATGCGTAAATTGACTGCTGGAAGCGGCAAGGAGAAGAACTTGACCGAGTACTTGAACATCTGGTCGGGTCTTGTCAACAGCTCGAACAGTCGACTCGAGAAAGTCGATACCTCTGATACCGACGATGGGTAAGAAAAACGAAGCTTGGTTTTTAACACGATCCGTTTGCATTTTAAGAAGTATCACAGGATTTTTTTGGCGCTAACATCCACACTTCCCATTCCCCTTATGTCTTACAGTGCCAAGTTGTCGGAACACTTGGAGGAGCTCCACAGAGTCCTGATAAGCATCGAACCCCAAACAGACTCCGGAGCCTTGATGTTGCACATCGTCACCCTGATTGCGTTCCAGAAGTGGACTGGTCGCATGCTCCACGCCTCTGGAAAGTACGTCCCACGTATCCTGCGACAACTCCGATCGACTATAGAACAGCAGCAAACCCAGGAGCAGCCTGGTGCTAATGGATCACAGCTAGAGTTGTTGGAAAAGATGATGAGCCATGTCATGTCCAACATCAAGCAAGCTCAGGAGGTGAGCGCGCCCGAAAGTGAACAGGACGCGAAGCAGCTCTGGCAGTCTGTTCACGATCTCGGGATCGACCTCACTAAACAGTAGAAGGGATCTTTTCACTTTTTTTCTTCGTAATAAAAAAGTGTTCTCGCAAATGGTCCTTTTATTTTTTGCAGCGGATTTGCAAAAGGAGTTCCAGCTATTGTCGTGTTTGTCGTTTTTCATGATTTAGCAGGTGAGGAAGGGCTTGTTGGCGAGACACCATCCCTGCAACTTGTCCCAAAACTCTGTGACAACAGCCCGATCTGCGTGTCGACGGTGACGGTTCAACTATAGATTTCCAAACCAACAAGGGGAATATCCTTCGATTAATCGTACGTCCCAAAACAAAAGAAACCATTCCATGCACAAGACAAAACGCTGATGTTACATACGCTGAGAATTTCGACGTTCCAGGTCTTGATAGTCTCTTTTGGCTGCTCATCGGTCCACTTGGTATAGAATCCCTTGACTTGAGCAAACAGCTCGACGGGCTTCTGCCACTTGAACTTCTTGAACTGCCACTCTGCTCCCGTCGTAAACACACACACAACACGATCCCAGTCTTCCGGTCTAAGGATATCTGTGTTGTCGATAACTTCGTATGGCACCTTCGTTGTCTCGTTTGGCTTCATGCGACGGTGGATCTTGAGCCGATTGGGCTTGGATTCTCCCTTGTTGCGAATATCTCCACTGTCAGCGAACCTATTAGAGAAAGTTGAGAATAACTGTTAGTTACATCTCCTTTGCCGTTTCACATCCCTTTGCAGTATTGCCCATGTACATTTGCTCCATGTCCGAGACTTACTCTTGTCCTTCCAGAAGCTGCTTGACGTTGTACATGGTGATCATAGATGTGACAGCTGCAGGAACAATGATGATAGGCATCCGACTCGCTATTAAGAAGAAAGAAAATGTGTGCGCGTGCGTCAGAACACGATGTCATTGTGGATATTCAGTGTCGTCTCAAAGGTTCGTCCGGTAAACGAAGATAAAAACTCGCCTGATTTGGGACGAGCCTGAGAGGGGTTTGCTGAAGGTCGAGGGGTTTGGGAAGATGATGATGCTCCAGGCCGTGCCGTTGAAGACGCTGGGGGTGCGGCTCCTGGTTGTCTTGGATCTGGTTTCTTGATTCCCTTGTCGTCCTTTCCTTTGCCCATGAGAATCTCACTCCCGTTCTTTTGAATGTTGGCGAATGACTATATCATATTAGTGCGTCAAAAGAGAAACAAGGCGTCGTCAGCGAATACTGTTGCACGGAACAATCCCACTGCTCTGTTGATATTAGCACTGCATCGCTGGCTGTGTTGTTCGATCCAATGATACTCCCGACAAGTACCTTGCTGCCACGCAAAACACTTGCGGTTGTCTTGGCCAATCGCTCCTTTGACATGATGAGGCTCAAGACCTCGCTATCGTTTCCTGGTGCTGAGTGTGTCGTAGTCTTTGGTTTCTTTGCTCCTGAATCCTGGTTGCTATCCACGACGTCGTCTCCTGCTCGCTTATCTATAAGAGTTGAAGAAAAAAACACAAAAAAAAATAATTAGCAACGATGCCAATTGTTCCTCACGCGCGAAGAACGACATTCCGATAATACGTCCAGACTTCACGTACTCGACTCGGTCTGGTATACAATGTTGGCAGAATGTGCTGTGGCTCCCTGAAGATAGTCGAGTACCAATCTCTTGTCCAGGATCGAAACGGTCGGGATCATCTTTTGAGCACCCTCCAACGAATATTCGGCAACACTCTGGGTGGACCTCTGGAGAAGGAAGAGGAGTGTTTCGAGGGTGTAGAATTCATCAGAGGCTCCGCGTCTGTAGTTGGTGGGGGTGCTTCTTGCAAACTTGAACTGCTTGGTTCCATCGTCAAAGACCACGCTGGTGGCATCTGTGAGCTCCTGGACTGTTGCTCCTGAGGCATCGACCAGAGAAGGCTCCCGCTTGGCGATGGTGAACTCTCGTAAGAGGCTGAGGGGATCGTTCTTTGACATTATGAGTCTGTATGTGTGTTATTAGTCGTTGATTAGATGTTTAGTGATGAAGACTGATTGGCGATGAAGGTTGTCGGCGAGAAAAGGGTCGGGTGGAGGGGAAAGTCGCGTTGCTGAAGAGTCGGTCGGCGGTCCAATCAAAAAGGAAGCATTGGAGTTGGAGGCAAATAAAAAAAAGAGATCTGATCACTTCAGAATCTGTGTGACGTCAGAGCCTAGGAAAAGAAGTGGGCTTCACTCTCATGAACGGCTTTATTCCTTTGTTCCCCCATCCTCACCACAAAGAACGCGAGAAAATGGAGACCCACTCAAGACGCACTCCCACCACACATAACACAGTCAACAGGATAGGCACTGTTGCATACTATGCCCTCATCTCACGGCTCGTCATCTGGGCCCTTGCAGCGGTCTCCCATGCCCTCATTCAGGACTACGACTCGGCCCTTGAATTAATCCTCCCTATCGAAACCATCGGCCAGCAGCTGTTCAAGAGCATCTTTGGCGTCTTTCTCCGCTGGGACGCCTTTTACTTTGTGCACATTACCGAGAAGGGATATGTCTTTGAGCAGGCCCATGCTTTCTTCCCCTTGGTCCCGGCCTTGACTCGACTTGTCGCCAACACTGGTAAAGAACGAACACACAAAATTGGTGGCTGTGTTCTGGTTGGTGGCAACTTTCTCTGTCAAAAATGAACGCGAAGGACTAACTCGAACGGCAAATACGATTATTATTTTTTAGCCCTGGCACCCTTTAGCTTCGCGCTTGACTACAAGCAGCAATTAGTTCTCGCCGGTGTCATCGTCGCGAACGCATCCTTCATTGCCGCTGCCGTGCAGCTTTACAGACTTACAAAGGAGCTCTTTGGACGCGAACCGTTTGCATTCCTCACAGCAATGCTCTATGTCCTCACGCCCTCCGGCATCTTTATGTCTGCAATGTAAGCAACTGTTGACCTTGCACCTTTGTAGTAGGAAACACGAGGTGAACATCCTAGATGACTCACAGTGCCTATTCAATCTAAACACCAACAGCTATACTGAGAGTACATTCGCGGCCCTGTCCTTCACGGGCATGCTTTTTGCTGCCAGAAAGCAGTACTTGCTGGCTGCAATTGCTTGGTCCATCAGTTGCACAGCTCGGTCGAACGGTATCCTCTATGCCGGCTTTATCATCTACGACCTTGTTGTTCGCATGGACTTCAGCAAGCCACTGTTCGTAAGTTCAATCACGCTTATATGTCCGTGTGTCTAGCATGTCATTTGCACACCTCAATCTGTCTAACATGGTCCCTTGTTGTTACATTCATCCGTGACTCAATCCATTTATACAGCACAAGGTCTTTGTGCTGGTGAAGGCTGGCTTTCTCTGCCTGATCACATGGACCGGATTTGTCGCAGTTCAATTCTACGGTTACTCCCTGTACTGCACGGACGCTTCGAATATTGATGCGAGACCTTGGTGCAACGCCAACATTCCCTTGATATATACCTTTGTCCAGGACTTTTACTGGTACGCTTCCTCTTCGTCTCGAATCATCTTGCTCTCACCTTTTTGTAATGCCAGCCTTTCTCAACTATTAAGTTTGCTATAATGTCCAATTACTTCCATCATGGCTTGTAGGAATGTTGGGTTCCTCCGGTACTACGAGGTCAAGCAGATACCCAACTTTTTGATGGCTGCTCCCATGATCATTCTCTCAGCTTCTGGAATCATGTACTATGTCCTGTTCGATAGCCATCGTGCCATTACCCTCGGTCGCTCATCAACGCCTGGTATGCTTGCGCCTCTTCCTTCCAACATCGGTAGACATATGACAATTCGTTATTTCCGGCTAACTCATGTACTATTTATCCGGCTTTTTTTTTTGCTCTCCCATATAGCAACGAGCGACAAGGCTACTCTTCCTTTCATGAGTCTTGCGGCGTTCCCTCATATTGTTCTTTGGGGAGTCCTCCTCCTCTCCAACATCACCACGATGCATATCCAGATCATTACACGCGCATTTTCGTGTCTGCCACCAGTGTACTGGTTCGCAGCCCATCAATTCGAAGGGGAGGAGGCGTTAGGAGGTGGCAGGACAAAGACTGTTACCACGTTCTTTGTGATGTATGGCTTGATCGGTATTATTCTCTTTGCCAACTTTTTCCCACCTGCGTAGGTCAGGTCATCCCATTAGATATCCCAACAATATACATTTTAACAGCTCTGTACTGAAGATGTAACCATTCTCCGCTTGGATGGCGAGTTGAGTAATTCACGTCGTTCGGATCTGTCTGTGACTCTCTGCTCAGCGATATGACTGGCTGACTGCCCAAGGTGGACCTGAACCATATTTTTTCCACACCGCCCGTCCCTTTTTCCACCACTCACACACACAAACACACCCCGCAAACTCCTTCGAACAATGTTCGCCAGAATCATAAAGCCGGCCTCGCTCCCAAGGATCATCCCTTCTTCATCCCTCTCCCCTCTCCGCAGCAGTCTCATCCAACAACAACAAAACCACACCGCCAGATTCATCACCTCTGCTGCCAAAATGACCTCCCCCGTCGTCATTCCTCGCGCCGAACGCGTTGCCCACTTTGAACAGGATGGTAAATCAACTCTCATCGACAACAACAACAACTCTAACGCTGCCAGTCCGAAGCCTCGCTCAATAGCATTAACTGCTACTTGTCATGACTTAATACACACCAGCTTACCATTCATCCTATCACTCAATGCAACATCACTTTAGTCTGGTCCATTTTCACACCTTTGGCTCTTGAGTGCCAGGCTGTCAACCTTGGTCAGGGTTTCATGAAGTAAGTGTCGCATTGGACATGCCATCGATAAGAGCAAATTGGCCGTTGGGATTTGGAAAAAAAAAAACATCGACCTAACGCGCTGTTTTTTTTTACCTGTTGTTACTCACCAACATAGCTTCCCTCCCCCAGACTTTGTTGTCGAGGCTGCTCGTGATGCCGTCACCCGCAACGACTGCAACCAGTACAGCCACCCCAAGGGTCGCCCAAGACTGAGAAACGTAATCCATCTTTTTTCTTTGCATTGTTCTTTCTTCTGTGCTCCTCCTTTACCCCCAGCAAACGAGTACTTTCTGCCCCAAAAGTTGATCAGGATCCGTGCCTGTGCTACTTTACATTTCTGCCATTTTTCTCACGCTTATCCCCATTCCAAATAGGCATTGGCAAAGTCGTACAGTCCTCTCTTCAACAGGACTCTGGATCCAGAGACTGAGATTGTTGTCACTGCTGGAGCCAACGAGGGTATGTCCATGTCAGGATGGCCAATGGACTACTGCAGGAGAGAGAGAGCGAAAGACACGTATGGGGCGAATTCCTGTCAACATGCGCCTCAACTGAGAACGATTGCACCACCTAACACACAAAAGTTTTGTTGCGGCATTTCAATTTTTTATTTTGACATGCGTACATTAGGCATTTTCAGTATCTTTGCAGGATACTTGGACCAGGGCTCCGAGGTCATTCTCATGGAGCCCTTCTTTGACCAGTACATCGTAAGTCAGGAAACAATGATATTGGGATCTGTCATTTTATCGTGGACAGTCGCGCTTCAACGCAACCTACTCACCGTTTTGTAACACCTCGATTGCTCAAACTAGTCCAACATCACAATGAACGGAGGAGTGCCTGTCTACTGCCCTATCCGCCCTACAGGCGATACTTCCAAGGACATGCCTGCCAGTGAATGGAAAATCGACATTAAGGAGCTGGAGTCCAAGATCACCCCTCGGTCCAAGATTATTGTCCTCAACACCCCTCACAACCCCATCGGCAAGGTCTTCTCGCGCGAGGAGCTCGAGGAGATTGGCGCCTTGGCCACCAAGCACAACCTCTTGATCATCAGTGACGAAGTGGTACGTACTCGACTCTATCTCGATTGCTCAGTCGGGGGAAAGTATTGCACATCATTCACCGACTCTAACATCGTGCTGTTTCTTTCTTGTATCTGCTAGTACGATCGCTTGTACTTTGACCCTTTGAAGCATCAGCGCATTGCTACTTTGGATGGACTTTGGGAGCGCACAATCACTGTCGGAAGTGGTGGAAAGACATTTGGAACGACAGGCTGGCGCATTGGTTGGTTGATCGGACCCAAGGCCTTGGTCGAGCCCGCCTTGGCTGCTCACACCCGTATCGTCTTCTGCGTCAACTCCCCCCTTCAGGAGGCCGTCGCTGTTGGGTTCGAACAGGCAGATGAGCGCGGATTCTTTGGAAGCCAGATCAAGGCGTACGAGCACAAGCGCGAGAAGTTGCTCAATGTCTTCCGTGAGTTGGGCTTGCCCTGCACCATTCCCGAAGGATCGTACTTTATCCTTGTGAACACGGACAAGATCCAGGTGCCTGAGGATTACAAGTTCCCTGATCTGTTGTGGAAGCGCCCCAAGGATTTCCGTACCTGTTACTGGTTGACAAAGGAGATTGGTGTCTGTGCGATCCCACCGACCGAGTTTTACTCCAAGCCCAACCAGGTTTTGGCGGAGGACTTTGCGCGGTTTGCGTTCTGCAAGACGGATGAGACCCTGGATGCAGCAGCTGAGAGACTTTTGAAGCTCAAGGCGTACATCAAATAGAAGTAGAATGTTCTTTTTTTCATGTCCCATGCATACGATAAAGGAAAAAAGAAAACCACATTGAGACAAGCGTTGATGCATTGTGAGTTCAGTTTATGTCAGATCGAACAAGATTCTAGGGTGTGCAAAGGATGATTGAGAGGGAGATATCTCATGCGAATTTTTGATCAAAAGTCAAAGGGAGGAAACCTTATTCGATCTTTCCCTTCAAATGCTCAAAGCAACAAAATGACTCTTTTTTGACAGACACACCAGCATATCAATCATCAATCAAACCCCTTTATCTATTCCTCTTTGTTCTCTCTCTCTCTCTCACTTTCCTTTCTTTTTTCTCCTCACTCTCATCAGAAAACTCATCAGGAACCACCTCCCTCAGGAAAAAGACACGCCATGACCTACGGTACTTTCCACTCAGCCATGCACACGCCACCGCCACCACCACCACCAGGAGTACTTCTCCCATCACTCCGACCCTTATTTTTTGTCACAATGGAATCTCATTCATTCATCGTCCTCCTCTCCTTCCCTTTCCTACACCAACCTTCAAAACCTAGAACGCAGAACCTCACAGCCAGAGAACCCATTCTCAAAGCTAGTCCCCGCACAGACAATCGCCATCATCCCCGAATTCACCCTCGACTCGGGCCACGTCCTCTATCAAGTCCCAGTCGCTTACCGTACCTGGGGCTCCTTGAACGAAGCAGGAGACAATGTCATGATCATCTGCCATGCCCTCAGTGGAAGCGCCGATGTTGAGGATTGGTGAGTCTGTTGTTCTCACCCCTTGTTGTCTCTCCAGGAAGCATATGGATCGGGAATTCGGGATGCTTCGAAGGAAGGAAGGAAGGAACACATGTCCTCTCGCCCCGTCCCGTTCGCTGAGTAGAAATGACCCCACAGTTGGCTCTCGGATCGCAGACTCTTTTGAGGGAGTGACTGGCTTGGCTATTCGTTGGACGCTGACTTTCAATGGCAAAATGTCGTGATTTCCTGGACAAATGCCTTATTCACGAAAAAGATCAAACCATTGGATAGAGAGGCTCGTTCGCGTTTATGGAGACAAGAGTACATCGATGGGCGCATGGACATGAGACACAGAGAAGGGAAGGAAATGCACCTACAGGATCGATCAATTTTTTTGGATGCAAGGATGAGACGGAGGAAAACTCTGCAGCGGACACATCAGTCAACAAAACAGTGGATACTCATCAGATCCTCCTCCCGTCTCTCTCTCTCTCTCGTATCCGTGGATTATAGGTGGGGTCCGTTGATGGGACCTGGACGTGCTTTTGATCCTGCAAAGTTCTTTATCATCTGCTGCAATGTTCTCGGCTCACCCTACGGCACTGCTTCACCCGTCACCTTGAACCCAGAGACAAAGGTCAGCTACGGACCTGAATTCCCCCTGGCCACCATCCGCGACGATGTCAGGTATGAGACCCATTTAATACGTTGATAAACAAACAAGAGGGACAGATGAGTCATGCGTGTCCTCTGCTCGTGCTAGTATTTTGCGACAACCTGAAATTAACGAACTCCATGCAATCGATAAATAGACTTCACAAGTTGATTCTGGATGACTTGGGAGTCAAGTCAGTGGCTATCTGTATTGGAGGTTCGATGGGAGGAATGCAGGTTCTAGAGTGGTCATTCTTTGGACCAGATTACATCAAGGCTATTGTGCCAATTGCCACATCTGCGAAACATTCTGCCTGGTGCATCAGTTGGGGCGAGGCCCAGCGTCAGTCGATCTACAGTGACCCCAACTACCTCGACGGATACTACACTGCAGATGCCGTAAGTCTCTACATCGTATTCTTTTGCGGAAGAGCTTCGTGATTGACATTTTCTTCAGGGCTTGCCGGCAGATGACAATGAAACTGATCATGAGACTTTGCTCCCCTATGCTCATTTATAGCCACCATCGGTCGGTTTGGGCGCAGCAAGAATGGCAGCATTGTTGACCTACCGTTCACGCAACTCGTTCGAGTCCAGATTCGGACGTAAGGTCATGGACCAGCCCACGTTCTCTTCGGCTCGCGAGCCCGCCTCCCCTGCCGAAGCCCATCACCAGATCCATAACGACGGTCATAAGAGGACCAGAGGCCACGTTTCTCGCAGCAGCTCAATCGACAGCACCAGTAGCTTGCTCGTCGCCAGCGCCAAGGTCTTGGCCTCAGTCACCGGAGAGACTATCGATGAGAACAACAGTAATGACAAGAAAGGGACCGGATCAGGATCGGATTCTGCAACTGAAACCACTAGCACTAGTACCAATGGCACCACAACTCCGTTGTCGACCAACTCGACCTTAACTTCTACTATCAGCGCGACCCCTGTGGTGTTGAACAAGAACAAGAGCAAGAAGCCCACAGTGTTTTCGGCTCAGAATTATCTCCGCTACCAGGGAGACAAGTTCATTCACCGCTTCGATGCCAACTGTTACATTGCAATTACTCGCAAGATGGATGTGCATGATGTTTCTGAAGGTCGTGGCGAACTTGTTGATGTTCTTGATAACATTGTCCAGCCCTCCCTCGTCATTGGTATGTTCATTCTTTTTCCTCATCTCTCATTTACGATAACGAACACACTTGGCTTATCAGTAAATACATTTCATACTAACCCCAATCTTCTTTCTTTTTGTTCGTTACTTTTTGCTGATTAGGTGTGGAGTCGGATGGTCTGTTCACGATCTCGGAACAATACGAGCTTGCAGAACACTTGCACAACTCCGAGATGGTGGTAGTGCAGTCACCCGACGGTCACGACGGATTCTTGCTCGAGTTTGAACAGATCAACAATGCGATCCTGTCGTTCATGTCGAAGCACCAGCATATCCGCGACATCCTCAGCAAGGAGGGCATTCAGCCCGCTGCCGAAGTCGGTGCCGTTGTCAAGGAGTCGCTCTTTGGCGAGAGCGAGATCGTCAACTGGTAGTCTTTTTTTTTTTTTTCCCCCTTCCTTTGATAGAAATACAAAAATACTATAAACGGTGGGGTGGTGACCGCTCCTGTTCAACTGGCCCCCACCATCGGCATAATTCTAAAGTTCAACTTGTGTTATTTACATCGTTTTACTAAATCGTACAAAGGTTCTCTATTTCTTCTCATATGGAATGCTGCTGTTGGTTCCCGTTCGCCCTTCCTTGCTGTGATGCTGGGGGGGGGTTTTTTTCTTTGCTTAGTTGGGGCGGTTGATCTTGGCCTCGTTGAACAAAACGTTCTGGTTGGCTGTTTTTTTTCGTTGAGAAAACAAATGAAAAATAACAGTATTAGTAAAGAAACCACCGTGTTTTGCCGAATGGCTGCATCAAAAAAAAAAGGCCAGAGAGCCAAAGAAAACCCCCTCACAACATACCACGGGGATCGAACTTCATGAAGGAAAGCTTAGCGGTAGTCCTTGGGCGACGGGTAGTATAGAAGAAACCGGTGCCGGCGGTCGACAACAACTTGACAATGATGGTTCTTGCTTTTGCTTTCTTGGCCACTAAGAGCAAAAAAAAAGGGGGAAGAGGAGGGGGGATCGAAAACGAATAGGGGCGGTTAGGGTCGTTTTCGTGCCGGCTCTCTGTAGGCTGTTTATGACGTTTTGCTGTGGTGAGTGGAAGATGGGTGTTGTTTTTCATTGCCGCTCTGGTTTTATCGCTTGTCCATGGGGGTAGGGGGTGGGGTTGGCGTTTGTTTGCGGTTGTTTTTCAGGATGCGTTCTGGTCAGGCGCTGGGGGTTCTCCTGGCTTTGGGGGGGGGGGGGGGGGGGGGGGTTCCTGAATATCAACAGCAAGCGCCAAAACAGTCGTGTTGTCTCGTGTGATCACACTCTAGCTTTCACCTCCAACAAATCAGAAGCCAAAAGCTCATTCCTCCTTTGTTCGGGTCCTTGTATCCATGTTGAGTGTCGCTGGTTTTTTTTTTCCCTTCGCTGCCTCCTCTGTTGTGATTAACTTGTCGACATACTTTTGAGGGGATGTTGAGTTTGAGTTGTAAAGAAAGGAACGAATGTAAGCTTCGGGATCAGGACAAGTTTTGTTGATATTTGTTCGGTGTGACTGCGTTCCTGATGCAAACCCAAGCAGCCTCCTCTCCCCCCTCTGATTTTCTTTAGGCCACGAAACTGCTTGGAACGCTCACACTTACTCTTTCTCACCAAAACACCCAAACACCAAAACCACCTCCCGTCGCCATGAACTCACAAGTCAGCTTAGATGCCTTGCCATGTAAGGGGACACAAAACTGGACACAACTGGATTAGTCAGGAGACAAGCATGAACATTACGCGAAGCGCAACGAAAACCAGTGATCGCGATTCAGACAAACCACCAAGTGAAGAAAACTAACATCTCTTTTCTCAACTCATCCCCCACACACTCTTGCTTCTCCTTCTAGATGTGGACAAACAGATTGACGAACCAGGTAAAGCAAAACCAACCCCAACCCAACCGGCCTCACCATGCAACAAAGAAAACGGAACAATTTGACACCAACATCCACTAACACACACACACACCCCTTCACAAAAAAAAAACTTAGGCGTCCGCAGCTTGGTCGACAAACTGATCGCCTCCGAGATGAAAAAAATGCCTAAACCCAGGGACGCTTCATCCCTAGGATTCCCAGACATCGACCTCTTCTCTTCAAACACCCTCATCCAACAAGAACTCGACCGCGTCCGGAGAGGGAAACCCATGGACCCCTCCCTCGACCTCTCCCGCTACCAACTTGACCCTCCTACTTCCTCCTCCACCACCACAACAACATCAAATACCACGACAGCAAACGGATCAGCAGAAACAATAACCCCATCAGCATCAGAGGAACTCCCAGAAGGTCGTACGCAATGGCTCAAGGCCTTGGACAATGCAAACGCTCAATTGGAACATCAGAACCAACGCGTCTTGAACCTCGAGCTGGTCCAGAAGTTTGGTGGCAATGCCTGGAATATTCATAACTACCAGCTGGAGTATGACGTCTCGTTGCTTAGGGGGGCTGTGGATAAGAAGAAGGCCGAGGTTATGGAACTCAACAAGCTGCGAAAGCGTGATCAGGTAAAGCCACAAGGGAGTGAGGGAGGGGGTTCGTGAATGATTTTCAAGCATTTTTAGTATTTCTTTATCCATACTAATCCATTGTTTTTCGTTCATATTCTTGGCTGCGTGCAATAGATGGATGTGGCAGAGTCGCTGCAGAGGCTGGAGGCAAAGTGGGCAGAGATGATCAGTTCGACACTCCAGGTTGAGGTCGCAAGCGCGTCGCTCCAGGCAGAGTTGGCCCAGCTGAAGGCATATGAGATCCAATTGAGCAAGGAACTGGGTGTCACTCCTCCTGCGCAGGACAGCCAATAGTCATCCCCTCGATCTATTCTCGTTCTTCCTCGATGCGACAACGAAACAACAACATTCAGGAGTACTGGAGACTGAAAACTCGACACTCAAAGAATAAATCAGGCACAACAGGTCGCGAGAGTGACATTTTTTTTTTGCATTTTTGTAGTCATTTTTCTGGAGATAATTCTTAGCAAAGGTTAAGCCTGCGTCTGGTGAACTGGAGCTGGTTGGTGTTGATGATGCTGTTGCTGTTGCTGTTGCTGTTGCTGCTGCTGCTGCTGCTGCTGCTGCTGTGGATGCTGTTGAGGGTGAGGGTGATGGTGATGGTTAGGCTGATGCTGGTGAGGATGCGCTTGCTGAGGGGGGTAATACATCGAGGGTGGGTAGTAATAAAACTGGTTATAGTCCTCAGGAGGCATCATCATCATCATCATCTCGCCATTAGGGCCTGCAGCAGGTGCTGCAGCAGAGGTGACAACTGGGGGCGCGGGTCCAGAGACTGGGACACCTGCTGCATCATAGTACATCGGAGCCATGTAGGGTTGACCAGGCATGTGGCCGCCCATCGGCATGCCCATAGGCATTCCCATAGGCATCGAAGCAGGCGCCGATCCAGGTCCACTGTTCGACATTCCCATGGGTGGGTAATAGTAATAATACAAGGGCTGGGCCATTTGCTGCTGAGAGTCGTAGTAATAGCCTTCTGCGCCATACTCCTCCTCATAGTACTCTTCCTGGGCGTTAGCCTCTCCCTCTGAAAGCTGTGCAGCGGTAACGGGCCCCGTGGGCTTAAATGGGGCGGCATTGATAGCTAATATCATGGCACACGATATGTTTGAAAAGATCGTTAGTCAACGTTACAACTACATAACAACAGCGTTATTATAAAATACCCCTGTCAGAAAACCACTGTACCTGTTTTGAGCGACTTTGGGGTGGGAGCAGAAGTCGTCTCCATGGCCTCTTCGGCCTCTTCGGCCGTAGCCTTGGCATCGACTGCAGCAGTCTTGGCGTTCTCGGCTTCCTGATGCTCTCCGCTGTCCTTCTGGGATCCGTTCGCCGCAGTAGCCTCAGTTTTCTCACCAGCGTTTCTTGCCTTGGTAGCCTCACCGTTCACTGGAGCCGAAGCGTTGGATGATGGCTGACCACCCTTGTGGTTCTGGTGCTGGTGTTGATGCTGGTGCTGGTGCTGGTGCTGGAACTGATGATGATGATGATTTTGGTGGTGTCCATAGAAGCCGCCGTGGTGGCCTCCACGGTGACCAAAGTTGGCAGGGTGTCCGGGATGGAACTGTCCACGACCGCGTCCACGGCTCGAAAAGTTGCCAGGGATGAACTGAGGTCTGAATCCAGAAAAGTGAGCTTGGGGCTGGCTCTGAGGCATTGGCTGTCTGATCTTGGGATTGGCAGAGTTGGGCTGACCGGCTGGCTCCTGCTTGTCGTTAGAGCTGACAGGGACGTTTCCTTGCGCATGGGCATCAGTGTTGGCCGTTTCCGTGGATCCATTGGTATCGTTGGCAGGTTGGCTAACAGCCTCGGCTACGGCAGCCTTGGGCGAGGGCTTGGGAAGAGCAGAGTGTAAGAGACGAGAGGCTCTCTTGACATCCTTCTCTCCAAACTGGACAGAGGAGCGGGGTCGCTCTCCTTTGGTCGAGGGTGCGGCTGATCCTGCTTGGGCGGCTGATTCATCTTGGGACTTGACTGCCTGAGAGTCGGCAGTTTTGGTAGAGGGAGGAGCAGCAGCGCTTGGTGTCTCTTCCTTGACCGACTTTTCTTCCTTGGCTGACTTCTCTTCCTTGACTGACTTCTCTTCCTTGGCTGACTTTTCTTCCTTGGCTGACTTCTCTTCCTTGCGTGACTTCTCTTCCTTGTTTGGCTTCATTGTCCTGTCAGCCTTCTCTGACCTTCCTCCCTTCTCAGTTTTATTGCCGCCCTTCTCTGCCCTGTTGTCTGCCTTTTCTGCCTTGTTGTCTGCCTTTTCTGCCTTGTTTTCTGCCTTTTCAGTCTTGCTGTCTGCCTTGACTGCCTTTTCCACCTTATCTGTCCTGTCGGCCTTCTTAGAGGAAGCGTTCCCACTCTTGGAGGTGGCAGTGTCGTCCTTCGAGTCAGAGCGTGTCTCACTGTTGGTGGAAGTGGGAGGTGTAGCATTTCCAGAAGAAGCACTCTGGGGTCCTGGGTTGTTAGATGCAGTGCGCGACAAAGGGGCTCCGGGAGGCTTGAGGGTTTGGGAAAAGGAAACAATGACGGGATGGTTTGTTAGATCAATGCATAAAAAAGGCATATATATTTTTTCCAATGCATTGTACACGCAACAACAATGCAAAAAAAAAATTCCCATTGCTCTTACTTTTCCGTGCATAGAGCGGGGTCTGGAATCGTTCCTTTGGTGGCGGTAACTTCTTTCCTGAACCTTCATCAATTGGTCAAACCCATCGTGGCTCCATCGGTCAGACTTAGGTTTGGCTGAGGCACCCTCCTTGTCGTCTGACTCTGGTTGCTGGGACTCGGTGTTGACGCCTGTCTCTGGTTCGTTCCTGAAGGAAGTCCTTGGGACACCCTGAGCCATTCCACCTCGAGTAAATCCTCCCCTAGAAAGAAAAAAAAATCAAGATAAACAAAAGGGGAACTTGATGTCAGTGCCACAAAGTTCTGAGGGGCGAAGAGGAAACAAAAGAAAACTCCTTTTTTTTAAAAAAAGCAACCCGTGTGAAAAGCAAAAGCGATAACCACACAAAGCACAAACATAAAACAAACCACGCACCTTCCCATAAATCGGCCACGGAAGTTGCCACGGTCGCCAAAGTTTTTCATTCCTGCTCCTCTGTACCGGTCATCATGACCCCAGAACTCCCCAAGATGGGGAGTAAAGCTCGGATCTTCTGCCAGTTTCTTGCGGTACTCAACTCTAGCCTCCACCGCAGCTCTTCCTCCACGTCCGCGTGACACTGGACGACCATGATGCGCAGCGGGATGAGGGTGGTTGGTGTGATTATTGTTGGTGTTGGGTCGCTGAGGCTGTGTCTCGGACGAAACTGGTTCCACCTTGGTCGTTGTCTCTGGCATGGGCGAATCACCCCAATCTCCTGTGGCCGAGTCGAGGTCCAGCTCCTTGGCAGGCGAGGAAGAGCCGGCATTTGGCTTTGGTGAAGAGACCGATCCTTGCTTGGAGAGACGCCTGTTTGGCTTGGAGTTGGACTTGGCATCGGAAGGTTGATGGGACTGATGGGAAGGGGCTGAGGTTGGGACAGTGCTGCTGGAGGGAGTGACAGTGGATGTGGTAGATGTGGTGGATGTGGTGGATGTGGTGGGAGCGTTGGCCTGAGCTAATGGTTTTTGGCTCTGTGGATTTTCCTGCTGCTCAGTCAACTGATTATTATTGTTCTTGTTCTTCCTGTTGCGCTTCTTTTTGGATGACGAGGGCGCAGGCGAAGAGGGGGTAGGTGTTGGTGACGCTGGGGCCGAGTCGCGATTTTGAATCAAAGTCGAAGCGCCCTCTTGCGATACGGTATTACGACCTTGCTGTTGTTGCTGCTGCTGTGGCTGCTGTGGCTGCTGCTGTGGCTGTTTACGAGAAGGTGCCGGTTTCGAGGTCGGGGGGCGATCGTCCTTGCGCTCCAACGACAACTTCTCGAGAGCCAACTTTTTGATCTGCAAGTCGGCCTCCTCCTCCGAGTCAGGGTCGTCGGTGCCGGATCCACTCGACGCGCGCCCGCCCCCACGATGATCCTCGTCGTCGTCTGAACTACTGACGGCGAGCTCAATCGCCTCCTCTCCACCTGATCGTCGCGGGCCACGACGTGCCACCAATTTCTTGGATCGGCCAGCCTTCTTGCTTGATCTCTTGACAGTCTCTCCCGTGGTCGTCTCTGTAGTTGCTGTTCCTGCTGCTGCTGCTGCTGATTTTTCTGTGGTCGTCGTCGTGGTAGTTGTCGCTGCTGTTGTAGTTGATGAAGATGACTGTGTGGCGCTGTGGTTTGCTGTCGTCATAGTAGTCGAAGAGGGTAAATCGGAGTCTTTGTTATCAGCGCTTCGACGACGGCTTTTGCGGTCCTTCGAAGTCGTAGTCGTAACAACGGGGTCTTTGTTCTCCTGGACGACAGGGGCTGTCGTGGTCTTTAACGACTTTTCCGAGGAAACTCGAGGAGAAGCGTTGTTCTCGGCGGGGGTGGTCTTGACTGCTTGCTGCATATTGTGATGTGTTTTTTTTTTGGGGGGGGGAGGGGTGATTGTTTTTTTTTGTTTTTGTGTAGAAGTGATGGTGAAAGGGCAATGATCGACCTTGTGAGAGTTTTTTTTTTTTTGCTTTGTTGTTTTTTTGTTATTCAAATGAAGCAGTACGAGTGGTGAGGAAAGAAAAAGGTAACGAACAAACGGGTGGGATAACGAGCGGACTATGAACGAAGTGAAAAGAGAATGAGAAAGAGAAGCAAAACGAAAAGAAAAGGAAGGGAATGAGGTGGTGCGGATGGAGAAAGGGGGGATGAGGGGTGAGGGGTGAGGGAAGGAAAAGGAAAAAGGAAAAAGGAAAAGGTAGGTAACGAGCCAAAAGGAAAGAAAAAGAAGACAAAAGAAACTCCTCTTAGAATAAAAAAAAAAAAAAAAAAGGGCGCGCGTCGCTCGCTGTGTCGTTGAGATTTTGCTCGCTCAATGGCCACTTGGACTTTTGTGCCTTTGGCGACCCATCCCTATGCACGTGACACTTCTTGGAAGGAGACAAGGTCGCGCCACGATGACCCTTTTGTTCCTTTGGTCCCTTTGGTCGTTGCATTCATTCATTTCATTCTTTTGTTCCTCCCTTCCTCACATCTCTCTCTCTCTCATATACCAGCACTTACCACTCCCATTTCACAAAAACACTCACAACCCATACATACTTACACACACAGAACGATGGCCATCGGTATCTTCGGCCTCCTCGAGGTCATGCTCATCTTCATCAACGCCATCGCCATCCTCAACGAAGACCGCTTCCTCGCAAAAAGTAACCCTTCACACCCTTCTCTCCTCTTCTTTTTTCTCTCAACCCTATATCCATACAATCCCTCGACAATCAAAACTATCAACTCGGACGCCTCATATCCCCACTCACCCCACTCACCCCACTGACCCCTTACGTCTATCTCGCTTTCTAAACGTTCAACAAAACATAGTCGGCTGGGGACGCCCTGTCGCCGACCCATACGGTCAAGAATCTGTCAAGGCCAGACTCGTCAACTTGATCTCTGCCGTCAGGACATTAACGAGAAGTAAGCCTCACCTCCCCCCTCTGCGGCTTTCACTTCCTGAGAATACAATCCTCGCGGTGATAAAAAAGAACACTCTCTGTGATCTAACTAACCTTTGTCAAATTAATTTTCTATAGTCCCTCTGATCGGCCTCAACATCGTGGCAATCCTCTACCTCGTCATCCTCGGATAAAAAAGAGGGCACTTCTTTTTCGGCTTCAACACATCTCACCACTCGCACTCACAACATATATATCAGGAGTTATGGACCTACAATAAAACGCACACTGACACGAATACTCCACCAGTAGAAAAGCTCTCGCCGATCATTCAATTGACTGAAAGATAAAGATAGGGTCACAACCATGATCGACAGCAATAGAGAGCGGTATCGTTTTTCGGAGGAGAAAAAAAGGGATGTATTTTACAGGAAATGTGCTAATGGCAGAATGTTAATGGAGACAAGAGAGGGGAGAAGCAACAAGTACGAGAGAAAAAAGAAAAAACAGAGAGAGGGCTGCGAAGGAAAGAGGAAAGAGGGAGGTGTATGGGGAGAGTAAGAATGGTGAAGAAAGACGTTAGCGTAAGGATGGAAGTGAGAGAGAAAAGAGTAAGATTATCACTAGAAATGTTGTGGGGTGGAAAAGTGAATGCAAAGGCAAAAGTGCAAGTGCGAGTGAGAGTGGAAAAAGAAAAGGCAAATGAGGAAAGGAAAAAGAGAAAAAGAGAAAAAGAGAAAGAGAAAGAGAAAAGGGATTTTGCTATCCGATGTCTAGGGCAACCCGTTCAGTTGCCGATAAGTGAGAGGCGTGCTGGAAGGATTGGGCTGAACTTCGTCCTGATAAATCGATTTGGTTGGAATGGTATAGTTTTCAGGAGGAAAGATGGGTCCGACTCCTTGGACAAATCGCTTCCGTCGGTCCATCGCACTCAACGCATTCTCCGAAAGTGCCTTGGGTGTTGACGTCTTTTTCTTCTTGGACTTTGTCATGCGCTATTGTTGTGCAAGTTTAAAAAATAATACGCGAGTCAGTGACATCGTAAACTTGAATGCAAGTCGCCTTCAGAGGTAGTACCCAATAGTGTGAATACGTACGAAGCGCTTGAGGTAGCCTTGTTCGACCTGCTTGTCAAGATCATCCAGAATAGTATTGTACTCTTGGTAGGCAAGATGGTTGTTGACCAGCCCCAGCAACTTTTGCTTCCTGCTCCTGTTCACCTTCATCACATCCCTCAACTCTTTCTGAAGAGACCGAAGCGTTATGCTGATCTCGTCATCTTCTCTAGCATCCCAGTTGATCTAGCATTGGCAATAGAAAACAAGGGTACAGCAGTTAGTAAACAAGCATTGTTCAACTACACAAAATTAGTTCAGCGCTCTCAAAGATTAAGCTCCAAGAATATACCTCTTCGTTGCCAAGCAGTCCAATGTAGCGCAACTCGCGTTTGATTCGCTCCTCAAGTTCTGCATAGTTCCTGGCGTTCGACTGCGTGGCTGCTGGCGATGGCGAGGCTCTTGGTGCATCTTCGTCCTGTACAAAGTCTTTTGCATCCGCAACCTCTTCAGAGATCAAGGAGCAGATAATACGCTCTGTCAAAGGTCCGCAAGATATCTCGTCCTGATCAATGTTCTCATCCGTGAGCTCAAAGGGCTGGCTATAGACAGTATTCCGTGACGGCCCTGACTCCTTGATAGAATCGACAGAGTTCCGGCGAGACTCGTATCCGTCAAACGGAAGCAACGACCTGTCTTCCTCAGCCCAAACATCCTGGTAGTGTCGTCCAAGGGGTGGAATCATCAATGGCGTCACCTGGTCGGTCTCTGGCTGCTCTTCCAGGACATTTCGGTCAGACTCGGTAAAGGGACGGAAATAAGGATCCATCGATGTCCAGAATGTCTGAATAGGGATCTGATTGGCGACCTTGACCTTTGAAAAGTCCTCCTGGACTTCCTGAGCCTTTGGTGGTGGCTTTTGTGTCTTTTCTGTCGGGTGATCATTCTTCTTTTTCTTTTGGTGTGACCCTGAGTGTGCCTTATCGCCAGTTCGATTCTACATTTGATCCAAACGTTGAAACGCGAGGGTTAGATAATTCAATGCGGACCAAATTCACAATGTCTGCAACATGTAACATACGTACCTGATTTGCCTTGGGTGTGCTGTTTCGGTTGTTAATCGGCTTGACGGGTTGTGGCGAGGTGCTCCGTCCTGCCTTGACCGTCGCAAAATCATCGCTTCTCTTCACCTTCGGCGGCGGTGCTGCTACAAAACGAAAGGAACAAATACGGTGAATATGTGATTTTGCGAATTTAGCGAGATACAAACTCAAAGAGGTATCAAGGAAACATACCTCGATCATCCTCTGAATATTCACTGTCTTCGTCAATCTCGCGCTTCTTCTTTTTCTTTGTAAGTCCATCTTGCGCCAACCTATGTTGTTGAAATGTTTCATGAAATGGTGAGTACTTGGGCGCGTTTCATTAATGCCAGGCAATCGTGGTCACGTCCTCACGAACACTTACGAAGGTGTTCCTGTTCGAATCTTGATAGTATTAGGTGTGGATGTCGTGCTTGGTTCGTCCTCTATTATTTTTGCGGTAAGGACAGCGCGTTAGCTTCCTTTGATGTTGAACTACGGTCATAGCAACGAAATCTTTTGTCACAGCAAGATACAACGCGTACCTGTTGCATCGGATCGCTTGAGTTTCAACGTGACAACACCCAGTTTGACAACGGATGGCGAACTGCCACCGGCGGGAGTAGTCCCCGTCGTACTGGCAGCACCTCCAGTACGGGCAGCACTACTCGAGAATGACGAAGGCGAGGCTGTGACAGGTGAGGCACTGTTGGTCCTGGCGGTAGTGGCGATTGTTGAAGCATTGGCTGCAGCAGATGCCGCGTTTCCTCCAGCACCTCCTTGGGTAGTTGTGTTGAATGCTGCAGAAGTTGGCGTCATGGTGTTGGGTGTAGATGAAACGGACGATTCCTTGGACTGTGCCTGAGCTAACAGTGCTGATCCACCTTCCAATTTCAAAAGCTCGTTGCTGTAACGGTCATATCGGTTGCTGGCCTTTTCGGACAAGTGCTGGAGTTCCTGCTGCAGCAAGGTGAGTTCTGGGAAGGTTGGTACTGTGGGGATCGACGGTGAGGAGGCGGAGGAAGGGTGTTGCGGGCGAGGCAGGAAGCTTCGATAGGTGAGCGCGTCAGGGTCGAAGGCGGGCGATGCAGAGTCCATTGCCGAAACAAAAAAAAAATGAGAACAAAAGAAAAGGGAGAGAGGCTCGAGTGACTGCTAACAATCAGAACCAGTAAGGAAGGTTCAGCAGTTTTGTGGTCAGCATAAGGAGTCCAAAGTAAGAAGGGCTCGTGGCATCGGGGAATGGGAACAGTGGATGCTTGCTCATCTTTACCTCGAAAGTAGGGTCCCGTTAACGACGGCGCGAAGTCGAGGGGACTGTTAAGGCAACGATATGTCGCGTCGAGAAGGTAAAAAAACAAGTGATTATAAGCTGTCAAATTTCGGACAAGTGATGGGATTTGTAATTGCCAAGCAAAGGTGGCAAGAGAGGAAAGTTGTTGTGTGGATAAAAGTGAGGAGTTTAAAGAGGATGAGAGGGATGGTGTTGAGCAATGGAAAGAAGGTTGAATGTGTTGTCGGGAGTGTAGTTGTTGTTTGTTTGTGAGTTCCTGAAGAAGCTTTTTTTTTTCCTTTGGGCTTGGGTTTTTGATGGTTGATGGAGGTCCCCACGGTATTTCTGTCACTTTCGCCTGCCGCTCATTTTTCAGGGCTCATTCCGCTTTAACACTTACGACTTTTCATATTCGGTGATCCTTCTACGCAGCGATATATAAACGTTCAGGCACCAACCTTCATTTTTTTTCCCGCCTTTTTTCTTCCGCAACTGCCATGGACGCCTCTACATTACAAAAACTCGCTCAGTGGGAGCAGGCTCATGCCAGCGGGAACAAAAAACCTTTGACCGCAAAGGTACTGGCATCTCTTATAACTATTGCATGCGAAATAACGTGTTACAAGGACAGAGACTTACACGCTTTTGACGTTCATATGGATAGGAGTACCCACCTATGCGATCATGTCAGGATATCACACTCAAAGATATTCAACCCATTCAGTTGACTCAGAAGAAGGCGCGGATCGAAGCCTTATCAGCCCAGGAGATGCAGGCCTCGGAGCAAACTACCTCACCCATCGCCCCAACATCTCCACCTTCAGAGCATATCAAGTCATCAGGACTGTCAAGGAAAACGTACTACGAGTCATGGGATAAGTTCGATGTGGATAAGGCACTGGATGATTTCGAGAGGGACGACAAGCGGTCAAGCGCCAAACCATCCAGCATCAGCACAAACTCGACCAAGACAGCGCCAAAACCGTTGTTAGCAAAGCCTACAGGGGTAACAGCTGTTGATCAGGTCAAACCAGTAACGACGCCTTCAGACTCTGTGGCAGCAGCTAACGCAGAGAAGGAAAAAGTAAGGATTGCGAATGGTTGATAAGGCAAAGAAAGACGGCAGTACTTCGTATGTAAACCTGGACTCTAATCCATGTACCCACTTCTCAATTGACTCAATAGGGAAACGAGCTGTTCAAGAAGGGACTGTACGCGAAGGCGATCGATCACTACTCTGCAAGTATGGCATTGGACCCTTCCAACTCAGTTCTTCCAATCAACAGAGCCATGGCACTGCTCAAACTTGAAAGGTACAGTGTTCAATGAAGCTGACTTGGATCTGAATCGAACAAAACGTGTCAAGATCATCATTGCTGACCAAAGATATCATGCTGTAACGTCTACTGAACCATAGATTTGCAGAGGCTGAGCGTGATTGCACATTGGGACTGAAGCTGGACAACAAGAACGTAAAGGCGCTTTGGAGACGAGGTATCGCACGTCGGTCACTAGGAAGAGTGAATGAAGCCAAGAAGGACTTTGAAACAGCACTGACGATCGATCCTACCAACAAGGCTGTCAAGGATGAGCTAGCGAAACTTAAACAGGGATCTACAACAGCAATACCATCATCAACAGCAAAACCCTCTGCAACAAAAGCCTCCGCCACATCAACACCAGCCTCAAAAACTGTCCCCAAACCTACCACAGCCAAAAAGCAGGAGTTGCCAGCATCAGAGTCGTCAAAACCACCAGTCATCTCCAGCAAGCGTGTTTTGATCAAGGAAGTCGATAATGATGAAGACTCGGAACTTTTTTCACCCGCCGCCACCAAGCGTATTGCAGCTGAGTCCAAGTCGACTACACCTGCCGCATCAAAGATCACACCAGCTGAGGCTACCCCAAAACCTGTTGCCGTTGAAGTCGTCAAGCCCACTTCATCACCAACACCTACTCCTACCCTTGCGCCCGTCACACCACTCACCAAACCTACTACCCCACCTATGACGACCAGCAGCTCAAGGACAAACATGGTTGCACCCTCTACAACCCTTGACTTTCAACGTGATTGGAAGAGTTACAGCAAGAACAACGAGCTGTTGTACCAATACATCAAGGTAAGCGTCACACGTCAGAAAGTACAAGATGAAGCAATCCACCACGGAACCAAAGTCTTATTTCGAAAGCCTACGTTTTCATCTCATTTACACTTCACTAGCTTATTCAACCGGAGGCGATGCCTGGTATCTTCAAGAGTTCTTTCGAATCTGACTACCTTTCGTCCATGCTGACCGTCTTCAGGACATTCTACATCCCGTAAGCTACAAGGAAACTCACATTAGGTTGCGTGCCCCTTTTCAAGCTTGCGACCCCTCATACTAATCTTTGCTTCGATTACTTTTTAATGTGCGACTTAAAACAGGTCGGAGGACCCACAGTTGCTCTACCGTAGTCTGGCCAACCTTGGCAAGGTGCAACGTTTCGACATGGCGCTGATGTTCATGACTGGCACCGACAAGAAAGGTTCGTTCCACCGTTGCTTGCCCCCGCTTACGAGAATCGATTTGCTTAAATATTTGCCACCATAATCAGCTTTTCAACCACAACTCACATCCCCTTCTTTTTTTTTTTTTTTAGACCTTGTATCTATCTTCCAGCATCTCGCAAGTCATGTCAACGACAGCACAACGACATACTCCCAGCAGGACCTTGCAGCCTTGGCGTCCAAATTCAAAACCACGAACTACTAATGAACTCAGTCACAGGTACAATCGCGGATTAAAAATAAAAACAGAAGCTTGGAGCATGCAAGTTTAATTGTCTTGGACGAGTAGGTGTATTATCTACCCACTGCGACACATCCTGTCACAGCAGTGTCGAGTCGCGGTTATTGTCTACAACTTGCTCGGGACTATTTTCAGATCCAGACACAAAGGCAAAGACATTGACGCGAATTAGTGTATCAATACCAATGACAGGCTCAAAGAGAAGGAAACCAATCCAGAATGCAATTCGTTACTTTCGTCAGTTACCTTTCTCAATGGGATCCCAGACAGGTGCGTTCCCGCGAAGTGACCAAATATCATCAACCCTAATAGGTGGGGTATTCAACCGATCCAACCACTTGCGATCCTCATCCAACAAATACGCGTTCACTGCAACCGTGATCGCATCCAATGGAATCGCAAAGTTGAGATGTGTGATCGTCCGCCCAGTCGATGTCTTTCCATTTCCCGTAACGAGCCCAACGAATTGACCGTCGGTGTTGACAAGGACGCCACCGCTGTTGCCACGGTGGACGGGGGCGCTGCTGAGGAGCATCACGGGTTTGTCGACGTGAGTAACTACTTTGCTGCAAATCCCTGAGGTAATCAGGGGGAGGATTCCTGAGGAAGGGCCAAAGATCCCGTGTCCGATTGCGAATAAGGGTGTTCCTTTCACAATTGGCTTCATCCTCGATCTAAGGGTATGACAGCGCAGAAAGAGAGAGAGAGGCATTAATTAGTCGTCAAATTAGCCTCGCCGCCATCTTGCATAGTTACAAGTCAGAAGAGAGAAAAGAACCATGCACCTAGGCGCACATACATTTCTTCAGGAGTCCTGAGTGGGAGGTAGGGCAAGAAGCCGTTGAGGACACATGTTTCTGGGATCTTGATCAGGGCAACGTCCCAACATGACTCTGACACAAATACCAGCTCGCAGTCATCCACCCAGAGCTGCTGCTGAGGCGAATCAATCCTGACGCGCAATGAGATCCCACTCCTGAGATTTGGCCATGTGCGGTTACTGATGTTGTCCAGGAACGACGTGAATACGTGCGCGTTAGTCAAGATGTCTATGTGTGAAAGAAAATAAGATGAGTTAGAGGCGGGCAATACGTAGCTTAGCTCCGTGCTATGTACAACACTTTCAAAGTTGCTTACGGCCGCTCTTGGAGATGACAACGCCTGAAGCCCAGGTCTGGCCCACTTGAACCATCACGACAGCCTGGCGCGCATTTATGAAGGAACTTGAGTTCAAGGCGGCAACATGGTCGGGCTGCAGTGGCTGGCGTGGTATCGTAATGTAAGGTGAGATCGCAGCAACAATACATGCGACTGGAATAACAAGGCTAATGTCAACTGGCTCTCCATCCGTCCTCCTATTTCACATGTGTATATAAAAAAAGCGATGTGAGTGCCAGTTCTGATCACCGATTCGGCCGCGAAGTGCACAAACGTAGCAAGCGAAAAGTCGAACATACCGGATGGGAAGCATGCTGAGGCCGGCCAGCTCTCCAGTCTCGTCCCAGCTGACAGCTCCGCCCTCCATGCCAGGTAAGAATTTTGCATCCGTCAGCACTAGCGAGTTGGCCTGCTCATCGGCTCGTCGAGCAGCGCGGTACGGGTGAATGATGTTGGCGACAATCCCCTGACTGATGTTGTTGATCAGGACCGAGGGAGCAATTAACCCAAATCCTGATCCATGAAGCGTCAACCGTTTTCCAATCGTTGGGACCGATAGTTGGTAAGGGTACCGTTCATTTCCTAGCACGGCCTCTGTTTCATCTTCGTCGGTGCTGCCGTTGGATTTGATGTCGAGAAACCCAGATTGAGAAGCGTTAGGCTTGAGTCGAAGGATCGCCAGTCCTGCGATGCCAACATTGCGAAGGGAGAATCGATGGATAGAGCTCAGATCCGTTCCGAGTTGACCCTTGTTGGTGCCCCAGCCAAACACCCACATTGACGAGTCATGTCCAGTCAATCGTCGGATCGACGACAGCATTCCTGAAGTGAAACGGTGAAATATAAACCATTGTCAGTTCTCTACTTTTTCTCGTTTCCTTGGCGTTCATTTTAGCACAAGGAAAGTTATTGTCATTATGACCGTTGGGCAGTACCTTCAGCTTCAACAACTGCAACGAGATCTGCATTGATCCAGCTCTCTCCTCCATCTATTTCATAACACAAAAGCGTCAGGAGTTAGATACTGGAAATTGACAACCATTACTATTGCGGTCAATAAGGCTGTTCGTGAGAAGAATAAATCTTACCATCGTCGATGTTGCTCTCAAAGAGAACGTCGACTCCTGAATTAGGGGACAGGACCATCTCACCATAGGACGACAACTAGCGCGAAAATAAAAAGACACGCAAATTTTCTATTAGCCCAGTTTCTCGTTACTACTCTCGCTCGCAGCAAGGAGGGTCTGTGGGGAGGGTCGATTCCTTTTGTTTTGCGCGTGTTTACCCCCACAGTTTCTCATTTGTTGTTTTGTTTGGTGTTGTAAAGTCTCCCACGACCCGAAGCAGAAAGAAAGATGAAGGGAGAGGAAATGTGAAGGAGGAGCCGCAACCCCCTAGCCGTCGCGTTCCCATTTTTGCATTCATCATCCACGCGCGTATGAGTATGTGTGGTTATCGTTGGCTTGTTGCTTGCTGTTTGGTGTCTGTTCGTTCGTCGGACGGTCGAAAGAGTTTTGTCCAGAGAGTCGAAAGGCAAAAGGGCGAAGAGGGGGATGTTCACTTCAAACTCTTGACTCTCTTTCTTCTACAACTAACCTTGTCCTGCAAGAAAGGGCGCAAAAGACTTGCGCTGGGTTTTTGTTTCAATTGATTGAGAGCAAGAAAAGAAGGAGAAAAAGAGAAAGGAATACGCGTGAGTACCATGGATGCGAGTGCAACATGAACAGCATTGGCCGTCCTTCGATTTAATTGGGGGGACGCGAATGAATTGGGAGACATATCGGATCGGAACACAAACTAAAATTGATCGTTCGAGTCCAAGCAGACAGCGGCAACGGGGAAGGGGCGAGAAAGGAGATCGATCGGCTTGTGGAAAAATATATACCTTGTCACGACCAGGTTGGAGCCCAGGGCAATGCCAGATGCCGTGAACGTAGAATACCCTGCTGTATTAGATCGAATCGAATTGAAGAGAAGAGGAAAGAAGAGAGCATAGCAAAACAACAAACATCACAGAGCATTGGGGATGAGCGAGTTAAGGATAATATAGGTATTGTTCTGTGAACGATTGAAAAACAAGGAATTGATCCAGAAGAACAGAGCAAACAAAAGCACAGCGATCAAGATGTGTGGATATTTGACATGAGGTTGATATTCATTGTGGAAGAAGGCGCGGCCTTCAGTCTTGGAGCCGGTTTCGTCGGGTCCATGGCAACGGACACAGACTGAAGTCCAATTTTGGATCATGTCGTTCAAAGTAGAACCGGGTGGACAAGGGCGGATGGGGAAACTGGAAGAGTGGGAAGGAGGGTTCTGCGGTTGAGAGTCAATTAAAGTATGGGGGTGTGCGGTTGTGTGAGAGAGAGGGAGAGAGAGGGAGAGAGAGGGAGAGAGAGAGAAAGAGAGAGAGGGAGTGTGTGTGTGTGTGTGTATGTGAGTCAGTGTGTGGGGAACAACGGCTGAGCAGGAGATTATGTGAGAAAGGAACACAGGGACAAGGGATGAGCCGGGGGAGAGAGAAGCCTGGTGAGTAATGAATGGAATTGGATGGGGAGGAGGTGAAGGAAGAAGAAGAAGAAGAATGTAAGGATGGGAAGAGGGTAAGAAAGAGACAAGAAGAAGAAGAGAAGTGAAAGGAAGTTAGTGAGAGAGTGAGTGAGAGAGAGTGGAAGAGAGATAGAGAGAATGCAGGCCCGAGTGAACGTGAGCATCACTCTTCTTTCCTTGCTTTCTTTCTTTCTTTCTCTCTTCCTTCCTTCTCCCCCGTCACCCCCTGAGCCGAGTAGAGTCAGAGCCAATGCGCTGAGAAGTGAACAGCGACCACTCAGGAGCAGTCACGAGGCCCTTTCGTGTCTTCAACCCACAGACACCACCTTCTCTCCCTCACTTCTCTTCTTCTCTTCTCTTTCTCCTTTGTCTTCTCTTGCCCTCATAGCCTTTGCACCACTATTAATATATCCCTAGACACAACTTACACTTCTTACCCTTTTCCCCTTCCTCCACACACCGACTGATGGACACCGACATGACCACCTCTGGAGGACTCAACATCCTCATCGACCTTGCTCACGTCCCCGCTGAACTCCAGCTCGGCATAGAAGCCATCGCCACCAACGCCCCCCAGCAAAACATCTCCCTCTGCGAATCTGACGACCACCTCCACGACGTCGAGATCCACTGGCTCGTCAGGTAGCCCATTCACTTCCTTCTCCTCATTCACATTCCTCCGCACTCTTTCACTCATTCGCTCATTCATTCGACCTCGAACTCAACTCAACCCCACTCAACTCACACATATACTCGTTTTTGGATACAAAATGTAGATTCGAGAAGGACCAGGCGTTGAGCGAGGGCGAGTGTTCGGTTACAGTCTGCCAACACCTCGAGACGAGTGCCACTCAAAGCCGAGTTGCTATTGAGGTCAAGTACCAGCGCAAGATTGAAGGTACTACTTTGCTCCTCACACCCCGATTCCCTTTCTCATTCTTCCTCCTATCCAGTCAATCGTAGTTGAATACTTTTTGAACCAGTCAATGACGAGAGGGGAAACTAAAAATGAAAAGAAGACAAAAAGTGGTGGCTAAAAAAGGACGATTTGAGTAGGTGAGTGGGTGTTGGCTCTTTCGTTTCCCCTTATTCCTTTTTTTTGCTTCTTGGTGAAAGGCAAGAAAAAAGAAAGCAAGAAGAAAAAAGGGTCTAGTAATGGGATTGAACCTTGATTGATTTGATCCTTGAGATACAATAGTGAATGCGATTTGATTGGTCCCGATACTCGAACCAAGCACATTCTTCTCACGCGTAACAGGATACCCTTCCAACAACCAACACTTACAACGAACGACAACGCAGAAAACAAACAACAGACGGGACATCCATCGACTGCTCAGCATATCCGTGTAATCCACACAGCCACCTCACTCCAACGCCCAACTCCAAAGATACACCGCCCACTGCTCAATTCGACTTTCTTCTTTACAGCTCCTCATTATCACTCTCCATCGGCTCTTTAAACATAAACAACAAGAGAGTATGTTTTGCGGGGCAAGCATTGGATTCAATGGGCGCGCCTGTTTATTGATGACCTCAGGATTGGTGCACTTTTTTTTGGTGACACTAGATTAGTGCAAAAATGAAATAATCCTGCGTGACATGACGGAAAGATAAGATCTAATATTTGATTATTTTCTTCATGCGACCACATCTCGCTGGCGATTGAATAGCGTTCAGGTCGCTTGGGCGCATCTTGGGGGCCAGCCGACAGATTCAAGGACCCGATCCGGAGAAAACTCGGTCCTTGCTCAACTATACTGAAAAGGCAACCTTTGAGAATCTGACGTATGTCTCCTCGCTCGAAACCTTGAACGACGAAAAATAACCCAGGAATGAAAATGATGATGATGATACTTGAATTATGACGTTGGCACACAGGAGACAAGCGCGCCACTAACCGAGCCTATTTTCTTCGCTGTCTACCCTTTTAGCGTCATGATTGACTGCAGTCGCGGAGGTGTGTTGAAGCAGTCGAGCGTATTCAGCATGATGCGCAAATGTGCACTAATGGGCATCAACATGATGCAGCTCTACACCGAGGACACCTACGAGATGGAGGGCGAGACTTTTTTTGGATACCTGCGAGGAGGTTACACTCGCCAGGAGCTCATACACATGGACGACTACGCGGATGCACTTGGCATTGAGCTGGTCCCCTGCATCCAGACCCTGGGCCATCTTGGCCAGATGCTACAGTGGCCTAAATACCATATCTATCGTGATACCAACGAGGTGCTGTTGGCCAATTGGGACGAGACCTACACCCTCATCGAGAAGGTATGCATTGCATTATATCGTGACTTTGCCAACCGCTCATTTTATTATTTGCGCTATGTTGAACGTTCCTGTTGTGAGAATCTCTCTCTGATTCGCCGCTTTCTTAACTCGAAAAAAATAGATGATTACAACCATCAGCTCGCCACTGAGATCCAAGAGAATTCACCTTGGTTTGGATGAGGCGGCTGGAGTTGGGGAGGGTCGGTATCGCCAGATCTTTGGCTGCGAAGACCCCACTCGTGTCTTTATTCATCATCTCAAACGCGTGCAAGACATCTGCAAGCGACTCGACTTGAAACCTATGATCTGGTCCGACAGTACGTTACCCCGCTTCCAAATGCTTCATGTACTATTTCACTTTGCTTGTTTTTCTCTCCATCGTCAAATTTATTAATTTGCATGTATTACATTTCCATGAATTACCCTCTATCGTTATTTTAGTGCTGTTCACGCTAGCAAACAAGAACAATAGCTTGGCTGGATACTACGATGGCGGCACGCCTCAATTGACGGACAACTTGCCTCCAGACATCGATCTCGTCTACTGGGACTACTATCACACAGCGAGCGAGTCATACGCCAACAAGATTGAACAGCATCGAGAATTGGGATGTCCTAGCCCATGGGTCGCAACAGCAGCTTGGACTTGGAACCGATTCTGGTGTGCGCTCCCGTTTTCGTTCGCAACCATCCAAGCCTCCTGTCAGGCTGCAAAGCTTGAGAGTAAGCCTGATGCACAGGGTGTGATCGGCAAGAATGTCAGGAACATGATGATTACGATCTGGGGAGATGAGGGTCACGAATGTGACATGTTCTCTGCTCTCCCAGCCATGCATTACTTTGCGGATCATGGATATACCCAGGACACTGAGATTGATCTTGACCGGCTAAAGAATTGCTTCGAGGGCGTCTGTGGAGCCAAGTTTGACGACTGGGTTTATGCCAGCAAGGCAAGTTCTTTTGACAGGTGCCTACCTTCGCTTGGTTTCTTGGACAAGGAAGCAGAAAACATTGACTAACCTTTAGTTTCCATGGTCTGATACTTGTACGCTGTAGATTGACCAAGTAATGGACTCTGATACCCCCCTAACCTTGAAAACTCACTTTGCACCCAACACCAGCAAATATCTGCTTTGGGAAGGTAAGAAAACCCCATTACAAATACTTTTTTGCACAAAAAAAAAAACTATGAATGGGGGTCTGTCAAGAAACCGGCGTGCTTGATTGAAACTGACATGTCGCATGTATTTTTGGTCGTCGTCGTTTTTTTTTTTTTTTTTTTTTTTTTTTTTTTTTTTTTTTGGTTAATAGATCCATTCCTGGCACACATTTCGCCACAGTACGCGATGATGAACCTAGAAACACACTATGCTGAAATTGCCCAGAACTTGAGCAAGATGATCGATTACAACAAAGAGATCTTCCCCGAGAACGAACGTCTCCGGATGGCCTACTTGGTCGCCCAAGTCCTCACGCTCAAATGTCATCTCCACTCACGAATGACCATCGCCTACCGCTCGGGCGACCGCCAAGAACTCTATGACCTGACTGAGGGTCGACTCGTCGACCTCCAGGTGGCCGTGGATCAACTGTGGAAGTACCATCGGTCCATGTGGCACAAGACTAATAAGCCATTTGGGTGGGAGGTCGTCGAGATGCGGTATGGTGGCTTGAGGACGAGACTCTTGACTATGAGAGATCGAATTCTAGAGTACCTTGAGGGGATCGAGAACTGGGACCGCCAGCAGCAGCAGCAACTGCAGCAGAGTGATGGCAGTGCGTTGGCTTCCTCGGTGGGTAGCCAGCACAGCAATGGCGCCCATTCCCAGAACGGCGCCGCAGCAGCAGCAGCAGCAGCATCAGAGTCCAACCTGACTCCGACGAGACGGGGCAGTTGGATGGACAAGAACCAGCAGGAGGATAGACCCACAATCCCGGAATTCGATACCAACCGCGAGGCCATGTACGAGTATGCGGGTTGTAACCTCCTCATGGACTACAACCGCGTCTCTACTCCTAGCCGTCCTGGTTAGATACATTTTTGGATCTTTTTTTTTGTGCCTGTCTTTTTTTTTTTTTTTTTTTCCAACATAATAAAACTAAGCAATGCACTTCAATATTGGTTATCGTTTTTATGTTTTTATTATTGTCATGTCCAAAAAGTATCCAAAAGTCCGATTTCATAAATGTCTACAAGCAAAAAGCGTATTTAGAAGTTTGCCCAGTCATCATCATCTCCCCAACCATCTTTCTTCCCGCTCTTGTTACCAGCAGCAGTAGGCTTGGCGGCCGCTGCACGCGCTGCTGCCGAGGTCGCCGGAGTAGTCCGGTTGCTGGCCGCAGATCCAGCTCTAGGCGCAGGCGAGTTCGAGTTGGATCTCGAGATGCCCATTCCTCCAGCCTGATAACTGTTACCATTGTTGTTGTTGCTGTTTCCAAAACCGTTGTTGTTGCTGCTGTTACCGTTGCTGTTATAAGGTCCGGGTGAAGAGTTGTTGTTGTTACGAACAGGGGGCTGGTTCTTTTGTTCGTAATGGTTCATAGTCGAGTTGAAGAAATCATCGCCGCCGCCGCCGCCGCCATTGCCGCCTCCTTGCTGGTAGTCTGAAGATCCAAATCCGCCGTAACGACTGTTGGAACGCGAAGCTGCACCAGCCTGAGGGTTGATCTGCGAGTTCACCATTGTGCCCAAAGAACGACCGCCTTCCTGAACCTATATATAGAGACGCATCGCCCAATCAGATATCATACGAGCACCGTCGTGTGAGTGATTAACGCACATAGTGCAAGCGTCTTCAAGCAGAAAAAAAAAAAAAAAAAGGATCTGTCAAGAAGTTTACCTTTTGTCCAATGGAAGAGACATAACCGCCAACCTTGTTCTGAAAGTCGGGATCGGTAACAGTGGCGGCGGTAGGCTTGATCACATTCTCGTTGATCATGTTGGCACCAGCGACCAAGGTGGTCGACAGCAATGACCAACCCTTCGACAACGCTGCAGCAGGGTCGTTCAAGATATCGTTAACATCCAAGGTCTCATTGTGGGCTGAAGGAGCAGGCGTGTTTCCGAAACCACCATACTTGCCACCCTGACTAGGAGGCAAGTTTTCCGAACGCTGTGAGTTTTCTGATCCAAGTCGGTTGAAATAGGTTTCGTTTCTCTGCTTGTCCGTCAACGGGGCCATTCCTCCGTTGTTACCGCCAATGCTGCCTCCTGGTGAAGGAGAGTTGTATCCGTTGCTGGGGCTGTTGTATCCGTTTGAGCCGTTGCTGTTGAAACCGCTGTTATTGCTTCTGGAGCCGAATGCTTGTTGGTTGGAGGCAGGAGAGCCAGATCGGTTGCTGGTGGCCGAGTTGGGGCGGATCGGTGCACGCGCCGCTGATGTCGAAGGGGTCCATGGACGTCCCTCGCAAAGTGCAGCCAACTATATCCGTGTGAAAATGGTACCAGACAAGGGGTACGAGCGTACTGTTAGTCAGAGGCAGAAAGTCGACAGCAAATAAACAAACGCCAGCAGCGGAATCATGCCCCTCCGCTTATGCAGAAAAGGATGCGTCTTCTTGGCGAATATTACCTTCTCCTTGTATTGGGTTGAAAAGACGCTGCTGTACTTTTCCTTGATCGACATTCCCTGGTAGAAGTCGGGGCTCGCCTCAAAAAAGTCCTTGGCCTTGATGTTGCCTCCGAGTTCCATCTTCTTGAGCTGATCATCCGACCACTTGTCCATGGATATGGAACGCACAAAACTATAACCAAGCAGAGATAAAGTAAGATAACAAAGACATTGATAAATGGTTCTCCGAAGAGTACATGCTCCAATTGCGTCTGTATCCTTCCTAATTGATTGAAAGAGCCGCTCTCTACATCCATCGACCCTTTCTTCCAGTGTAGGGATGATAGCATGAACCACTGCGAAAGAACGAGCAGGTTGGCGAGGCAAGTCGGTCTGAAAGAGTCGCAAGAGAGGAGAAAAACATACCTGATGTGAACACCAAGGGAGCGATGAACCCCTGAGCACTCCAAGCAGATGAAGATACCCAGATTGCAACTAGCCCATTGTGGGTTGGGCGCGTTGCAATCCATGCAGTTCTAGTGGCACAACCAAACAGGGAGTAAACCGAATGCACACGTCAGTCCGTCAGTCAGTTGGTCTGTTAGGTTCGTCATTGCGAGAAAGGCAAGGGCAAGGAAAGGCAGGAACGAAAAGGCTGAGGTGTCGCAGTAAGGTTGGACTGAAGGTACAGGTGTGATGATGCCGCTCGCTGAGGTCATCATCTGATCTTGTTCCATCTCCTGTTTTTTATTGTTGTGTTTAGTCCAGCAATCGATCAGTGTGATGTGGTGCTGGTCCTGATGAGTTGTTCCATGGATAGACTACGTGGAGAACGACCGTCCCTGCCTGTTCCTCAGTTCACGCACAGAATTTACCCCTTCCTGTAGTCCTGGCATTCACTCCTTTCTTCCTCCTTCTCTCCTTGCTCAGTGATGCGATCCCGAAAGTCGACTCTATATGTTTGAGTCCTCTGCGACTACAACCCTGACTTTGAATCCCTGCCTGGCTGGCACTTGAAAGAATAGGAAGCAGAGGTCAAAGGGGAAGATGAGAAGAAGGGGAGGGGGGGTATGTATACCTTGTTCCCTTCCCTGCGCTGGATGTCGAAGAGGATGCGTTTGTACTCGACGGCCATGGCGTGTGGACGATGAGGGTAAAAAAAAATGTAAGAGTGGGGAGAAAGTGAGGGGGAGAAAGAAAAAGTGAAGAGAAGAAGAAGGAAGAGGCAAAAAATAAAAAAAAAAGTCTAAAAAAAGTCTGAATCGGATCTCACGCCTTTGGACCCCTTCTGAACACTTACACTCCTTCAACCACTCACTCGCACCCTTATTAATTCTGTGCCTTGTGAAATGGGCTGGGCAGGCTCACTTCTTGCCACTTACTTGACCTGCTCGCTGGGCTGTTAGCTTCCTCTTTAAAACTCAATGCCACAAACCCGTCGACACTCGTCTACTCGTCCTTCCTTGTTCTTGCCTGTGTACTGCAAAACTCAAGGGCACCAGCCTGGACGAATGCGATGCGATGGCGTGTTGCTTGCACTCAGTGGGTCAAATCATTTGATTGGTCTCTTTTCCATTTGTTGGTCTCTTTTCCCTTTGGGCTCCTGCCCCTTGGAATGCTCAAGCTCTAATAAACACTCCCTTGCACAAATGGTGAACCCTTTTTCATTTTCATCTCCTTGACAATGCCACGCGACAAGAACACACTTCTTTCATTCTTCGTTCAGCTCGGCGCTCAGATATCTGAATATACATATTTTCGTACGTTGAATAGATTTCAAAACAAGCTGTTCTATGGTCCTCATCGTCATTTCTTATGGCTGGTTAAACTACATGAAAAGATAAAAATAAGATCCGAACAAAGAAAAAGCTTCTATCGATAACGGTAAACCTCGCAGCCAGTCTGCTCTTGGTATATGTATCGCTGGTACTTGATCTCCTGGAGACGACAGGTCCATTCGCACAACTCAAGGTTGCCACCAACAGCGCCAGCAAGAGTCGCCGACGTATTCTTGCACTTGGTCGAGATAACGGTGGTACCAGAGGAAGGGGGTCCAACGGCAAGGAACGGGTGGGAATCGAGCAACTCTTGGGCTGAGCGACGATCCTTGGGGTTCTCCTGCAACATGTTCTGGAGGAGATCGGCCGCCTGGACAAGGACCTTGGGATACATCGCCCCCTGTCCAATAAACTCCTTCAATGCGGCAACGGTTTGGTTGGTATTCTGGAGTCCGAGGAACTTGGACCCAAAGTAGAGCAGGTCGCAATCGGGGATATATTCCTCCAACATCTCGCCGAGGACAATTCCGAGCGAGTAAAGGTCCGCCGCCATCGCGTCATATTCTCCATAGGCAGAGGGGTTAAGAATCTCGGGCGCAATGTAACCGGACGTGCCGCAAACGGGGATCGACTTTTCAGCGACACTACGGTCGACGGTCATGGAAAGACCAAAGTCGATGACAACCACATCTCGCTTGGCGTGGGTGACCATCAGGTTCGAAGGGTTGATGTCCAGATGGACAATATCCTTGGCATGGACGGCAGCAAGACCAGTCAGGACCTGGCGCATGGTCTTGCGGACCGAGCACAGGCTCTTGTTGACGGCATGGACATCAAAGGGCTTGAGCATGGGCAGAACCAGGACGGTGTCGCCATTGTCGTTGACGAACGAGTCTTGGAGCTGGATGACATGGGGCAGCTGACGGAGATCATGGAGGAGCTCGAGTTCTTTCTCGGCGAGACCGGCGACGGGGACGGTCTTGAAGGCCAGGGGCATGAAGTCGGCAATGCGGATACCAAACTCGATCGTTGACAAGTCATGCTGTAGTATGAAACAAAGTCGCCGACGTACTAGGTTAGTGATCGTGTGCAAGTAGAGTGATGATTGACTGATTGATCAACTGATCGCTCCTAGGCGACGTGTTGTGGCGAGGGTATAAACCCTTAACTCTGCCACCCAGTGACCGAAGAACAGGCAACAACGAAAAACAGCAACTCCACTTTCAGAATGAGAAGGAAAAGGAGGAGCCGAAGAGACAAGCTCCAAAAAAAAAAGTAAAGATGAACAATCGATCACAACGACGATAAGAGGGAAGGATAGCAGGTAGATAAATAGTGTACACAGTAAAGAGTATTGAATAGAGCAATGGAAATGAAAGCAAAAGAGGTGAAGATTACTTGCCTCGAGCTTGGGGAACATGTCGTTGACGAGGTAATCGGTCTGGCCCTTGGAAGGGTGGTGCTCACACGGGGCCGTGTACACATAGTCTGCAGAACAGTAGGCATTACCATCAGCCTGCTGTTGCTCTGCGATCTTAGCCTGGTCCTCCTTCGACAGGCCAGACACGGTGTTGGCCTGTGCATCAGATGAGCTGGACTCGTTCGAATCCATCGAGGCAACGGAATCAGTCTCGACATTCTCCATCAGGTTGTCGGCTGAGGCATCGCCATGACTCTTTCCCTCTCCATTCACAGGACCATGGAGCACAATGCTCGACATGATGTCAGCAAGCTGCACAGATCGCGACTTTGTGTGACAGGGGCTGATGATGTGATATTGGCTGTGGCTACGAATGTGGGTCTGGATCTGGTGGATCAAGGGGTGGCCCTGGCCATAGTAGCTGGATCGCTGGTGGTGACGACGTTGGAGCAGAGTGAGGCGGATGGGGGGAAGACCGACAGTGTTGCGAGGCTGGCGTGAAGAGAGAGGAAGGAGAGGAGTAGGAGCAAACGAGAATTGGGAGGATCGTCTGTTGTTGCTGTGGAGGATGTTCTTGCTGCTGAGGTCACTACCATTACTACTGTCACTCTTGCTTTCGCCATCGTCACCGGCGATACTGGTGGGTTCAGAGAAAGCATTGAAGCTGTTTTAAAAACAAAAAGGAAACGGGTTAGGTTTCTCCATTGCTGTCGTCCTTTGTAGCCTCTGTCGTTGCTGTTGTTGTTTGGTCGGATTGGTCCATTGGAGTGGATAGTGGGTTACGAGATCGGAAAGGAATATCAAGTGCCGAGATTGATAGATAACGAATATAAATGGGGTTTTGCATACTTTGCTGCAGATTGGGTAGATATGGATTGGACCGCCATGATGAGTGTTGTTGCTGATGCTTTCGATGGGGAAGAAGAGAGGAAACTTGTGGGTTTTTTGTTTTAGTTGTGGACTAAGGGTTGGAGGAGAGGAAGAGGAGAAGTGAGGATGACGGAAATCACTGATTGTCGTGTATGAAGGAGGAGAAGTGGGTGTGGGTACAGCGAAAACACGATAGTTGCATCAAAGAAACTGGTTCAGTGGGTTATACAACGGTGAAGGGTAAGTGGGAGGTGGGAGGGTGTATGGATGGGCGGTATGGGTGAAGAAATAGAAAAGAAGAGAAGGAAGGAAGGAAGGAAGGCAAGAGAGAGAGAGAGAGAGAGAGAGAAAGAGAGAGAGAGAGAGAGAGAGAGAGAGGTAGCCAGGTAATTAAGTGAGAAAAGTGCAGTGGGAGGGTAGTTGTGATGGATAGGAATGGATTCGAATTGAGGCGAGGTGGGGTGAAAGATAACGAATAAAAAATATCAAGTGAGTGAAGAAGTGTGAGAAGTGTGAAGAAGTGTGAGAAGTGTGAAGAAGTGTGAGAAGTGTGAAGAAGTGTGAGAAGTGTGAGAAGTGTGAAGAAGAAGAGTGAATAAGAGGATGAAGAAGAAAAGAAAGAGAAGGGTAGGGATGGACCATGATTCTCCGTTATGTCATATATATTTTCGATTGTTGTCTGTTACAAGAAAAAGCTCTTCTTTCACACTCTTTGTCAAACGAGTGAGTGTCCCGTCCGTGGAGTTGTGGAAGCCCTTTCTTTAGTGCCTTCGAAAGATAAGCTAGCCTCCTATTCATAGGATATAATATTCAATACAATCCCGTCCAATCAATCGCCGCTCTGCCTCAGCCTGCCTCTCTCCGCCTTGGCCTTGACCCTCGCCTACCTGGCACTTGCACTCTCACTCAATACAGTCAGCCAGCCTCGGTCCAAACAGATCCGGGCGCTCATGTCAGCCATTCACTCACGCAGTCAAGTCACTCACACTCACGCAGTCAAGTCACTCACACTCACACAGTCAATCCAGTCAACTCTCAACTCAGACATTCATTCTTGTTAACAGCCCGTCCAGCCCCAGGTCTATTCATTCGACTGGGAAGGTATTCCCTATAACCTTCATTTCTCTCGTCCAATATGATTCAGCCATGACACCATTCTTCCCCCACAGAAAAGAAAGAGGACCCTGGCCGGCTGTCACATTCACCAACAGGGTTGACGTTATTCGTTTCCTTTTTGCAATCTTCTTGAAGACTGCGGGGTAGCAAACTTGCTTCATTCTTCTCGAAAACAACACGCTCGCCCGTGCTCGTTGTTTTCCTTTCGACTGTGGACTTGAGCTAGTGACAATGGACAAGAGAGGCTAGCGCGGACACGCCACTCTTTTTTGTTCAATAGATGCCTTTCTTCGATCCCCATGGTACTTCTTTACACCGATACCGATGGATGTGAGCAAGCCATTTTTTGTTTCACTCTCCTTCACTGCTCTCTATCTCTTTTACGTCTTCGTTTCTTTGACGAACTCTCTTCCCTTTTTCCGCCAGCAGGGGCAAGGGGTGAGGGAGTAGGAGTAGGAGTTGGATTCCAATTAAAAAAAGGTACTGGTACTGCACTGTTCAGACGGAGATGGATTGTATGCAGCAAAGCAAGCAAGCAACGACGACGACGACAAAAAATAGTAAATGCCCAACCAAGCGTCGAGAACCATTAGATCCTCATGTTAATTGACGAAACTTGATCACCCCTTGGTTTTTTCCTCGGTCTTGATGGTTACTGCTTGATCCTAAGTTTTTTGCTGGTTGTTGTTTTTAGCACTTCTCACTCTATCAAACTCGTCCCTGTGGATCAAAGAGAGGGAGACAGAGAGAGTGAGTTGGCAGTAAAACGTCCCTTTGGCACACAATTGCTACCTAGCCTTCGCTCAATGCTATTATTCCAAATGCGCGCATTCTGCATTAATCTCGCCTCCTTTTTCTTGCTTCCTCCTTTGCGTTCTCAAGAAAGACAAAGACGAGTAAGCTTTTTCGCTGCCTAGCAATTATGACCTAAGGTAGTATGGATAAATATCGAGGATAGGAAGGAGGAGACCAACCAAAAGGGTGAAAACGAAGCAAAAAGGAAATACCATCACATCTGGACACAAAATACATAAGCGAAAGAGTCCGGTTCCTGGCATCTTGATATCCATGTTCCTTCTCCTTGTTTGGCGCCATCCAACTCCCTTTCTGTCTTTCTTCTTTCTCACTCTCTATCTCCTCTCTTTTTGTTCTTGTCTTTCCTTCCAACAATACAATTACTATAAAAAAAAAGGGGGAGACCAGGCCAGTGGGTTACCCATGATCCCCTTTTTTTTCCTGCGTACACTTTTATTATGTGGTTATTCTACTTTCTCAATGACTCCACGAAATCTTCAAAAATAAATTGACGTCTCAATGTACCGTCGTCGTGGAAAGAGACAGAGAAGCTTTCGCCAGGTATCTTTGAGGATGCCGAGCATCGACGACAACCTTCTTTTGTTCCTTTTTTTTTTGACGGCCTCGCCCTTCTCTTCTTCCTCGTGCTTTTTATTGGGCCAAGTTACGCCCCTAGCTTTTAGACCACAACTTTGCACTAGTGCCCTTTGTTCCATTGGACCCTTCCTTTCCTTCTCTTGCAAATACACAGAGTGATACTATTCACTCGTAGAAACACTCCTTGTCTCCAACCCCTGCCTCGCCTCCCCCCACAAATTTTTGGGATGGAAGTAGATGGAAAAACCACCGGTGAAATAGCTGAGGATTAGAGGTCTGTACCGGAGCTGCACTCACATATTTGATGACATGTTTCTATTTGGAAGATATACTACTACTACGCCCATCATTTCGATTGTGTGGTTTCTTTTCTTCTCGATGGGCTTGGGCTTGGCAGAGAGAGCCAACAACAACAGCAACAATAACAACAACAACAAAAAGTAGATGACAGATGGGATAACAGTCGATAGTGAACTCTGGCTTGGTCGGCCCACTCTTTGGTGTATGGGGGAGCGGAGGGAATTACACAAGGGAGAAGAGGACGGGTTTTTTAGTTAGCCTATGCAAAGGTACTCCTTTGACACTAGCGTCTTTTTTTATTCCTTTTTTTTTTTTGGCTGTCTGTTTGTTGCTTTGTTTCCAGTTGCATGTCTGCCAATGAACGAGAGAGAGAGAGAGAGAGCAATTTTTTTTTCAGATGGATAAGAGGGATCAAGAACACAGGGAAGCGGAAGAATGCTGACACCTATCAATAATCATTAATGGGTCTCCTCAATGATCGAACGATTCGGGATTACTATTCTTCTTGGCTCATTTGCTCGTTCTCTTTTCCTCATGGCATAGAAAGATGGGGGATTTCGATCAAAGGGACGTGAGGGGAGCGAAATGAAAAATGAGCTCAGACCATTGCTCTAATACCCCTAGTAGAAAAAAAACATTTGTTGCTCAGGCCCCTTACGCAATTTTTTCGTGCCCGCTTCAGCCATTCTCCCAATTCCACTCCGAAATGAAATGAAATGGACTCGGCGAAGCAAATCTAATAAAAAAAATAGGTCGTGCAAGAAGAGACAGCTCTGCGGGAGGAACAAAAAGGAGACGAATGACAGTATTCTGAACTTCTGACAACCTTGAAGTAGTTCCCACAACTGCGATCCATCTCACTTGAGGCGAAAAAAAAAAATGAAACGTAAAGAATTCTTCTACGCCGTCATTCCCGGGCAAGTAAAAAAGACAATGATGCATGCGTCTTGAGCGCAAGGGTTTCATGCTTTTATCCAAGCGAGCAAAAAAGTAAAAGATGAGGTCTCGCCGAGACTCGAACTCGGATTGCAAGATTCAGAGTCTTGATTGCTAACCAATTACAACACGAAACCTTTAAATCATCTTGTTGTTTTCATCTGAGTTTCTGACATTGTTATTCTCAAGGTAAATATTTGAGATCCTCACGTGATGAAATAAGCGCCACCAATAAAAAATAAAAAAAAGGCGATAAAAAAAAAGGCGAAAAAAAAAAAGGCGAAAAAAAAAATGGCTGGAGAAGATGTGGAACGTGTCGGATCTCCTCCGCGGCATCACCCCCTTGAGCATGTTGACTGAATGGTCCGCGGTCTTCCGGACCCCAATGTCCATCGCCAAGACAGTCCCTCACAAGTTTGTTGGCTACCTGGAGGCGCAGGCCTCGGAGCTGATCTGGAAACCTCGGTGCTCCGCGACGATCGCGTGGGAACAAAGCCAGGGCATCTCTGCCAAGGACAAGACATCCAAGTACACAGACCCCCGAGGTGACTGGAGTCAAGGATACGGTTACATCACGCACGATGGTTTCTGTCCGTGTGGCGCTTCGCTAGCCACACATTGTGAAGGAAGGTGCCATGGGGCGACGAAGGACCCACGCGCTGCTGACGAGCGGTTGTTGGAGAGTTTGTTAGGAAGGAGGATGTTGTCAATGATGGAGAGGATGGGAAGAATCCCCTTCATTCGTATCTAGTTTTATTTTCTTCCGTTTAAGCTGTGAAGTGCAGCGACAATTGTCGCGCAGAGCCAGGTTCTGGACCGGACTGCGACTGGTGGATGGTGCACTGAAGAGTTTGGTCTGTAGTCCCCTTTTACTTCCAAATGACTTCTCTATGCTGTTTGTCAGAGAAAAAAAATTGTGTACGAAAAAAAAAAAAAAAAAAAAAAAAAAAAGACGCGGACGAAAGGAATGGTACCTCAACTTCACAACGAGGCGAGGACGATGGCAGGATCAGTATAGGTGAAAGTAAAGGTATAGAACGTTAAAAGCAAACAAACTGCTTCGTTGTCTTATTTTTCATCGTTTCTTAAAGATGACTTTTCATGCCGCCGAACAAAAAACAAGACGAGGAGTCGATGAAAAATATATTGGGAAAAGAAGGGCATGGGAAGAAGGCATGTCGCCTGTTTTTAATCAATGAGTAGGGAGAACACGTGCAAAGTGTTAAATGTATACTTGGGGGGGGTGTTTTTTTTCTATTTACGAGCGAACGGTAGCACTGTCGCGTTGCTCCTTGGCCTTGGCAATCTCCAAGAGCGCCTCCAACTCTGTCGAGCGCTCGCACATCGAGCGGAACAACGAGTCCTCCTTGCGCATCAGGGTATAGGGTCTGTCGTACTCTGCAATCTCTCCCGCATCCATGACAAGTACCCTGTCGAAGTCGGCAATGGTCCTGATACGATGGGCAATCGTGATAATGGTCGCCTCAGACATCTCCTCGCGGATGGTTGTCTGAACCTTGAGATCGGTTTCAAAATCAACACTGGCGGTCGCCTCATCCATGACGATGATCTTTGACCGACGGACGAGAGCGCGGGCGAGGGCGATCAATTGACGTTGGCCCTGTGAAAAGTTGGATCCGTTCTCCTTCACGACTGTGTCCAGGGTGATCTTGGAGGGGTCGACAATTTCCGTGCTGTCTGAAGCGTCATCCTTGATAGATCCAGCGGGCGACTTTGTGTTAGGGGAAGATGAGACCTTGGGGGTGGCAGTTCCATCCAGACGGACGGCGCTGGCAGGGATCAAGTGACTGCGGCGAAGAGCCTCCCAGAGATCGAAATCCTCGTGCTCGTCGAAGGGATCCAAGTTGAAGCGAAGGGTGCCCCTGAACAAGATGGGGTCCTGAGGGATGATTGTCAGCTTGGATCGCAAGTCATGCAAACCAATCTTGGTGATATCGATCCCGTCAATGATGATCCTGCCGCCAACGGGCTCCATGAAGCGGAAGAGCGAGATGGCCAGAGTAGACTTTCCTGATCCAGTACGACCGACCACACCAATCTTCTCGCCGGCCTTGACAGTGAACGAGATGTTCTTGATGACCTCGGGAGTGTCGGGGGCGTACTTCATGGTCAAGTGATCGATCACGATTTCTCCATTATGAGGCCACGATGCTGGTGGACGCGATCCTGGGATGATTGCTGCAGGTTCTGCCTCCAAGTCCATGTACTCGACGACACGTTCGACCTATTACAGGGATGCAGAGGAGAGAAGATATGAACGGGTTAGTTCAATTAGTCCTTGCTAAACCTTAACCGATGCACCGCCATAAAAGCAATGGCAATCGTCTATATCAATCTGAGGCACGAAAAATAGGTAGACAGGGACGACTACTAACAGCATTTAAATTCATTTCGCACTCGGTATATGAGCGAATGACCCAGACAACGGTGCCGGTGAACATCAAGGAATAGGTGAGCGACATGGCAGCCCAGCCGGCTTGAATGGTATCGCTGTACTGGAGGATAAGCATTCCGGTGGAAAAGGCGACAAAGGCTCCTGCAATATCGACGCGCCAGTGCAGCCAGCGGTTAGCAGTCCAGAGCAGGAAGAAGGTCCTGTTGTTGTCGTCGAGGTTGACCATGTTCCTGCTGATAAAACGTTCCTGGAAACCATAGGCGCGAATGGTGGCGATTCCGACAAGGGTCTCGTTGAAGTGGTTGAGGATGGGCGAGCGCGAGTTGGAGTTGAGGCGCTTGAGGTCACGAGAGATGGGGACGTAGAACATTCCAATGGCGCCGTAGATAATGACGATAAAGACGGCGGCGATCAGGAACAATGGCATGTTGAATGAGATAACTCCGATAATGCCGATGACTGTGATCACTTGAGTAATAAACATCAAGAGAGTGCGGTTGACAGACTCGTCGATGGTCGAAATGTCGGAACTGAAGCGGTTGATGATGCGGCCGATGGGGGTGGTGTCAAAGAAGCGGACCTTGGCGCGCGAGACCTTATCGAGCAATTGGGCGTGCAAGGTGCGGGAACCACGGATGCTGACAAAGACAGTGATGTAGTAGCCACCAAAGATCGAAAAGACCATGGTGAAGACTGCGAGGAGGACGTAGACGCCCAAATAAAACTCAACGCTGACAGGGTCGGGTTTGCCGAGAGCCTTCATCGCCATGCTGATAAGTTCATGATCGGTGGTGTTGGTGGGACGGTGAATGTTGTTGAGGGACTGGACGATGGGCTCGGGAGCAACGGTGCCAAAGGTCATGAGAACAAGGGATCCGGCGGCAGCGGAGACTTTGTTGCCCCATCTAGCCAACCAAGCCTTCTGTCCAATGTCGACCAACTCCATGAGGAAGGTAATACAGAGCAGCAAGAACCAGACAGGGTATCCACCACAGGCATCGATATAGGCCTTATAGACCTTCCAGGAGACAGCGCCGATAACTTTCTTCTCGTCCTCAGTCAGCTTGGAGATGACGTGTGACTTGTCAGTTGCCTTGGCCTTCTTGGGAGCGTCTTCGCCGTCCAAAGTGCTGACTTCGCTGTCGGCATCCGATTCGGAGACGACAAGCTTGACATGATCGATCCATCCGTTGCGAATACATTCCTCAGGGGTACCGGTACCAAGAATGACACCCTTGTCCAAAGCCACAACATATGTGGCGGCGCTCAAAGTCAGCTGAACTTGGTGAGTAGCCATAAGGATTGAACGGCCGGCCAAAAGAGGTCCGGAAAGGGTCTGGAAGAGACGTTTACCGGTGTGGGTATCGACGGCAGAGAGACAGTCATCCAAAAGCAAGACATTGGCATCAGAGTAAACAGCACGAGCAAGAGCGACACGCTGCTTCTGGCCTCCAGAAAGAGTAATACCCTGCTCTCCAATCTGAGTGTGGTCTCCAGCCTCAAGGACCTCGAAATCGGTAACAAGAGCGCATCCCTCAATAACAGCGTCGTAGCGGTCCTGATCAAAGGCCTTGCCGAAAAGAATATTGTCGCGAATGGTAGTGTTCTGGAGCCAAGCAGTCTGGGCTACATAGGCGATTCCCGATCCACGAGGGCGCAATCCGTTGCTGTCATAGTCGAGGCGGGGCAAGTACATGTGTCCTTCGGTGCGCTCGAGCTCGCCAAGAAGCGCAAGCAACAGAGCAGACTTTCCTGATCCAGTGGGGCCAACAATGACAGACAGCCCGCCAACAGGGAAATCGGCAGAAATGTTCTTCAGCTGGAAACGCTCCTGAACGGCCTCGGGTTCGGCAACTACCTCGGGTTCAGCAGGCTTGGGAGTATCCTTAGAGAACTTGCCCTTGATCTTCTGAATCCAGGAATCCTTCTTGACAGCAGCCTTGGCGGGGACCTGGTCTTGCTCCTTGTTGGGCCACGAGTACGAGGCATTGACGAATCCGATAGTGGGATGAGACGAGGCATGAACGGGGGCCTTGCCATCAATCTTGGTGACGGTGGTATCATTGACAATGTCCTCCTCATCCAAAAATTCGCCGATACGCTTCAAGCTGACCTGGGCACGCATCATGGACATCATAGCCCATGGAATAGTTGACAGAGCCTGCCTCAGAATATCGAGCAAGGCCAAGGTGGTGAAAAGAGCAGAAGCGGTGATCTCGTTGCCAAATAGACGAGTGTAAGCCCAAAAGATGACGACAATGTTAAGGAGAGGGATGATCTGCCAGGCGAGGTTGGAGATAGCCATACGGGTGTAAGAGTCCTTGGTGCGAAGCAATTCTTTCTCACGGGCAGTGGTAATCTTTTCGACAAACTTGCCCTCCCAGCCGAAAAACTTGACAATGCGGATGGCTGAGAGCATCTCTGTGAGGGTATCCATGCGCTCATCCTTGGTCTCCATGATCTCGCGGAACAGCTTTCTCATGGCAGCGTACAGCTTGGTAGGGATAGGCAGAGTCACGACCATGAATCCGATTCCGACAAAGGCTGCTGGTCCAAGAAGGTAGTACAGCTGAACAGAAGCTAGCGTAAACTCAATCGGGAACCTATTGTGAGAATGAGATCGTGTGAGTTTACGTCGAAAAGCGCCCGTGTTTTTTTCCCGTTTTCGTTCCCGACTAAAAAATGCTTACTCATAGCACATGTGCATGTAGCAGACAGCCTGTTCCAATCTCTGGACATCGACAGCAACCAAGTCTAGATGGGTGGAAGGAAATAAATACAAAAAGTCAGAAAACGAGTATACGAAGTAAAATAACATTAACAAGGTGTGCAAAAAGATGAATAACGTACTAGAGATGTTCGTGTTGCCCTCCTTCTTCTTTTTAGGTGCCTCGCCGTCCTCGCTCCCCTTGGAGTCCAGAGATGAGTTTACATCCTTGCGACGAAGAGACTTGGCAAAGACTTCGGCGTTACAGATTGAGGTGGCGCGAACAAAGATGCGGCGACCCATGTGGAGCGCGGCCTGTTGGCAGAGCGAGCCGAAGAGGGAGGCAAACAAGAGACCAAAGACCCAGGCGTACATGTCCAGACCAGGCTTTCCGCAGTCCCTGCACTCGATAAACTTTGTGATTCTGTTCAGGCAGATGGGCGAGATGACTCTGAGGGCACCGTAGGGAAGAGCCAGGAGGAACTGAATAAAAAAGTCCCAGCGGAGGGCGTAGATAAGGGTCCGGGTAAAAGACGATTTCTTCTTGTTGGTAAAGTAGCTATCATCGTCGAAAAGGGTAAAGAATAACGTTTAGTCAGTACGTCTGTCCCTTGTGCTTAGTGCTCTCATTATTATTATTATTATTATTATTTGTCCTTGGCATTGGCCTTGGATAAAAGAATGAGATCCGTATTTGGACATCTTCTCTAACAACTTACTTTGTGATTCTAAACCGTTGCAACGAGTGTTGGGCAAGGTCACTGCTAGCAAGAGGAGGGAGATCTTTGTCGAGAAGAGGCCTCCTGAAACCAAGATACACCCAGGGGTTGATCCACGAAAAGGCCACAAACGAGTACAGCGAAGCAGCAGACTCAGGCGCAGGCACACGCTCAATCTCGCCTTCCCTCAGTTTCTTGGGAGGTGTCCAGGGTTGGTACGGCTTGGTGATCAGCGCGACCCAAATCAACGCAGCAGTCGTCAACCAGAGAGCATCCTCCAACTTGAGTCTCACCGACCATTCGGAAAAGGGAGTCGTCAATACGTCGTTGTGGTAGAGCTGGATAGATGTCAGGGCCAATTGGAGAACGTAAAAGAAATCGAGCTGAGGGCGGACCCAGAACTGAAAGGCGACTGCAGGGCGGATCAAGAACACAAACGACAGAGCCAACGCATATGCCCATGACAGGGATCTGATTGAGTCAGTCAACAAACTGTATTTCTCAGTTGCAGCAACAAAAGAAAAGGTGTCATCTTCGCTGTCGTTGTTGTTGTTGAGGTGGAAATTGGCAAGAGAAAAGACGGAGAGACCGAGAGCAAAGGCAGTCAGACCCTGGCGGGCAAGATTGACGCCCATGCCAGAGTTGCGCTGGTCCTGGTATTGCTCGGCGGCCTGAGTGGTCTCGTTGATGGCGGAAGAGTCCCCGTGGCTGTGACCGATGGTGGTGTCACCATGCTGGTGTGTGGGGATATTAAGGTCATCCTCGTTCAGGTTGTCTTTGACAGCGTCGTATTGATCCAGGTGAATGGGCTTTCGTGAGAGGTGCACAATCAACAAGGCCGAAGCGATCGAGTATGCCAAAGGCAGAGTCGATTCTACCAAGCTTTTTAAGAGAAGAAGTATCGATGGTTAATACATTTCTGGTACTGAAACAAAGAAAGAAGGGTGCCAACCTGCATTGTCGACCGACCGACGAGGTATGTGCTGGGTACTTACTCAATGGGAGATACCATCTTTTATGCAAACGTTTGTTTGTTTTCCTCTTCTCTTTGTTCTTACTGCCGTTGAAACAAAAGAAACGAGTGAGATGCCGGTTGCAAAAACGGGGACGGAGAAGCGAGAGAAAGAGGGGAGAGAGGGAAGGGACGGAGAAGTGAGGTACAAAAAAGAACAAAAAAGGAGAACAAAAGAAAGGAAGAGAAATCGAAAGCACGTCTCTGTTCAGAGTATTTATTTGTGCCTGTTCCCCCTTTTTTTTTGCAATTCTTCCGTGGGAGGGCGGGCGAGCGGGGTGGGAGAAGGACAGCAGCCTGTCTAGGCGATCATTGGTCCGCAGTCCTTAGAAGTCATGGCATGTCCAAACCTTGAAAAAAAGGGACAAAGAATCGATTTGTGAGCAAACAAAAAAAACCAGGAACGAGAGGACCGAGAGCATGAAACGTGCCGCGCCACAAAAGATTGAAGATGGCGCAAGGGAACATTCATCCATAAATCATCTTGGCCACGAAAGCAGCGGCTTCATGCATAAACAATATCCAATGGCGAGTGAATGAGTGAGAGCAAATGTGGTTCGAAAGAATGAAAAAGTCATGAGATCAAGGGCGTCAGTGCTTTTTTTTCCAATCAAAGGTGTCAATTTCCCATTGCTTGACAGTTCGCCATTGACAACTTTTAGCCGGATTAGGCGGCATGTATTCATGGCCATCCGTTGGTCATTCTATCCCTCCACGCCATTTCCGTTTGGACATGGTTGGGCAGATTATCACAACAAGATGGCAAAGCCAAAAATAAAGGGGAGGAAACAAACAAACACGCCGAATGACCCTTCCTAACCATCAACAAACACACAAGAACGCAACGTCCTCTCTTTCTTTCATAATATGCTCACGGACCTGAAGGAGGAGAACCTTAAAGGACACGCCGTTCCATTGCCGAATATGTCCATTTTGGGCTATGTATTGTATCTGTGTACTCTTTGTATGCGTGGTGCAAAAGCTCCAATCGCTCCTGTTCCTGATTCCCTTACCAAGGTGTCATGTGCTCATCTCGGCACGATCTTTGGAGGTCCGAAGGGTGGGCGAGAGAAAAAAGAAGTTCGAACAACTCCAGATGGTATCCTCTGCTTCTATTTTTTGCGTTCCCTATTCTGCAACGCATTGCGCAGCAGCCTTGAAAGAGCCAAGATAACAAATGAAGTGATGAGGCGATTGGCAAAGGTCAATCATGCTGAAGGCGAGGGTGCTAATTGCTACGGAAAATATATGCTCACTTTGTACAAGACAAGAAAAAAGCCAAGTGTCAATTTTAATGCTGAGTATCAAGGTGGCATAGCAATGAACATCATGCCTGTAGAGCCAAATGTGAACAACGAGGATAAGACCCTGGATGGACGTTCTTGGCGTACGTATTGCTCTGTGTTCGTTTTTCTCTCTCCTTGGTTTGTATCACAAAAAGGGTTGGCGGTAAACGCCGCGATTAAAGGGAAAAAACAAAGGAGTCCAGATCGCATTCTGAATTATCTACAACGAACACACACACACACACACACACACACATAATAGCACTCGCCTCAAATGATTGTTCTTTGCAACCTCGTAAGCGCTACGAGATATAACAATAATATGTCGCGAAGTGAGAGGTTGACACGTTGCAAGTTGTAAACCAGTGGCAAAATATTAGGCGCGTCTCTCTTTTGCTTAGGCGGCGCGGAACTCGCCCTCCACCAGTAATCCCATTTCAAAGAGTAATGCGATACCGATACCAGAACTTTCATATCCCCTAGTCGTCCAGGTCCGCTTTTCGTTTACACATCTTCAGCTCTGTCAGGATGTTCCTCCATAGTTTTTTAACTTTTTTTTTTAATCTTTCGCACCTATACAATTTCATGTCTCTGACAAACGGCACAGAAAAGGCATTTAGAAGTAAAAAGGGATACAGATCAAACTCTTTAATACACTATCTACTAGTTGCAGTTTGGTCCAGAACCTGGCTCTACACAACAATTGTCGCCGGGTCTTCACAGTTTAAAATAAAACTAGATACGAATAAACCGGATTCTTCCCATCCTCTCCATAATTGACAAACTCCTGTTCCTCCTTCCTCACAAACTCTGCAACAGCCGCTCGTCAGCAGCGCGTGGGTCCTTGGTCGCTCCAGGACATGTTCCATCCTCATGTGTGGCTAACGAAGCGCCACACGGGGCAGAAACCATCACGGGATCGGCTACTAGGCTTAAAACCCCTTAAGCTCCTGACCGCTCGTCATGTGACATATGAGAGTTTAGAGTTTACTGAATAAATAAGCAAAAAACTCAGACGAAAACATCAAGATGATTTAAAGGTTTCGTGTTGTAATTGGTTAGCAATCAAGACTCTGAATCTTGCAATCCGAGTTCGAGTCTCGGCGAGACCTCATCTTTTGCTATTTATTTTTTATTTTATATATCCCCGTTCACATGAAGCGGGCGTTTGAGTCCTTTCCTCTCTCTTCTTTTCCTTCACATCAACACCTTTTTTTCGCATCTATTACATGAGGCATTGAGCGAAAAGCGAATAGAAGGAAGTTTTCAATTATTCTTTTTTGGTACTCGCACGACATGTGTGTATATATGTGTGTGTATGTCGTGCGACCAACAGCCATGCACATTCATGTCATTCCCAAAAGATACTTCTTGATCCAGCTGGACAAACACTACCTCTCTTTTTCTTTTTCAGGCACCATTTTCTAAATCTATTATGTCCCGAAATGAAATACATGACAATGTCATCTTAACATACAAGCAGACAGGCATGGCATGAATGGTAATAAGGAGGATAATTTGTATTAGATCGTCATTTGCTAATTTGCTATCATTAAGGAGGAAAGAAAAGGCAAAAAAAAAAAAAAAAAAGAGAGGGAGGTACATAGGACCCTCCCCGTACATAGGACCCTCCCCTTCCTAGGATCGCTTCTCGTTTGCAAGAGTCGACGCGCTATCATTGTTGCCGTACTCGTACAGTGGCAAATCCTCAAACGACTCGTCCACAGGTGTCGCACTTACACTCCCTCCCCCAGTAGCAACAACAGCAATGCCGCTCTTGCCAGCCGTCGTCTTCTCGTCCTCATCGTTGTCGCCCTTGATAATGACACCGCGAAGGGTCTCCTCCGAGAGATTCATATTCAAATCCTTGGGCGAATGCGCGTCTTCGTCACCCTGGAGGGGATCCAAAAGACTCTGTCGCTGCTGCTGCTTCACTGACAGGATTCCAGCTCTTGATGACGACGTGTATTCTGCATACTGGTTTCTCGCTGCGGTTGTTGTTGATGACAGAGTCCGTTTGATACCATCATCGCTAGGATCGGTGCAACAGGCTGCGGATTCCAGGTTCGACGAGCTGCCACGACGAGACGACGGGAGAGAACCAGAGCCTCTGTTGGCGGCGGCGGCGACTTCTTGAGCAGCCCACTTGCGTCGGTACATCCCAACAACAACTCCAAGTCCGACCAGCACAACCGCCGACATCATTGCCGCAACCCCCAAAAACACACCCATATCCCTCTGTCTCTGAATGTCCGCCTTTGTCCGTTCTGCACCCTTTGCATCTAGATAACTTTGTTGCTGTTGGTCCATTGAGGGGAGGTTGTACTGCTGGTTCAGTTGTCGTGTCACGGCGTCTCGTAGAATCCAGAACGAGTTGCTAGTGTGGCGACCTGGTGTTCCTGGTGCAGTAGAGATCTCGATCTCGAATTCTCCTTCGTACGCCCAATCCGCTGGAATCGTCCATAATAGTGCACCGCCAGAGGTTCCAAGGATCGTCAGTCTTGCAGAAGAGCTCTTATTGACATTATTGAGGAGGTTGAATCCAGGGTCGGACAGAATCTTGGCCGACAAGCCCGTCGTCGCCGCCGTCGTCGTTGTGGTCTCGTTGGTGTTATCGAAGAGGGGCCAAGACAAGAGCCTGAGATTCTTCAACAAAACCGGCGAATCTTTAATCGCGTTCGCTTGCTGAGCAGCCCTCAAATCCTGCATCTTCATCATCGCCAAGTTCCGCATATCCGCCTTTGTCAACAGTGGCGAATTCGAAAAATTGGCCTCATGAGTGATCAGATCTAGAATCGCCTGTGGGGGAACCCAAGAGTCTGGGAGGACGACCTCGCGGTTGGACCAGGTCATGATGAGTCCTGACCCGGGCGTGTAAATGTTGTTGACAAGTGGTGCTGTGATGTCGAATCCTGTTGGCCCTGACTCTGTTCCTGTAGGATGAGGAAGAAATGAAGCGGCATCACGTTGTTCGATGGGTGACGCAGGGGCAGGGGCGGGGGTGGGGGTGGGGTAGGTTCTGAAGGATGAGGGGGTGGTGAGTCCGGGAGGGATGTTGTCGTAGATATTGGGCGGGAGCGCGTAGTGTGCTGCATCTTGGTAAGGAGAGGCTTGTACGAGGCTGAAGATATTGTTCTTGTTGGAGTGCTGGGCTGAGGTTGCCAGTACTGCGAGTAGGAGGAGGGCGTTGAACGGTGTCATTTTTTAGTAACCAGGCAGAGCAGGGAAAAAAATAGGGGAAGGGCAGAGGATACGTGTGGGATCGAACAAAAATGTGAAGCTAAGTGAGGAGAGCAAAAATGGGGTGCAGGAGATATGGAAAGTAGAAAAGGTGAAGAAGATGAATAACATTCGCGAAAAATAAGAAAAAAGAGAAAGAAGAAAGAATGGGGAGCGAAGGGCAAGTAAAAGGTAGAAAGAACCACACTGGAATATGTTATCCTGCATCCAGACAGGAGTCAACTGGGATCTCATATATCAACCATCCCGGAGAAAATCATCATCATCTATCACTCACCTAACTTGTCTATGGTATCATGATGGGGTCTTTTTATTATGTGTTGGTGGTAGATGGTATTGTTGAAGACTCGTTATCATTCGCATGAGAGTATGAATACTATTTTTCATCCATGATGACGGGGGTCTTGGAATAGCGTGACGAGGTGGTGATCTCTGTCTTGTAAAGGTCCGAGTTGTCCATCCGACTCCGTTCGCGTGGGTCCGTGAATCCCCACCGTTGCCCTCCTCGTGCGGGTGACGCATTGTCCTCGTACGATGATTGTCGGTTTTGGCCGTATCCTCCGTTATGACTGGGTCCTGGACTGGCACTGCCCGATGATCCAAATTCCGAGGTTTCGTTTCGTCGCAGCATCGTTGGTGTGAACGGTCGTCCGTTGCTGATTCCGGCTCCTGGTGCTCCTGCCATACCTCCTGCCATACCTCCGTTACCATAGTTGTCGATACTAGGTTTGCGAAGACTGGCCGCGACAGAGGCCGCTGTGTGATGGTAGGACTGCTGGTTGGTGGGCGAAGGTGACGGAGAGGGCGAATACATGGACTGGTTGTTCTGATAGACTCGTTGTTGTTCCATTTGTAAATGTCGTTGTTGTTCCTGTAGCTGGTTGATCTGTAGCGATGTGATATAGGGCGATGCTTCTGGTGTCGGGTCGGTCGGTGGGTAGTATTGTTCCTCCTGTCCTCCTGAGCCAAGAATCTCCTTCTTCCAATGGTCCTGCTCTGCTGCGCCGTGGCTCTCGTCTAGGCTGATCTGACTGGCGCCTAAGTTGATCATCCTAACCTCTTCCCAGTTGCCAGGGCTCTCAGGGGCGCCGTTAACGAATCCTTGTCCGTTTGACTGTCGGTGGCCGTTCATGGGAGGTGTCCGGTTGTTGTAGGCAATAGCGGCGGCTGAGAGTGCTAATTCCTCCTCTGCTGGCGCAATGTGGGGTCGGATAGGATTGCCGACGGGCTGGGCCTGCCAGCTGGTCACTGCAATCTTGACCTGGTTGATCGCTGCTGCGGTGTATTCTGCCCCACAGTAGAGGCTTGTCCGTTCTGCGGGCTGGGGACCGCAATCAATCACGTTGGTAATTTGGCGCCCATATCCGGCAATGAGAGCCATCTTTTCCGAGTACTCAATCATCGAGTCGAACTGGCAGTTGAAAGCGTCCCGAATCGTCTGCCGCTTGAACTGCAGCAGATCCAGTTCCTGTTCCAGCAGTTCTGCTGAGACGCGGTCCAGATTGTTTTGCAGCTCCATCATCTTGATGGGGTTCTCCTTGCTTGATTTCTGTTGTTTGGCAATCTGGTTGGTCAAGTCGTGCTTCTTTTTGCGGTTCTATCACAGAGAAGAAAGTAGAATAGGGGGTTAATCTACACTGTCACCACTTTTTGTTTTTTTTTCTCTCTCTCATATCTGACCTCATTTTGCCATTCTTTGACTTTTGTCTGTTTTGCATGCCAAGAGTAAAGAAAAAAGGGATGATACATACGTCGTCCAACAACATCTCCTGCGTCTTGAGACTCTTGATCCTTTTGCGGTAAGCAGTGTGTTGGATAGAGTAGGCTTGTTGTATAAGGCCTACTTCCTGTACAAAGCATGACATAATGCAACCAACGTGTTAGTCCAAAGTACGAGAAAAAGGGACCACAGGACCACTTCTTCCCCTTGAGCTTATTAAAGGGCCAAGGCAAAAGGCGGGGCGAGGCAAGAAAAGACCGACAGAAGAAAGTTAAGCAGGCAAGGGAGTAATAATAGAAAGCTGCTGCAATAAGGCAGCTTTCACTCTGTTTCTCCTTCTGACCCAACCTTCTTTCTACTCATGCAAAGCCAACGCCAAAGTAGAAAAAAAAAAGGAATAGAGAGTTGTCCCTTACCTCCATGAGTTGAGTCATTCGTTGACAGATGTCAGTCAAGTCGTCTCCTTCGTTGCAACCCCATGCCGAGATGAGTTTGGCGCTTGTTGAAATCTCCTTGTCGAGGGTCTTTAGGGACGAGTCGATGTTCTTGAGTTCTGCCAGCCACTTGTTGATGTGTTTGTAGTTCCTGTTGTTTATTCCAATGCCAGTGCCATGCCATAGTCCATTCCAATGAGAAAAAAAAAAAAAAAGAGAAAAAGTAAAAAGGAATGAATAGTGAAAAACAGGGCGAGTGTCAGTGGTGCTAGTTTCAGAATAAGTTATCGGTAGCGTATGAGTTTTGTGTGTTGATATTTTTTTTTTGTTACCCTGAGGAAAAGTTGTTGAGACCTCGGCGAAGGTCATGGCCTATGCTCTGCATGATGCGAATGGTGGTAGGGGAAATGGTGTGAGGGGATAAAGGAGGGTAAAAAAAACGTGTGCGCGGGAAGACAGGAAGGAAGAAGAGGAGAGCAAGGTGAAGATGAAGTTGAAGGTGAAGGGAAAAGAAAGAAAAGGAGGGGAGAGAGAGAGAGAGAAAGTTGACCAACGCTAAATAAATTACTGAATTACTGGTTTGTGAGAGCAGCAACAACCGGTCAGAGCAGAGCGAAAAGAACAAAGGGCGAGAGGATGAGAGGATGAGAGGATGAGAGGATGAGAGCGAAGCGAATGGACAGACAGTTGGAACCAACCGCGCTTGAAATGTTATCGATCAGAAAGAGAAAAAAATGGTATATGAATGAGATGGAAAAGAGTAATAAAAGGAAGACAGGGGTAAGAATTGAGTACCCAGGGGTGTTTGATGTGTCAAGCTAGTGGACTACAGCATGAAATGTTTGAAAAGCAGAAACAAATGAGTCTGTCTATGGGTCTGTACCCTGCAGTGATGTGATGAGCAAACGCGTTTTTTTTTTGGTTTTGGTTTGCCTTTTCTTCCATGAACTGAACTGGGTGCTTTGCATATTAGCTAGATCGATCGATGCATCCACAAGGGACCGAATAATAAAATAATATGCGCAAAGTGCGGCGTAGCATCACTCTTCTTTTCCTTTTCCATAGACCTTGCAACCATCTTCTCTTCCCGAGGACCCTTTTTACCTCCAAATGGGTTGGGGTTACCCATCGTGTCACGCTCTTATTCCAACGGGCTAAAATCATGCACACACACCACCATGTTTGTTTGTTTATATATATTCCTTGTGTCCTCTTCCCTTCCCGTCTCCCCTCCCGTACTCCTTCAACGTAACCTTCGCGTCCTTCTCGCACAGGGGCCAAGAAACTTGTGGGGCAGAAAAGTAACCTTGGCTTGGTCCAGCGAATAGGGCGTGTCCCCTTCTGTTCACTCTTATTTCTTCTTTTCTCTCGTCACTTTCATTTTCTCTTCTTCGTTTCCTTTCCCCCCTTCTCCCCCAAAACATTCAACCTCTTCCCATCTCATTACATTCCACCATGTCCAACAAACCCTCCGCCAAGGCCATCGCTCGCCTCAACGCCACCACCCTCTTCCCCGAAATCAAGAAAGGCACGCTCATAGTCTATTCACATGCAACGAAACTGACTGTCAAATGGCACAAAAGGCGGACACTCAACTAACCAGGCTTTCTTTCCTTGTTTCTTTTTCCACGGACTTCATATAGAAATCGAGAAGAACCCTTCGCTCTTCGCTATCCGCGGCTTCTTTATCTTCAATGTCACGAAGAAGGGCGTCCCTATGACCGAATGGTAATTCTACCGGAACCATGCCTTGTCGCAGTAGTCCTTCCTCCCTCTTGCAAGGAGCAGGACAGACGCCTTTCTTCAATTGCTCGTTTTGCTTTGTTGCCAAGTGGTGCTATGACGAGCTATCGCAGGGCGGCAGAGGACATCAAGGACACGGACAAAGATTATTTTGGTCACCCGTGGGAACTACACAAGGATGCGAAAGAAGACAGTTTACAAAGAAACAAGAACAAGCAGGCAGACTGAAAGGAACGCATAGTCATTGACATGTGCTTTTTTTCTTTCTTTCTTCTATGTAGGTATTTACTGTTTCAAGGATTCGATGCACCTGCTGTCGTGTCTCAGAAGAAACCCGAGATCCCCAAGGCCAAGAAGGACGAATCCCCTATCCCTGTGGCCATCATCCAGATCGAGGACTCGGACTTGATGAACTTTATGAGCGGAGGACTCACCGTACGTGATCTTTATTTTATTTGCTCTTACTTTCTTTGTGTACCATGGGTGCGATGGGATGGGTTGGCCGAGTCATCACTATTAAACCTCTTCTTCACCTTCAATTGCTTTATTATCTGATAGGGATCTCGCGGTATTGTCAATGGAAAGATCAAGATTGCAGGAGCAATGGAATTGGCGGAGCAGTTAGAGGAGATCTTTAGAAAGGCAAAGGGCGCCGAGAAGACATTGGCCTACCTCGACCATAAGCGCGGCAAGTCTGAGAAGGCCAAGGCTCGCCTCTAAAAAGGACTCGATCGACAATCCACTTCTCGACTTGCATCCACCATAACAACAATTGTACGCACAATATACACATATACATACCAAGCATCCATGCGGTCATTTTTTGTATCGCTCTCCTGGCTGTCACCTTAGAGTCCACTTGAGGTCATGCGCTCGTTCGAATTAAAACCTACAAAAAAAAAACAAAAAAAAAAAAGGGCTCCCAGTAAACAACCCTCACCTCAGGTCATCTCACCTCATCCAACCGTTTACCAGTTCCCGTTCCTCCTTTTGTCTCCTGGTTTCCCTGCCCACATTGAAACAAAGAGCGTGTACGTTAAGTACCATGCCCATTTGTACGAAGATGTCCTATTCTTAGTGAATGCTCAAAAGCAGTCTCCCTAATTCGATCTGCTGCTGAGCATTGTTGTTATGCGTATGAGGCACAGCCAGCAGGGGACAAGAAGGAGAGAGAAAGAAAGAGGGAGAAGGGGGTTCCTTCGGTCGTCACGACATACCTTCGTCTCTTGTTCATGCGGTATGATAAAAAGGGTCAGTGGACTCCCTTTTACTTTTTGTTTCTTTTCTTCTTTGACTTTCCATCTTCACACACACACACAAACACACATCCTTACACATCTATCATATCATGTAAGCCCATCATCACCCCACCCCCTACTACACTTCACTTCTTCATACTTGTCCTTCGTATCGCCATCAACAACAACAACATCTCCTTAAGCATGCAATATTCATACTAAACACCAATGCCCCTCAACAAACCCAATAGGTCGTCAAATTCACCAGCAACGGGCAAGGTCCAAGGCATGGCCCGCAAGTTCTCATTGTTGGCCAAGCAAGCCGCAGGAGAAAACTACGTCCCCCGCAACAACATCGAGAAGCAGCCCATCGTCACCGGCGCAGTCAAGCCCAAGGTCGCCATCCCTGCCGCTGCCGCCACTGCTGCTGCTGCCTCCACCACCACCAAGACCCTCGAGGCCTCTCAGGAGAATCTCCAGGAAGAAAACGAGGAAGAGGCCATCGCTGTGGCTAGCCCCGTCGATGTCGAGCAGGAGATCGAGACCAACCTCCATGTCTCCGGCCTGACCAACAAGGTTGAGGAGATTGAGATTACTGCCCCCAAGGAAGAGGAGGAGAAGAAGGTCGAGGAGGTCGCTGCCCCAGCCCCTGCTCCCGTTATTGTTGAGGAGCCTGTTGTTGAGGAGCCCATCCACGAGGAACCTATTGTCGAGAAGGAAGAGGAGACCAAGGAGCAGGAGCAGGAGCAGGAGCAGGAGCAGGAGGCTGTTGTTGTTGAGGTTGTCAAGGCTGTCGAGGTTGAGGTCCCCGCTGCCGTCGAGGAGGTCAAGGCTGTTGTTGCTGAGGCCCCCGCTGCTGTCGAGGAGAAGAAGGAGGAGACCCCCGTTGTTGTTGAGGAGAAGGAGGAGGAGGCCCCCGTTGTTGTTGAGGCCCCTAAGCAGGATACCCAGTCGATTGAGGAGGAGAACATCAAGAACGCCCCCATTGAGGCATAAGCAACCCTAGTTTTTAGTTTTTGGTTTTTTTTCTTAGCGCGATTCACCCTACTCGACATCATTCAATAATAACTTTTTTTTCTCTTTCACACGCAATTGAGATATGGTCGATGAGTACATGTTCATATTGGAGCAAAACAAAGGCGGGAAAAATGAAAGGGGAAAAGAACTGCTTAATGGAGGGAAGGATGGGAAGGACCATCGATCCGTTGGGGGTTCTTGTGTGTGTATATGTGTCTCTACTGGTAGACAAGACAGGGGGTTTGAGGGGTGAGAAGGTGGGTAGAGAAGAGGAGGGGGGGTGATGACTGGGACTTTGGAGAGTAAAAGTGGGTGTTGTTTGTATCTGGCCTGCCTGGTTGATGTTTATTTGTTTATGTTTATGTTTATGTTTTGTTGTTGGTTTGCCTGTGCGTAAGGTATGAGCGAGCAAGTGCATATGAAGGATGAGGTAAGGTTGTCGTTATTTTGCATGGATGTCGTGCGGGCTGCGAGGAATCTCATTGGAATTCACTGGGCCGATTGATTTGTTTTCTTTCGCCATGTCGTGCTCTTTGTATTTGTCTCTGTCAACCTTGGCCTTGGATCGTGCCTCATTTCTTGTCTCATAATCTGGTCCGGGTATCACTCTTCTTTTACTCTTTTACCTTTTTTTTTATTCTCTTTCCCTTCTTTCTTTCTTTTCTTCTTCTTTCTCTCACACCACCTTTCCTCACCCTCCTCTTCCCAACCACACTCACCCTCACCCTCACCCTCACTCTCACATACACTTACAACCAGACATGTCCTCAAAGCGCAAACGCTCTTCTGCCACCTCGGCCTCTGCCAAGGCCACCTCCGCAAGCAACAACGACGCGTCGATCCACAAGCAGCCTCGCATCACTCAAAAGGCCTCCTCAACAAAAGAAGCCAGAAGACGCAAGGAATCTCGCTCAGACGAAGATGACGACGACGACAATGAGGACAACAATGACCGTCAGGATGACCGCAAGAACAGACACGATTCCTCTTCCAACAATAACAACAACACCAGCGATAATGAGCGCGAACAGGTCCGTTCCAAGGGCGTCAGCAAGAGCAGCTCGTCCTCACGGAAAGAAAAGTCATCAGCAGCAACAGCATCAGCAACCAATGCCGATCCTTCCGAGAGCAGTGCAGACAGCTCCCAGTCAACGACACCAAAGTACAGCTACCCAATCAACCCCCCACCTGTCGGACGGCCTGTGCGGATCTATTGCGACGGTATTTACGACCTCTTCCACTTTGGACACGCCAAGGCCCTTGAGCAGGCCAAGAAGGCCTTCCCAGACGTCCACTTGCTTGTTGGAGGTAACCAATCGTTCAAAGCTCGATTATCAATTCACCTCTTTTGTATTCCTCTCACCATTGGTCTTCCATACCCCTGGTTTTTCTTGACTCAAAAGGAAACCGCAATGGACAAAAAAAAAAAAAAAAGAGTCGGATGAGGAGATCAGTGGAGGGGCCATGGGTCCCCCTGCACCGCTCTGTTTCTTTCTTTCTCTACCCCAAAGAAAACGCATCTCACATTCAACTGCCGACCATCAAAAGGAAACAAGACACGATAGGATAAAAAAAAAAAAAAAGAGTGGAGGGAAGGGGGAACTAAGGAAATCATATGAAGATGCTCTCGTGGAGTTGTGTCCACATTGTTGTAATGGGTGTGTGTGTGTGTGTGTGTGTATACCGGTTATCGTATTCAGGACATCTTGCAACCCCACGAGGGTTCCACGAAATCCCATCACTCTTTCTGTGAGCATGCCATTGTGGTGACAACAGGGCCATGGAGAGGCACCTCGCATCAATGGCAGCGGATCCATCACGGACAGTAGGATTGTTTGCTAACTAACATATTTCACTATTTTCAACCGTCTCTACTTGAAAACAGTGTGCGATGACCACATGACTCACAGCCACAAGGGCAAGACTGTCATGACCGACAAGGAGAGATACGAGAGTGTACGCCATTGCAAGTGGGTCGACGAGGTGGTTGAGAGTGCGCCCTGGTTCGTTGACCAGGCTTTCTTGGACAAGCACAAGGTAATAATCGTTAACCCACAGGTGTATCTCTGCACAAACACACATCCCCACAAAGCGTCGAGGATGGAATCAGTTCTACCTTGTGATTCTTCCTCTTATGTTGTCTCATTTTACTGCCTTGTCCATCTCGGCAAGCTTGCATACAAAAAGATTTCCGCGTCTGTTCCGATTGCATCTAACACAATCTTGTTATCTTTTCTTTTGTAACTACTCAGATTGACTATGTTGCTCACGACGACATTCCATACAAGTCTGTCGACAGTGACGACGTCTATGCCTTCGTCAAGAAACAGGGTTGCTTCTTGCCTACGCAGCGAACAGACGGTGTCTCGACATCCGAGTAAGTATTCTTGTTCTTTAGCGCTTTGAGACAACATTCAAGGTTTACTATACCTTTTCATGTGTGTCATTATCGTTCAACTGAACTCACATTCAATTTTTCTTCCTTCCTTACTAAATAGCCTTATCACAAGAATCATTTTCGACTACGACAAGTACCTCAGAAGAAACTTGGAGAGAGGCATTGACCGCAAAGATCTTGGAATTGGATTTTTCAAGGTAACACATAACGTTTATAGCATTTCCTGCTTTACCGTCTCCCTACCGCCACGAATCCGATATACTTGTTATTTAGTGAACTCACGCGCTTCTCAATTGCACTTCTCTTTTGACATTGTACAGGAGCAAGAGGTCAAGCTGAAAAAGTCAGCACAGGACATTCGTGCTTCGATCCGTCAAAACTGGCACGGAACCAAGGACGAGCTCAAGACTGAGATCGCTGTCCTCAGAAACGAGCTCAAGCAGACGATGAGCATGTGGGAGGACAAGTCACAAGAGTTCATCAGGGACTTTTCAAGACTCTTTGGTGCTGACAGTGTTGTCAACAAGATCTTTAGAGGACGTCGTCACGGAAACAACCTGATCACTGACGGAAGCATGTCCAGCCCATCTAACACTTCGTCGAGAATGGCCTCGCCCGATTCGAGAGACGGATCAGGAGATGAGGACGGATCCAGGAGCCCCCTGAGCAGGAGTCGGGCGTTCTTTGGCTTTGGTCGGGGTAGCGGCAGTGGCAGCGGTAGCGGCGTGAGCATGCAGCGGAGTCGGTCTAATAGCTCGTTGGATTCTTATGATGACCAAAGTCCTCGATCTGAATCGGAGGAATGAAGTCGACATTATTGAACTGATGGAGAAGTTACCACCGACTACTTATGAAGAAGAACATGGGTACCATGTTTGGCCTGTTTTTGTTTCATCGGTCGGAAGTTTCTTGAGTTCTTACATGTCGTTTTATAGGCTGGTTCCAAAAAGAATACAAAAGACAAAAGCACTATCATCAACACTTTGTATTGGATTAAGTTATGCAGCTTTTATTGCTCCTGCTGCTTAAGATGAAGGCGTAGCAGCTTCAGAAGGCCACAGTTTGGCAACGACTTTGGAGGCGATTGCCTTGTAATACTGGGTATGCTTGCTGTCAGGTCTCGAGACGACCACAGGTTGGCCCTTGTCCGACAATTGACAGATATCCGAGTGCAAGGCCACATCGCCCAAGAAATCGAGGTTCATTTCCTTTGCAGTCCGTTCTGCTCCACCGTCGCCAAAGATGTGTGATTCGTGGTTGCAGTTTGAGCACACGTGCAACGACATGTTCTGCACCATTCCCAAGATCTTTTGTAGGAATGAGAAAAGAAAAGTCGAAAAAAAATTATGTATTAGGGGTTTGGCAAATTTTTGAAAACATATATATCGATCCACAACAGAAGCAGCAGGATGGGAGGCAAGGACAAAAGGACTTACGGGAACGTTGACTTTCTTGAACATATTGACACCCTTACGAGCGTCAATCAGCGCAATATCCTGAGGTGTAGAGACAATAACGACACCCGAGAGCGGGATCTGTTGGGAGATGGTCAATTGAGTATCACCGGTGCCTGGAGGCATGTCAATGACGAGGAGGTCGAGTTCGCCCCATTCAACTTGGTGCAGGAGTTGTTGGAGAGCCTTCATGACCATGAGACCTCGCCACACGACGGGTGCTTCTTCATCGACGAGGAAGCCCATTGACATGCATTTCACTCCAAAGTTTGTCAATGGCACTAATCTGTCCTCTAATGTTGTTGATGTAAATGGAAGTGACAGGGTGGTATCAGCATGGATCCTAGTACTGCTGCCAGTTCAATACTACAACCATTGATGTGTGTGTGCGGATGGGTTGGCAAAGTACCTGTTCCTGTGAGCTCCGGTTCGCCGCTGAGGTTCATGAGTCGAGGGATGGAGGGTCCAAAGATATCGGCGTCAAGAATTCCAACCCGCTTGTTCATTCCTGCAATCGCAAGCGCCAAGTTCACTATATTGTGTTTGATGTATAAAGGTACGATAATGTCAGTAAGTGTGCTCGAAATCAGAGTAATGTGCAAGTTAGTCCCTGGCAATACAGTGATAGAAGTATATACCTGACGTGGTGGATTTGCCGACGCCACCCTTTCCTGAAGCAACGGCAATGATGTGCTTGACGCCCTTGATGGGCATCTTCTGAGGAAGGCCACGCTGCATCCTGGGCATGGTTGGGGCTGGACCCTTGGGGCCTGCTCCTGGTGCTGGTGGTTTCCTTGGGATGCCCTATCGATCGATATAGGTTGTTTGCGTCAGTCAGTTTGTTGGCAAACGTCGAGTGGAGGCTGGGGTGTATATTTTTCGGCACGGCTAATTAAATGTCACACTGTGTGAGTTGTACCAAGGGGTTCTCGTGTAGGACTGCGCGAGTGGAGGAGATTGTCCTTCTGGACTCGGAAGCTGCTAATGATGTGATGAAGGGAGTGGCAATCCCTTGGCGAGAAGTCCTGGTCAGGAGCTGGATTCCTGAGGGCCGTTGGGCGAGAAGTGTCCTGAATGCCATTGTTGCTGATGCCATTGTTGATCGACTTGTGTACGTGCTTGCGGGAGTGGAGCAAGAAAGAAAGCTGATCTCTTTTTTTTGTGGGTCTGCGGAGCAAAAGCATGTTTGGTGGCGGCACCGCGCGATTCCACGTCACATAGTCGCATTTTTCTACTTATCAACCCCAACTGCAACTGCCAACTCTTTTCCACATCATCTCAGCCCATCTCACTTCTCCCAAAAGACGACGCAGCAGGAACCAAGGAACAGCGTTAGCAAGGTCAAGGATACCCACAATACCAACTACAACGACCCGAAACTATTTAACGTTTTCTCGACATCTGGATGTCCGAGGAAGACAAGGCAGCACAATGTCGAACCTCTACTTCAAGAAGGACGTCCACAAGTCCATAGAGGGGCTTCTGTATGGACTCTATGTCTACCAATACTTTCTCGATACCAGTACCTTTGGACTCTTGCTCCGGTGTCTAGTACAAGAGGTAGGCACTTCAACTACTAGGAATTCGGCAAGTGGAGAAAGTCATTGGTATTAATTGACAAGGCAACCAACTGATGACGCCCGCCTCCCCTCTTCGACCTGTGCCCATATTAGCAACTCATATCAATCAAATCAAAAGCTCCGACGTTACGAGTGGCTCTTTACGCGGTTATTGCGGCGGCATTCCTAGCGTTTATACGACACTTGCGGCCACCAGAACGATATGCAGTCATCATCGATTTCATAGGGAATGGTGAGTGCTTTCGGGTCACCTTTCGGCTTGCAGGGGACGTGCATGAAACAAGTGCTCATCAACTGACGTCTTTGTTTGTTGCGTGTTGTTACTAGCATCGGCACCTAGTCAGGCAATTATTTACTGGCTGGATACAGTGATACTGGTGCTTCAAGTGACCGAGGCACTCCTAGTTTTCAAGGTCATCAAGTCAGAGGAGATTCCCAGGAGGTCAACATCACCACCAACTACTACAACAGCTGCACCGGCAAGGACAAGTTCGCCCAGCAGCAGTAGCAACACACCAGTGACCTCATCCAATGGCGAACCAGGATCTGGCTCAACCAGTGCTCTGCCAGCCTTAGTCGATCAGTCCACAGTCTCTGGCTCTTCGTCCTCCAACAACCAACCCTCAGAATATATCCCACGTCATGTCAACAATAACAATAATAGTCGGCACTCAGAGGATTTGGATGAAATATATACCGAATACTACGAGGACGAAGAAGAGGTTCGGTTCAGCACAGATCTTGACCGTCAACAACAGCTGGGACAGCCCAGTCAAGGCAGTTTATCGTCACAACGGAATCGATCTTCTGGCGCTGCTGCAAGAGGAGCAAGCAATAGCAGCAGCAGTACAGATGAGAGTAGCGAGGGAAGCAGTGAGGAAGACGACGAGGATCCATTGGGCGACGACTATGAGGAAGTCCTTGAACAGGAGACGTTTGTTTTCCAGCTGCGGTTCCAGGATCTGGTGGCGTACATTTTTTCAAGTCAGGAGGCTTTGACTATGCCCGATGCCCGAACACTGACGGGGGCTACGGTGGCTAATAGAGTCCAGTCGGGGAGTGGCAGCGCACAGCAGCGAGAGCTTCCTGTATAATCTCGTAATAAATCTCTTCGCTGCTAGAAGTTCACGCTCGCTTTTTTTTTTTTTTTTTTTTTGCGCGGGACACGGTTGTTGTGAGGAGTGTGGTTGCATTTCATTTCATCCACATGTATCGATCAAAGCGAAATTTGAGCCCAGCCACAACCCAAGGCACGAACAAAGGAGTAGAGAAAAGAATGGCGTATTTATCGACCTGAACGTCTTTTTGACTTTTGCCACTTTTGCCTTTTTTCCCCTCATTCCCTTCACTCTCTCAATTCAACCACCCCTGTTCTCGATTCCACCAACACCAGTGATTCTCCACTCATCAACCATACACACACACACACACACACACACACACACACACACACACACACTCTCTCTCTCTCTCTCTCTCTCTCTCTCTCTCTCTCTCTCTCTCTCTCTCTCTCTCTCTCTCTCTCTCTCTCTCTCTCTCTCTCTCTCTCTCTCTCTCTCTCTCTCTCTCTCTCTCTCTCTCTCTCTCTCTCTCTCTCTCTCTCTCTCTCTCTCTCTCTTTCACAACCACACAACTCTCTCTTTCTCTTTCTCTTGTTCTTAGCATCGACACCATACACCTTCGACAAAAGGTACACTCTCCTCCCTCTCTCGGAATCACAACGTCGTCCACAACACCATTCGTGCTGCAGCAAAAAGGCTTCAAGGCATTCGAAAAAACCTGCACTTATGAGGAACAACAGAAACAACAGTAGGCAACAAGCGGGAAAAAGGAGCAATACGATTTATTGTCTTGGAGGACCATTTGTCAGAGTTGTCGGGCGCATGGTTACTTTCACTTGGATTCAAGAATGAGGAGTAGTGACCATGACCCCTGGACACACAATCAGTGACAATCAGTGAACCAGAAACTCAAAAAATACGCCTTTGAAAAGTTCAAAGACAAAAGGGGAACAAAACAAAGAACCGTTTGTTGAGCGGGGGGGACTATTCTTTGCGTAGCATGTAGCATTTTTTTATTATTAACAGGCGCCTTTTGCTGTAAATTACGTTTATTTTGCTTTGTGCTCAAAAGTCTTGCTTAGTGACCTAACCCGTCCGAGGACGTACAAAGAAAATGAGGGTCCATGCTAGCAGCACCGACGACGACCGAGTCTTGGACTCTATCAAGCCAGAGGCAGATGGTAAAGCAGGCATTCACTATGCGATGATTGTTTGTGATAGGACGCGAAAAAAAGGCTAAGAAATTGAAATCGACGAACTTTTTGTTTGAGACTTCTAACAATGAGTTTGTCAACTATATTTACCACAACCACCACTACTACCTGACAGACTCAGTCCCTTCTCTGTTGGAAGATCACATTGAGCGTGGTCTAAAGTTACAGGAACCCGACGGATACTCAGACGTCCGGTATGAGCCGTTTGTTTGATTGCAACCTCATATATCAACGAAGAAAAGCAATGGGCGACAATCGGTCTAGGAAAAAAAAAAAAGGATATTTAACACATGTCTACCTGTTCCTCGTTCTCCCTTTGATATCATTTCCGAATAGGAATGCCATCAATGACTTTCCTCAGGAATACTATGGTACACACAGACCATCACACGAGATCATACACAGCAATGACATCAGGGACTGGACTGACAAGTTGCATTTCATGAACTGACCGATATTTTGTTGTTATATGTCCTGGAATAGTGAACGGCGTCTTTTCTCTACCAGCGGACGAGCCCGGTACTTTTTCGTCGCTTCCAAGCCCAAGTACCACAAACCTCAAGGAGATTGAGTCTATTCTCCAAGCAATGGGCTCAGACGAGGAAGATCAACTTTCAGATTTTATCGTGTCTGAGGTATGACTTTATTGTTGTGTGTTTGTGTCACCAGGTTGTTGTCCGCCTACAGTGGCGATTTGTATAGTACTGATTTAATTTCTTATTGCTGCGATTCCTTTTGTAGTGCTACATTGACAAGATGGTCTCTGTTCTCAAGACCTGCGAGGATGCGGATCTCCTCTCCAGTCTGCAAACTCTCCGAGCCATCCTTGTCCACTTGAGTAAGTCAGAGTCGAGATTGCTGCTTTTATAGTCTTCAGTCTTCATATCCTGCAAGATATGAGCCTCCTAGACCAAAACAATTTATTGACCAACCAAAATCTTCGTGTTTTTATCCCGTTTGTCTTCTAGTCCAACTCGGTGATCCGTCAATCGTAGATGAAGTTATCAAGGACGAAACATTCGAGGGGTGCATCGGGATCTTGGAATGTAAGCAACTACTTTGTCTGTGTTTGGACAGCCACATCGCCACTAGACCGTGCGCTATGGCTATCAGAATGACAACTAACCACCACATCTCCTTCGCATATATAGACGAGCCTGACTTGCTGGATGAAAAGTCACAGTACCGGTTGATCTACTCACAGCGCGCCAATTTCAAGGAAGTTGTGCCGTTTAACGATGTGCGAGTAGTACCATGGATCCACCAGGTGTTCCGGCTCCAGTTTATCAAGGATGTCGCTCTGATCAGGCACCTGGAAGAAGGACCGAAGTCGCTCCTGGAGTTTTTTATCAACCGCAGGACCATCAAGATTATCCAGAATCTCCTGGCGGATCGTCCATTTCTGAAAGAGCTCTTCGATCTACTCAAGGATACATCGGCGTCCCTGTATCGGCGACAGGATGTCGTTCTTTTCATGCATCAGTTCTGTTCTATGGCCAAGAAAACAGGAGCCGGGGGCATTTATAGGTAAGAAAGCCCCTTGAGCACATACATGATATTATAATCGAGCAAACATGTGGGATATGACGACTGAACATCCTTTTCTCCCTCCAAATTCGCTGTCGCACCTCTTTCAGGAGGCTCTTCCAGCAGGGTCTATTCAGCTTGCTCGAATTCGCGTTTGCGTCTGACTGCGTCCGAGTCAAGCAGGCGGGTACAGATATCCTTTTAATGGCTCTGGAAGACAGCTCAGGATCCATCCGGACTCACATTGTTGAGCAGGCCAGGGGCAAGAGCAACAAAGCATTCCTTGACGGCGTCATCAACCAGTTTCTTACGGAGAATGACGCGAGCCTCATGTCCCAGCTCACAGAAATCATTAGAGTTTTGGTGGATATTGATCCTGAATCTGCAGACGACAATGGCTTGGGCATGCTGGTTGGAGCACCCTTCTCTGTTGTGAATTCGTCGCGCTTGGACCCTGACGCTGATCAGTTTCTGGATCTGTTCTATACACAATATTGCAGTACCCTGGTCGCGCCAGTTCTGCAGTTGACGAGAAGTATGTTTATAATTCAAACTGGACTTAGTAGCGTTGTTGATGGGGCAGGTGCTGAGATTGAAGGGGGTTTTCTTTATGCACGCACTGACTGACAAAAACACAACTTTTTGGATACTCTGTTCTCCTAGCCTCGACCTCGCTGGATCGCCCTTCATCTGCTCGGTGCGCAAACATTTGCATGCTGATGTCATTCATCATTCGACAGCACCCAACACGCACCAAGGTTCTACTCTCTTCAAGTCGCCTCATGGAAAAAATTTGCATTCTCTTAAGGAACAAGGAGAAGCATTTGCGTCTCAGTAAGTTTTCTAGTCACGTCAGGTTTAATTTTTATACGTTTATGATACTGAAGAATGGTCGTCTCACCTCTGAGTTAATTCGCTTGTGTTTTATAGTGGCGATAAAGTTTTTCCGGACGTGTCTTGGCCTCGAAGATGACTACTTCAACAGAATCCTGATCAAGAACAAGGTCATTCATGGAGTTGTTAGTGTGCTTCAAGATACCAATGGCAAGAACGATCTCCTTAACTCGGTCTGCCTCGAGTTCTTCAGCTTCATTCGAGATGTATGTATCAATATGCTCCACACTTGCTGGTATGCGACTCTGGAATAACTCACATGATATTGGTAGTCGCGATTCCTAACACCCTCGTTTCATAATGAGTAGAAGAACAACAAGATGTTGGTGTCGCACTGCGCAACGGTTCATAAGAGCGCCCTGGAAGAGATCAACTACACGTCCATTTTTAAAACCCTGCTGGCTCTGCATGAAAACGACAGTAACAGTAGCGGCAGCAGCAGCAGCAGCAGTGGCGACGCAATGCCTGGATCCTCGTTGAAAACACTGTGGGGCAGTCAAAGTCGACTCTTCCCAGGCATGCGGCTTCCATTGTTTCCAGGCTCAGTCAACGACGACAAGGCTGATTCAGCAGAGGGGGCGTTTTTATCAGACCCTGCCGCTCCCCACTTGCTGCAGGATCCAGAAGCGCACGATGCTGAGATAACCAATGCCACTGTCGTCGAAGAGACGTCGTCATCGACCGCGAAACCAGCACAGTCGGAGGAGGTCAGTCCAGTGAGCTCTATATCGTCATCTCTTCTGTCACCATTACCTTCAGTGGAGTTATGGTCGGAAATTGTATTTCTTAAGGCTGGCGAGAGTAGAGACGGAGGCGAGAGTAGAGACGGAGGCGAGAGGCAAGGTATGGAGGCCAACTCTGAAGCCGCTCGTCTAAAGTCGGAACTCGCAATTGGGTTGAACGAGAGCGGTGCCGCCGAGACGGGACTTGTGGCCAAGCGGAAGCGGGAGGACGAGGATGATCCTGATCTCGGTGATGCAGACGCTCGAGCGCAACCACGACTCAGGCTGGATGCGATATTTCTCAAGGCTGGCGAGGGCAGAGACGGAAGTGGGACGCAAGATACGGAGGTCAACTCTGAAGCCAGTCGTCTGAGGTCGGAACTCGTAATTGGATTGAACGACAGTGGTGCCGCCGAGACAGGGCTTGTGACCAAGCGGAAGCGGGAGGACGAGGAAGATCCTGACCTCGGTGATGCAGACACTCGAGCACAACCACGACTCAGGCTGGATGCGGTTGTGCCTGAAACCACCGAGCAGCCTCTTGCAGAAGATCAGGATCACGGCTCTCCAGTCGATCGCAGCAGCAACTTGGATGAACAGAGTGACAGAGCTGACAGTAACAGCTTGACAGCCCCAAGCGATCTCAGTAATGTTTTGAATCGCGACAAAAACATCATGGATGGTCTAAGCAACAACGACAACTGAAGAGGCGCCATTGTCTTCTGTTGATGCGACGAACGCTACAGCTTACGCGGGAGCATGAAGGCACCAACCTTTTTCTTTTTCTTACTTCATTTCAGCTTTTTTTTTTCTTTCATTTCTTGTTTGCATTTCTTACTCTTCTTATTTCACGTTCCCCATTTTTTTTTCTTGTGCCGAGCACATTGTACAACACCACAACGCACCAACTCAACACACAAATACTTGTACATATCAACGTTGAGTAGCCCTTTCAAGCACAGCCATGCAAGTTTCCTTTCAGTTCGTCCTCCGTCCTTCCTACCAGTTGCAGCCTTCTTCAGTCGTTCACATACTTGTTTCTCTTAAGGAGCCAGCTGAAAAAATAATAAAAATTCAATGTAAAAATCACCATGGAGTAGAATGGAAACTGTTTTTTCTTATAGGGACCAGGTGGCAGTGATGCGAACTGATGCGCTTGCCGCCAAGCGTGACCTTAACAGCAACGCACTCTTTCCTTTTCCCTCTGCTTCTCTTATTCTCTCTCTCCCTCTCTCTCTCTCTCTCTCTCTCTCTCTCTCTCTCTCTCTCTCTCTCTCTCTCTCTCTCTCTCTCTCTCTCTCTCTCTCTCTCTCTCTCCACAAATATACCATCTATGACGTTCATTCCCAACCCGATCCAGTTCCAAAACAATGAAACAACGATGGAAATCAGACGTCTACAAACAAAAGAGTTCGTCCACTTGCACAACTTTGCTGACTTTATGAAAGTCGTCATCATTTAGAAAAAAAAAAAAAAAAAGAAATGAAGCAAAAACGGTGGACAGTAAATCAGTCCATGCACCCAAAATAAGGTAGACCCCCATTGTCGATTCGTCTGGCACGAACAGCTCGAAAATATCATAAATCCGAGACGTGGATAAATGGAAAAAAAAAAAAAAAAAACAACAACCATGGAAATGGATTGGAGGATCCATGATCATGATCAATGAGTGTATATGTAAAGCGGGCCGCATTACCAGAAAATGAAAAAAAGAGGCTCCGTCAGCTTTCAATCTCTGCATCCAAGTCAATCTTTTGATATGTTCAAGTAGATTAAGGACAATTTCACGGTTCAAGGTCGACGACGAGTCGGGGAACGCATCCGAGGAAGGTGAAAAGGAGGAATCGTTTACACGGGAGGGGGTTGAAGGTGACAAGGGATTACAATGACCTGGGAAACTTCAACCCTAGTCTTCGGGATTCACAGAAAGTATGTTAAGAGAAACCCTAGCGTCCTGCTACCAGGTCACAATCGACTCTCTTCCTTGTCGCCTACTTACAGAAACAAGTCAAGACCAACAACCATCAACGACTACAGTAAACAAAAAATCAGACCTATCTTGACGAAAAATATGTCGCACACAGTTGCACACTCGATCCCCCCCTGTCGTCTGCACAACATGAATCGACGTCGATGATAACCTATGATATCGCTGAAACAACAATGACGAAATAATAATATTATAATGACGTTGACAGTTGATTCCTGCCCTCGCCTTCGCCCTCGCCACGCGAACATATAACATGACAAAAAGAAAAAGGGTAGACTGATTCAAATGAAACCACAAGTATCAACAACAGGATAATCGATCGCCTTCTCCAGAAAAAGACAGAAAGTGTCCACCTATGTAAGCATTTCTTGAATCGAAACAAGTGGTGCGGGGGAGGGGGAGGAGGCCAACTGCACTCTATATGTTCTGTACGGAGATTGACAAAGGTTTCTTTGATGTTGCACTTTCTAAAGCAGAGATCGAAGGCCTTTGCTGGTCGGTGTTGCATTTGTGAGAAAATGGGGAAGGTATTCGGGGGATCCCCCGAGGCAGGAAAATCTTAATTTCCTTATCAATGCCTCTTCCTTTTCTGTGTAGTTCCTCCATCCTCCACTTTCATGTTAACGACCGGGAATGGCAAACACAAAAACAAGTGCTAGGAGAGGTGTTTGAGTGTAGTCTGATAGAAAGGAGGTTGAGGGATTTCGCCTCAGTGGCAAAAAAGCGAAAGATAATAATCGGAAAAGGGCATGATGATGGCTAATTCATGCAAACCGAAATTCCATGCCGATGACAAGGAGTGGCAACAGAGCAAAAGAACAAGCAGGTTGAATAGAGGAAGTTTTCTTGAAATAACACCCCACTGGCAGTAAAAAAAATTGTTTGAGGAACCTCGAGAAAAAAAGGGTCAAAATGCAGGGTGATGCCGATGTCAATGGCCGTAGCTCGATGAAGAAAAGAGGGGTCGAGAAACGGATCGTGTGGTCATGTCCACCTCTTTAAGAGTTACAAGAAGTGATAGCGCTTGAATCGTCTTTTCAATCAAGTTTTCACGTACAAACATTCTGACTATAGGTGGTTGGACAATAGAGCGGGAAGAGATCGATGGCACGCAGGTCAAAGATGGAAACGGCAACCACGCAGAAGCTGAAGTAGACAAAAATGAAGTAAAGATGGATGACAATGAAAAAAAAAACAATGATGGGTACCCGACATCCACTCGTCACGAATAGAATCTGTAGTGACAATACCAACAGTAGCATAGACTTACCACAATCCAACACTAACATATCCCCCCACTGGCATATGTCACCACGCCACACCCCTACTACTGCTACCATGTGAATATTGCTGTGAAAAGTTCTTGCGTACCCTTGCATGCACAATCTGATGCCAAAGTGCCAAAGTACTCGAAAGTAAGAAGAAAAGACCATGTTCATGACCGAAAAGTATTTCTGAAAGCGCGGAATGGAAGTCAACATGGATTGGGTGTATGAAATTGTATTTCTGTTGCTGGCATTTCTGCGCAAAGAAAGCTGTATCATTGCTCTTCTCTCCTGTATCTTGAGTGAAATCCAGAGCATTGAAAGTGGCTCTCATTCCTTCTGTTTACTTGCGCGTTGGCCAGATGGCTATTACCCTGAGCTGAAAGATGACCTCCATTCACAATAGATTGAGTCTAGTGGGGGGCACAGTCCTTCAGCCTCTCAGTTAGAATCACGCAAGGGTCCAAAGGCAAGGGTCTAGAACCTAAAACACACAAAACAAAAACAAATGACCCCGATTAAACTCATAAACATCACACTACACTATACGCGGCTAAAATAAAATGGATACCTCGTCAAGGTACTTGGCGCCTATTTTTTTCTTTGACGTAAAGAGCAGAGTGAATCGAGTAAAGTGGTTGTGGTACTTCGAAAGATATGTTGTTTTATTCTTGCTTACCTACATGAAATAATACTTTCTGGGACAGTAGAGATAACGAGAGACGAGGTTTTGGTGGCGTGGAAGCATCGAGTGAGAGCACCTGCGGGAGCCGCCGATACTCGATAGGTCAGTGATGGGCGGGACATCTAAAAAGTGACTGGACATGGTAAAATAGGAGCGAGAGAAGGCGCGTCGACCAATCCGCTCATCCAAGCACCAGTCATCAGTGGCAAAAAAAGGGTCAAGTGCTCTTTGAGATCGATCTGCTTTGGTGATGTGAATTCCAATTTTGAATGGCGTGAAGTAACTTCACAGTGGAGCAAAAGCAAAGAAAATAAGGTCGCGCCGTGCGTGCATTCACTTCCAGCCCCTGCATCAATCACTCAACAGCCTCATTCCCTGTATCTTGCTCAATCCCATTTTTCCTTCCCTTATCCGTGTATGGTTCATACGAATTGGACACAAACACACGGATGCTTGGCAGTGTCTCATAGACACAGACTGTGCACCTCTCCCTTCTTTCCCTCTCATCCGTTCTCGTTCTTTTTGCTCTCATTCTTCTTGTCTGTCGCGTCCGTTGTCACGGGTCTCTTTTCCGCGGAAGTACACCCTTGGGTTCTCTACCACAGAAGGAATCAACGATCAACATTTGCCATCTGGCTGCATGCATGAATGGTGGCTAATCAGCTGGGTAACAAGTCGTGTGTAGTAAAAGTATGACTCTTCGGCCGGTCCCACCACATGCATTATTCCCAGCAATTAAGCCATACCGCAAGTAACCCAAAAGAAAATTAAGATATGATGCTTGGACTAAGGCAAAAACTTTTACGCCCACCGCGAACAGCAGTTTGATGGGAAAGTACGTAGGAATCGGAAAAGAGGACCGAGAGTCGATAACCACAAACAACGATACAGACACAAAGAGAGAGAAAATTTGATGGGAACTTCGCTTTTAGTTTTTGGTGCCGTTGTTGTTTTCCTTTGTCTCTTCCTTTTTGGGTTTCTTGTGCGACGAGAACTAGTGAGAACAAACCATTGTGACCCGCCCATTGAAGGTTTTGTGTTTTCGTTCTAGCGGGCAATGGTTGGATGGGTTGGTTGAGCGATTGTTGTGTTGTTATTAAGGCGTTGGTGTGTTTAGAGTGAGAAAAGCTATTTCGTTCCAGATTACTGTCAGATAGCAATGAGCTTCTCTCCACCATCCACCATTCGGCCACTCGGAATGGCACCGTGGAAAATGAACAGCTCAACTCTCAATCTCGCATCGAAAATGAAAAGCGGAGTGGAGTGGAGATGGCCCAAGAGTAAAAATTCCATCTGAACCCTCGGTCCACGATCATAAATAATGAAAGAAGAAAGGAAGAAAATTGGGTTCTTTATCATAGATTGCGATTGTACTCCATGGTATATATACCTTTGGATTTCGGCGGGCATGGGTATGGGCCACAAAGGCAAAAGCGTAATAAAACCCTGCCTCAATGCAAGCGACATACAGGAATGAGAAGAGAGAGGTAGAGAGAGGAAAGAGACGGTGAAAACCTGGCGAGCAAGGGCACTCAGCGAAGAAATATAATTTGAATAGGAATGATTGAATGAATGAATGAATGAATGAATGAATGAATAAAGAGCCTTAGAATTGTGCTCAATTGAATGCAAAAGAAAAAGAGTCATGCCCAAGAAAAGAAGGTTTAGATGGGTTTGGATGGGTTTGGATGAGTTTGGTGGGTTTGATGTGAAGGGCAAACAAGACTGGGGGACATGATTGGTCAGTCGGTCCTGTATGTGCATGCGCTCGCCTCTTTTTTTCCTTCCTCCTTCTCCCTCTCTTCTTTCTTTGTCGCCTGCTCTTGTCTGGACTGGACAGAGAGGGATGTGGCTCACATAGAGAGAGAGAGAGAGTAATGAATGGATGGAAGGGAAGGGTTTGTGTTTCCAATTGAGGCTGAGAGAGAGGGAGATCCGCAATCAAGAACAAGACAGTTGTTTGTTTTTGTTTGTCCTTGTCCTATCTGTCTGTTTGTCTGTCTGTCCTGTCTGTCCTGAGAGCACAATTTCTTCTTGTCTGTTGAGTGACGATTGCTATCTGGCCCTCTTTACATACGCCTGCATTAGACAAATAGACAGACACCCAAAAAAAAAGTAGATATCTATTCCTCCCTCCTTCCCTTTGTGCTTTTTTTTTTTTTTGTGATCATTCTCTTTCTTTCTCTCTTTTTCTTTCTTTTCTTTCTCTTCTTTCTTTTCTTTCTTAGTTCTCGTCCTCGTTCTCACTTCTCTCGCTACCTTTGTTCTTCAATTGCTCTCCTCTCTTCTCTCTCCTTTTCCTTTCCTTTCCTTATCTTCCTTCATCCTTGTCATTCTACTCAGCAATCACCATTAACACCTTCCACCCCCCCGTCTTCACTTCCATCCTTTGTACCTTTATCGTATCTCACACCTTCCCTCTCTCGGACATAAATCACGCCCACACACTCAATAAGCACACGACCCTTTACGACACACAATCCCCCAAAATCAACAACCAAATCTTCACCGAAACTTCTTCAACACCAGCAACACACAGAAAAAAATGTTTGGTATTCCTTCTGGCATAGTTATACCCGGCCCTGGCTACATCCCAGAGGACCAAAAGAAAAACAACAAATCTGACAGCATCAGGAGCGGCACCAGCCATAGCGACATCCTCTTTGGTGCCTACAACTCCAACTCCAGCATCACCACCGCCACCTCCAACAGCACAGATGCAACTAGCGCCAACGGTCAATATGGGCATTTCGCAAGGAGTGGCAGCATATCATCGGTGCTCTCTGGCGGCAATGGCCCTCCATCGCCCACCACCCCATTCAATGGTGTCGGAAATAATCCGTACTACCGAGGTCCGGCGATGGCTTCCTTAGCAGAGGAGGAGATGCCTCCACCTTATATCTCTCAACATCAAATCCCCCACCATCACCAACAGCATCAACAGCCTCCCTCCTCCTCCTCATCGTCCTCATCTTCCTCTTCGTTGTCCTCGTCGGAAGATTACCGCCAATGCCTACAATGGCTGCAACAGACATGCCGACCGGTGTTTATGAAGGAGTTGGCGCAGTTGAATACGGTTCCTGTGCCGATCACGGTGGCGAATGCAAAGCACCCGAGCCAGATTGGTGGCACGCAGCTTGTGCAGATTGCGAGCTGGAAACAGTCTCAGGTCCAAGTCTTGCCTATCGATCGATGGGGCCAAGCCCACGACGTCCTCGAAGAGGTGAGTTTCATATTAGTTATGATGAGCTGGAGAAGAGCATGGGCATGGTTATTACTCACATCATGCGGGCTTTAGTCACTTTTCTTCGGCGACATTTATTGCTTTGTTTTTGCTTCTGTTGCCACCTGTTTGTCTTATTCCCACAATCCCCTTCACTGGAGGCCCTCTTGTTTGCCTTTGCAATGCTACACATCTGATACACACCTCCTTTTCCATACACGTGTATCATGGTTATTCCCATGGCGTTATCCTTTGTTTGAATGACCCTTCTCCTCCCTTTTCCCTTTTCCCTCTCCTTTTCCTTGGCAACAAAAGAAGGCATGTGTCGAAGGTTCACACTCATGAGAAATCGGGAGTGGGGTGTGGATTAAGTATGGTCTAGTGAGCGAGGGAGGGTGTCGGCATTGCCCAGACCTTTTTTTCTCTCAACCTTCTCCAAGACACATGGCCTCATTGTCTTTGTCAAAATTTAATATCGGATAAAGATTGCCCACGCTTAACTGCCTTGAATTCAACATAAACAAACAAAGCGACAAGTCATGCCTCCACCCCCTCCTCTCTCCTTCTTCATTTTGACTGTTGCTGCTCGTCCTTACAGCAAACAACAGATAACACAAAGCAACAAAGAATCAGGCCACTGGTCCGTTGGGCATTAGGCGTTTGTTGAGTTTGCACAGTCCATGGGCGTTTGCACATTGCGCGTGTATGCGTTCTCGTTTCTTTCTTTCCAAAGGGTGAGATGCCCTTCCCCTTGAGGGTGCCTGTTGTTTGTTTGTGTCTGTGTTCAATTCCATTTGGGCAACTTTCACTCCCGTCTCATTCTTGAGCTTCTCACCCTTCTCACCGCAGTCTTTCAATTTCATATCCAATCCAGGATGGATTTCCCTTTCATTTGTTCATTCGTTTGGCGCCACCACTACAAAACAAACAGCTACTTTCGTTTTTTTTTGTTGTTCTTACACAAACAATCCACCTTGTTCATTTTCTCTCACACTCATAATCGATCTCACTCCCAACATCCACATCGACATCTGAACAAATTTGTCACACTGACACAAACAACAGAAATGAAAGAAAAAACAAATATGAGAAAATAGAACAACAAGAAAGAGATTGGACAAAGGGCGATGTAGGAGAAACAGACAGGGCAAGGCGTTGGGTAAATGTTTGTTTACTTTTGTGGATGTGCTCTCTTTTTCTCTCTTGAGTGTTCTCTTTCAATTCTTATCGTCAGAAAAGAACAAGGCTGGGCCTGAGGGGGTGGAAGAAGGATAAACCTTAACCACTGTGAGAAGGGGGAAAGAGAAAGAGAGAGAGTGTGTGAATTATGTTCAGGTCCCTTACTTTCTTTACCATTTCTGGTCTGCGCTCTCTCAACCCCATATCACCACATCCCTTGACATTTGTTGTTTCTAATTGCATTTCGTTCTTTCTCGGCAATCCCTCGACTCGATCAAAAGGAAGAGAACTGGGAACACATTCATTCCTTTAAGCGCCTAGCGTTCTTTTTTTGTTTATTTTTTGCATTGGGCTGTAACGGTGGAAGGGTAGATTGTCCATCATCATTGATGAATGAAGAAACGATGGATATAAGATGAATTGGGCTTGGACCTATTTTCTATTCCCTCAGATGGTTGTGGTAGTCTTGTTCAAGGGGTGGAGTCTTTTGGAGTAGAGATGTTATGGCATGGCTTACACATGATTGTTTTGAATGGTGTGCAGAGGGTAGTTTGCATTGGGGATGAGAGGGAGACCCCCTGAGAATTTGTTTTTCCAGTGGCATGCTACAACACGTCGCTGTCATTTTGTTGTTGTTTTCAGTTGTCGCCGTTGTTCGTTCAGACGTGCTCTGTTCATGCTCATGCTTTTACAAAGACACCTTCATACCTCCTCAATGACTTTACAAGAGGAGCCCTTCACAAATATCTCCTTCCTCTCAATCCACTATTATTCACTGTTTATCCCTACATACAGACAACTTTCTCGTTTTTATCCGCAATGTTATCGCTCTTTGGGTGGCTGGCCAGAGCACGCGTGAGAGTTCGCTCGTTCCTGTTTTTTATTTGTTGTTTACCTTTTCTTCTTTGTGCAACCTCGAATATCGTTAGCTTACTTTTTTATGGTGTGTGTGTGCAATGTGCTCTCATTTTTCGGTATCCTTTCGCCTTTCAATTCCTTGCCATTTTCCGCCTTCTATCCCACCTCACATCCCCTCTCCTCTCTCCTCCGCTCTCTTTCCACTCGTTGATTTTTATTTTTTCTTATTTTCCTTATGCACGATATCGTGCCAGTCGACACGCGATAACTCAAGGGTTGCTAATGGCGAACAGCCTCTGGAACTTTCAAATGACGCGATTTAATTAGTACCCTCCGGCAAGTACTTCCAACTCACACACTCCCCTCCGCCCATTTCTTTCTCCTATCCATGGTCTAGATCCAAGCATTGCATAGGCTACGAAAGTCCAGACATATCATCCAGTTGTATGGATACCTCCCCAATGCCACTCTGTCTCACGGTCAAATGCCCGCCCTCCTCCTCCAACAACCCAGCTACGGCTCCTTGCGCCAGTTCCTGGACCACCATTTCGATTCGATCCACTGGCCTGAGCGGTACAAGTTGGCGTTGGATATGGCACAGGGGTTGAGGTTCCTCACCTCGCAGGGAATCCCTTGTACGCTGAATTCGGGTAGTGTCCTTGTCGATGCTGAGGGTGTTGCAGTGTTGACGGGATTTGGTAGAGAGAGAGGGATGATTGCGAGTGCACCTTGTCAAATGACGGCTCAGCCGTCGAATGCTACACTTGTGGTTTATACCGCGCCCGAGAAGCTGGCTGCGATTGCGGCGGCCACTGCTGCGGCTGGTGGACCGACTTCGAAGGTTACATATTCACCGGATTGGGAGGTGTTCTCGTTAGGGATCTTGTTGTGGGAGTTGTCGTCGGGCAGGATGCCGTTTAATGAGATTATTGCCCGTGCTGAGGCGGGTCCACGACTGAACAAGAATATTGAGCAACTGTCGTCGGCGATTCAGAAGGGGTTGAGGGAAGAGACTGTACCTGGCACACCTGAGATCTATGAGCAGTTGTTCAAGATGTGTTGGGATTCGGATGCAGAGTCCAGGCCACCACTGGAGGTTGTTGAGGAGACGTTGCAGATGCTTGTTGTTGTTGAGCCTATGGACATGCTTATGCTGCCTGATGATGAGATGAACATGCATGTATCTGCCGTCGGTAAGTTTATAATTTGTTTTTGTATATCGACTGGGTTAAGATTTCTGAGGCTCAGCATGACCATTAACAATTAATTAATTGTTCCTGCATTTCTTTTACATATCTATCATCTAGTATCGGACAGTGTGGACAATGAGTCTGTGAGCTCACACAACACCCCAACGCGTTCCAACAGCGTCCGCTCACTCTCTCCCCTCCCAGGCTACCAACCCCGCCAACGGCCCACAACCCTTCACGAAGCCATCAGTGTCTCGAACGCCGACATGACAGAATGGTACATCCTCTCTGGTCACGACCTTAACGGCTACGCCATCGTCCCTACATTCTCGCTCGAATGCGAGATCACTCCCATCCTCACCTCTCTTGGCCATTTCTTGCCGTCATCCTTACCGATTTTCAAGGAGTTGATGGAACAGGATGTGGATCTGTCTTTGTTGTGTAGGCGGTCGAACCAGAATGGACTTCACGTTCTATTGGATCGATATATCCCTTTCAAGAACGAGAACGGGTCGGCGCATCTGATGGAGGCGGTGGATATCTTGTTGAAGCATGTTTCACCGGTCGAGATGGATATCAATGGGTTGGATGTGCAGGGTCATACGCCTTTGCACCTGTTGATGCGGAACCCGAGGATTTCCTCTGAGGATGTGGCCGAGATCTTGAAGAGGATGATCCTCAAGGGCGCCGATACTACCCGCGCCGCTCCACGAGATGGCAATGTCCTGGCGCTGTCTGCAAAGTACTTGCATTTCGAGGCGACAAGACATATCCTCTCGATCGACATCCTGGCGTCAGAACCGGAATCGCTCGAGAAGGCGCTCGAGGCCTGTATGACGATGACGGGCCGGGCGACAGACAAGTTCGTCAACCTCCGAACAAAAACTCGAGACCTCCTCAAGATGTGGACAGGCTCGGCGGGTAAACCTAGACGGGAGAAGGTGGCCTTGAAGATCTTGAACGATGTTGGCCAAGTTGATGCGTTGGGCATGCGGACAAAGGGTAAAGGGGTTACGTTTGCCCAACCGCAGGTGCAGGTTGATTGCGCGAATAAGTTTTATGAGACGTATATCAAGAAGAAGCGGGAGCAGGTGTTTGAGACGGTTGATCTCCGGTTCGCTGGCGGCCTGGGGTACGCTGGTCGATAAGAGCCTTTTTTTTTCTTTTCTTCTCTTTTCCTTTTCCTTTCTTCTCTTCGTTGCTCTAACATTAGACGCACTTCCTTTTCTTTACACCATACAGAAAATAAGCTTTACATACCCCTCTTCATACGCACCATCCCCATTCATTTTTTTTCTCATATAACATAGTTTGTAGACCACAAACAGAACATATATCCCTTCCAATGCATAAAGAAAACTATCAATACACAGAGCGTGAACGTTTTCGAAGTAAGGTATATGTACACTTTTGGTTTTATTACAAGTAGAAAATAAGCAAGAACAAAAAAAACAACAACGAAAATAATAGAAGAAAAAGAGGAAGTTTCTAGTGCTCGAGGCTGTCGATGCGCAGGTTGTACTTTGCCTGCAAGGCATCCTTATCAATCTTCATCGTCTTGTCATAATCCCTGAACAAGAAATAAATCATCACGCTAATAACCAATGCTGCAGCACCCAAAGCCGCGTACATGTACAACAGCAAAGGGTCCTTCGCCAATGGCAAGAACGCAAATCCAAGCAACGCACCGACACAGTTTGTGAAGAGGAACATTGCCATCACGACCGACTTCATGGTAGCAGGGGCGTTTGTGAAGGCGAACTCGAGACCGGTGATGGAGGCAAAGATCTCGGAGATGGCGATGAAGAAGTAGGAGAGGATCTGCCAGGCGATGGAGACGTTGTTGGGGGTTTCGTTTTCGTCGCAGAGGGTGCATTCGTAGTTGGGGCCGGTGATGTAGATCTTGTGTTGGACGATAGCTGTCCAGGCCATGGCGATGGCGCAGAAGAAGAAGCCGAGGGAGATGCGGACGATGGGCTTGAGTTCCCAGCCCATCCGACGGAGAGTGGGGTAGATGATCTTGTCGAAAATAGGGATGAAGATGATCAAGACGATGGGATCGATGTTGTTGACGACGTCATTGGGGATTCCGTAGAGGAGCATGGTTCCGGCCTGGGAGGTCAGGTTGGTAGTGATCTGGTTGTAGATCACCCAGTAGAAGGGGAAGAACAAGAAGACGGAGCAGGCCTTGAGGGTTAACCGGAGTTCGTCAATAAAGATGTCGTCCCAGGTGATGCCACGGGTAGCTTCCTCGGAGGGGTCGCGGGTTTGAATGACGGAGGGCTTTGCGGCGTCGAGGTTGCGGCCGTTGCGGAGGGCGATGGAGAAGACACGGAAGGATTCGATGAGGACGGATCCACGGGGTTCGGTCTTGACGACCTTATCCTTTCCGAACCACAACGCCAGCACGGCACCGTTGAACATGATCAAAGGGATCAAGTAGGCCAGCCAGAAGGCATAGTACTTTTCGACATTCGTCGTAATAATCGCCGACAAGGAACCCAGGTTGATCGACCAATAGAACCAGTTAAAGATCGACTGGACCGTGACATCGGGACAGACGATGACTTTCTCCCCGGACTTCAAGGTCTTGACAGTCTGTTTGGTTCCCTGGTACTGTTCTGCGACCATGGGCGAGACGTTCGATTTGATTCCGCCAGTTCCAAATCCGATGATGATCATGGCGATGACGAGACCTGGGAGGGCGGCGTTGGCAAAGATGGCGGGGGGGATGGAAGTGAGGACGAGGACGAGGACGCCGAGCATGTAGATTCCGCAGAAGACACAGATGGTTTTGTATTTGCCCAGGTATTGGTCAGCGACGATCGCTCCGAAGATTGGGGTCACATAGCAGAAGACTGTTTGGAAAGAAAGAAAATGAGGGAGGGATTGTTAGTCAACTGTGCTTGTTACACAAGAGCGATGATGCATCGACCACAACAACAACAACAACAACAACAACAACAACAACAACAACAACAAAGAAAGGAGATCTTACACTGGAAGAAATAGTTCAAAGCAGTAGCAGTCTGCTGCCCCTTGCCAATGGCACCAGGGTGATCCGCACCCTTCACACCCGTGTAGGGATACTGGATATAGTTCTGGAAGGGACCCGAGAGACCATAGTAGGTGAAACGTTCACAGAACTCGACGACGACGACGAGCCAGGCAGAGGCAGGGATGTGATCGGCGACGCGGCGGAGGGTTGCGGATTCTTCGGGGGTTGGTTCCCGGCCGATGTGAGGGTGGTTGAGATCTTCGGACATTTCTTCCAGGGATTCTTTGGTGGCTGCCATGTCGGCAGAGGGAGAGTCGGTGTATTCGGATTTCATTGTGGAAGGGAGGGAGTGATGGGGAAGGGTTTGTTGTGGTTGCACGGGAAAAGAGTTATGGTTTGATGGGAAGGGTAGGTGCGGTGTGGATTATCGATGTGCGCTCGTGTGAAGAAAGTTGATGGGAAAATGTAAAATGATGGAGGTAAAGAGGGGCCAGGTATTTAGGGCGTGGTATATGAGCGGCGAAGGGGGAGAAGGGAGGGATGAAAGAGAGTGAGGGGGATGAACGACGAAAAGAAAGAGAAAAAGGAAGGGAAGGGAAGGGAAGGGATAGACGGTGGGGAGGGTGGAGGCAAAGACGAGGAAACAAAAAGGGGGATGTTGCCCCTTTTATATCGATTCGATTACAACGATGGCCCCTTAGGTTATGATGATAATGCTCGGGATGACAGCCGGATGGCCCGTCAGTGCCAAGTACATTACAGAGGCAAGAAGGCAAACTGGCAGAAAGGACGATGGAATGCAGAATCAGGGGTCAGAGTCATGGAAAAATGTTTTCTTTATTACGTCCCTGTTTCTCTCTATTGAATTCATACTATAGTCTATAACAGAGTTATTTTAGTGCCAGGAAGTGGAACCGTCATGGCAGTTGATTGTCTCTTGTCCCTTGTCTCTTGACGGATGGACTCCCGTAGCCAATGACGACGACCTCAGAGTTTTTTAGTTTCTCCTTCGATCGCAAAGCCTCTTTAATCAAATCACCCCCCATCCCACCCATCCATATCTTGCCTCTTTCGGACATTTGCCACACAACCAATCAAAACATACATCAATGTCGGAGAATACCTCCATCGGGAGAACTCCCTCCCATCCCTGTCCCACCACGCTACCACTGCACTTTCTTTCTTACTAAAACGCAATAGATGGCACCTCAATTTGCTGGGCGTGAATATCCGGCCAAGATTCTCTATGTTTCTAGCTTGTAGGGGAATGAAAATGAGAAAAGTAGATGGAGGTTTTCGATAAAGACAGCCAAAAATACTTGTCACTCCACACTTCTGGTAATCCCATCTATAAACCAAGGAGGTTCCCCTCCATCCAATCGTCCAATGCTGTGTCGCTGGTGGCTGTATTGCTTGTCCGCTGCTGCGAGTGCGATGTCATCAGGCATCCAATTGCCATTTTTTCTTTTGTGCCGAGGAATTTCTGGCCAACTTTGCTTTGTTGTCCGACCTGTAAAGGACGACGATGTAACGAGTGAGAAGAGAGAAACTCGACATGGGGGTCTGGGCTCACACCTCTGCATCCCGTCGTAACATCGCATCGCAGCTGCATCGTGAGAAAAAAATAAGGCAACGTATGTAGGGCGTAAACAAACAGACTACAATGGAATGACGAGAGGTGTCCTGGGCGTGGGTAACTTGATCATTTTTTTCCTACGCTCCATACTTCACTCATCATCGCCAGTTTACCCTTGTATGTATTGTGGGGACAAGTACTAAACAGACAATGGTAATCGTGCGTCTAGAAAAATAAAGTTTCGTTATTTATTTCTTGTTGGACCGTATGGGTTGAACAATGACGATGATGACAGAAAACAAGTACACAAATAAGAGACGAGAGCGCTTCGTTTTAGGAATAACTTGTCCAACAACAAGACTTGTGCGACCCTGAGTATGTCAAACAAAAAAAAAGAACACAAACAAGAATCTTGGTTGGTTGATAAGCAAGCAGATAGGGTCATGGGCCAATGAGATGAAGAACGGTTGAATAAGGACCGCACCCAGAGAAATGAAAGGTGGGATCCTCTCATTCTCCTTAAATTCGACATCACTGGAATTTTCCTGATCTGACCCTGAGGAGGCAATAGACGTGGAACCAGAACGCTATTTGCATTGTGAAAGGTCCACGTTGGACGCACAGAAGCACCCGTCTTTTGAAGAAGGTGTAGGAATATGATACGATCCAGGCATAGCCTGGCATTGCATGAAAATGCTTTGGTGCACCGGAAATAGATGTGAATGTGTGCAATCACATTTTTTTTGCTCTCTGTTCAGGGTCGGGGGTAAGGAACAAACTAGCAAACAAGCAAGCACTCAACCGTCTATTGGCATTAACAAACCAGACCATATATGAAGCGTGAGAGAGAAGAGAGATTCAGGAGGAGAGAAGTTGATTGGTACGGAAAATATTATCCCTCTATGAATGTCACTTTGTCCACTTGTCCGGAAGATCTTCAAGTTTGCCGTTGTGCCTATCAATCTAGCTAGCATGCTTCCCTTGACAACCAATTGAATGTGTATGTGTCCAGACTGAGATTGATAGTCGGACAAAGAGAGTAAAAGAGTAGAAGTGGGTGTTTGTCTGTGGGGGGGACATCTCCGGTTCGCTCGTTCCTTTGGTGCAGAAGAAGGCTGACCTATGATGATGCGACCGCTTCGGGGATGAAGTGCAAACAAGTAAAGGGGCGGCGAGGATGTGATCAGCCAATCAGGGTCTAAGATTATCTTTTCTATGAAGTTGAATACGACCGCCGGACCCATATGTGGCCGATAGGCCGACGGCAGATGACTGAGTATATAGCTTCAAAGGAATGTTGGCGTAAAGGAACTAAGGAGAACAGAGGGAGTCTTGACGTTGACAATGGTATGTGTAAGAAAGTATGGACGATGTGACACATGGGAAAATGGGCTCCCAAACGGCGAGAAAAGGAAAGAGAGAGTGGGAGGAAAGAGAGGTAACCTTGTTCAAACCAAGTGTGTGCCACATGGCGCAAAGGCCGATCTAACCGAACCGGCCGTTATTGTTGTCGTTGCATTCGCTGTCCGTGTCCTGCGTGTATGTACATGTGCGTTATTGCGGTTGTATCCCTGGCAGGAATTAGGACAAAGAGGAATAAACGATCATTATTGTTGGCATGAGATGTCCTTCATTCTGGAATGGAGTACCTTTAGATCTTGTGTTGCACTCTGTTGTGTTGGATCGTTTAATCCTATTATGGACATCTTTGGACAAGACGGGTACCGCACTACACAGCGGTATGACGTACCGTGTTCGTACGTTAGGTAGCTTACGAACCTGACCAGCTGTTGGGTTAGCGGTAATGGAAGAGGAGCACAGGTCGCGCAGTAAGTAGAGTGTTCTTTACCTTGTACACGTTGGCTGATTCTTCCTCTGACTTCCCTCTCCTTCCTTCTTCCTTCTCCTTCCGTTTTCCCTTTGTCGACTCTTTTCTTTTCTCCTTTCCAGTTGTCATCTTCCTTTGTGGTGTGTCTCCTTAAAAACCCCCCCTGTACATCTCTGTATCTCTTCATCTCCTGCAGCTGTAGTTCGATACCCTCCCTTACAAACCAGCACAGCCTTCACTTGATCACCCTCTTCACCCCCCTGTCGAAACGACAGGTACATTTCCAAGGTAACATGCGATCAATACTTTCACCGTCACCCTCCTGCATCATCATCAATCATCAACAGCATCTCTCTGCACCTTCTCCCATTGTAATCCACCAACCAGCCCCCGACATCTAATCAATCAGCCAGAATGTCGACGCCAAAATGCCTTATCGCCTTGCCTTTTGATTGTCCTCTTCCGTTCCTTGTGACCCCATCTAATATGGCCATGGAATTTATAAAGGTGTGACAACAACAGGGTCCACCAGCACATGCACATGCACATCAGATTGCACATCAGGTCGCACATCAGACTGCACAACCACGTTACAACGAATGAAATACTCTATCACCCGATAATCCTATGTGCAATTCATGTTCGTCCATATGGATTGATACAGTGTCTTTGTCTACGCTTCACTCCATGTCCTGTGCATCCTTGTTGCTTCTAAGTAGACACTCGCCATAGCAACCATGCATATACATGTCATTACATATATTGCCATTACATGATACTCTGTATTCGATTATTCCCATTGTGCGATTATTCCTGTCTCCTCCTATCATCGTTGCTATTCCTTCTGTCGTTGGTCCCTTTTCCTATTCCTCAATGTTTTCTATTTCTCCACATCCATCCATTCGACTTCTTGCTCTTATTCCTTCTTTCTCTTCTTCTCCTTCCCCCCTTTTTCTGTAGTCGCCTGGTGTGTGTTTCTTCTCGTCCTCTTTGATTTATGTTTGTTATTCCTCCGATCCCCCCGATTCTCAAACACCTCTGTCTTCTTCTCCATAGTTTAAAGGAAGTGCAGTACAACGCCCCTTTTAGCTTTCCTTCTTGTGTATCTCACCAGTCATAATCCTCCGTTTCGACGCAACAATAACGGTCATCTTCTTTTCTCTCTTGTCCACTCACTAACGACCTTTTTTCTTGTCTTTCTTCTCTTTCTTCCTTCTCTTTCTTTCTTTCTCCTCCACCTGCCTCCCTTCTTACCACCATACCCCTCCTACTCTTTGATACCATCGACCCACTTTGCACTCTCCTTATTAAACCCTTTTGGCACGAACCCCCAACTTTATTGTCTATCTCCATCAACTCCCATCGCCCATTCTATCCAACAAACAAGAGCTTTGGCTCATTGAACACGTCCGTATTGTCCAGTCGATCCTTTCCTGTCCACCGCGCCACCTCCACTATCCAACAAACACACATACCACGCCCATACCCAAGTTGTTGTCCAACAACCACAACAACACTAGCCTATATTACCCCTACCTCAACTTCTATTGCAAAAACTAGCGACAAACAACTCTTTGTCTTCCCTGTTAGATCCCATCCTACCCCTCACTACCCTCTTATCGAACAAACACCACCACCACCCACTCACTCCATCCCACACATCAAACCCCTCCCCTTCGACTCGACCGAACTCCCTAAAATACCATCAGCGGCAGGACAAAACAGCAGTAAAAAAAAGGCAACACCAGCCAACCAGCCAACAAAAAACCATGGCAGAGAACACGATCCTCGCCCTATGCTTCCCCTGCCCAACACCGGCACAAGCACAGTCAGGAGGACCAGTCGACGAAGTCATGACAACAGCATTCCAACAACTCTGTCTCGACATTGGTCTTTCCCATAACTGCCAGGCTATTCTCGATGTTGCCATCAACAGTACGCAGGCAAAGAAACGGCTGTCGATCGAGACTCATCAGTCTGTTTATAACGTCACCATCACTGGTGCTTATCAGAATGTGATGGCTGCCAGAGGTGCCTTCATGCGCAGCAACCCTCTCAAGGTAAGACATATGCAATGAGGAATTACAGACATGTACATACCCTGAATCCTTCCTTTTTTTTTTTTTTTTTTTTTTTTTTCATTCGAGTTTCTGGTCTATTGTTCATTGCTATTCGTTTCGGGTTTTTTGGTCTTCTATTTTTATGTCCGATACAATGGATTGTTTACCAAGGGTGTTAGAAGAGGGCAGGAAAACACAACAACAAAAAAATAATAACACAAATCACACAAAATGCCATGGGGGTACGTTGGTAGGCGGGATAAAGGAAGAGCGAGAAGAGAGAGCAAGGGAGCAAAGGGGCAAGGGGGCAAGGGGAGCGGGGTAAAGGAGTAAAGGAGCAAGGAGCAGTGGCCCCCATCTGGATTGAACGACAAACACAAAATAGCGATAGGGGGAGAATGCTCTCTCCAAAGTTCACACATACAACAAATGGCAACAACTTGAAGCATGAACGATATTGACGGCAGCATCGGATATGCACCAACACCACACAACAGTCAACTTTTCTTTCTCCTGACATGAATTCACAAATGGAATATGGACCCTTCATCTCTCTCTTGCAGCAAGGCAGCCAGACAAGAAGGGGCATTACGTTCTCGCATTGATGGTCGCATGTACTTTTTCAGGATAAGGACTTGCATAGACGCACATACACCCTGCAACCAATCAACCTCCTTCCAACGTTTTTACTTGTATACACGCCCAAATGGAGGGTGCCCGACTCGACTTGACTCAATTTGCGAAAACGGCAGCCTTCTTGGACCAATGACATCCCACTCGACAACGTCGTTTCCTCTTCTTTTCACCACTGTTTCTCGTACTTTTTTTTTTTTCATTTTCTACAACAAGAAAAAGCCGAACTCGTGGTCTATTTCGCTAACGTACCCTGTCCTGGACCCCATTCGCACTACGTTGGAGGCCACGGATTAATATGTGATTAGCCAAACAGCTTGGTCAGAAGAGGGAAGAGAAAGGGCGGGAAAAAAAACAGGGAGAAGTGTACTTGCTCAGGTTGGAGGGAGTTCTGTTTTGTGTTGGGTTCGGCGGGTTGGCTGTTGAACGAGTATTTGTGTGTATGCTGGAAGAAGGAGGGGGTGGTTATCGGACGAAAAATGGACCGCGTACAGCTTGCAGTAGCTGCTACTATCGGATGTGTGGATACCGATGGATTGGAGAGAGAGAGATGAACTCTGCACAGGTTATCATTACTGAAGGAGTAGACGGATCATCCATCACCACCCATCATTTAGAAGTCATCATTATTCATTTGTGATATTCTCTCGCTATCATATTATCAGCTGTTTCACTCACACACTTCATCAACGAACAAAATAGCCACGGCTGTCGATCAAGATTAGCAAGGCATCCATCACCGCAGACCCATACACACACCCAGGATCGTCCTCTCCCAAGGAGTCAGCATCAAAGCAACAGGAGTCCTCCCTGGAACAACCAAAAACTGTCGCTAACTCATATACCCAACAGCAACAATCTGAAGATACCACTGCGGCAACCTCATCAACAGCAAAGGACTCCTCGCTCCCTGTCAGCCCCAACGAATTAACACCCGCATCGACCTCGATCTCTGTCACACCAAACCCTATACCACTATCTGCCGCTACAACCACCAGCTCGATCTCATCTTATTTCACAGTCTTGCCAAAGTTCAAGTCTCAAGTCGACCTCATCTCCTCAACAACTCGCACCACCATCACACTTGTATCCAGCCAGTTCCATACCCTCCCCTCGGCAAAGTCCGTTGTGGCCGCCCACGCACGACAGGAGATGGTCGAACTCCTCGTGTCAGGATCATGGGAAAATGCAGAGGCGGCGAGGCTACTGCTCTTGGTCGCCATCAACTCACTCCAACCTGGGTCAGTTCAGGAGAAGATCCAGATCGAGCTCAAGTACCAAAATATGGTGGGAGGCCGCAAGCGAGAGGATCTGCAAGAGTTGATGGCTAAGACGAGAACAAGCATCTATATGGCTTCGCCCTTTGCTCAGACCACTAACAAGAGTGGAAGCCCTGTCGATCCTCGATATAATGATGTTTACATCACTGGAGAGCATTCCAAGGTTCAGATTGTCAAGGATGTGCTTTCACGAACATATTCTCGTGTTCAGTCTGCTGCACCCGCCTGTACTCGCCAAGTCAACATTGCCTCGCGGAAACTCGACTGGATGATGTTGAACCATCGCGACAAGTTGCGGTCGATCATGATTGACAACGCCTCGTTTATTGCCTTTCCGCCACTAGGCGCCAGTCATCCCATCATCTTTGTCTATGGTGAATCTCGCGTCAATGTTGAGCGCACCATCCGCACCGTCATGCAACTTGTAAGTCACCTCTGAATGTCTTATCGATACTTTTTACATTCGGCAGTAGAGAAACTCTCTAACATGCTGTTTTCTCGCTCTATCCATTGGCTAATAGTCGTCGCAGTTCCACTCGGGATCGATCAACTTGTTGTCGCCGGTACGAGAGAGCCTGACTGCGATCCCTTTGAACCCATCCAACGCTCTCTCACCCATCGCCAATATCTCCAAGCTTGTCTCGCAGGCATCAGGAGCAGAGGTCGAGTTCCGCAACAACGGATTCTACATCTTCGGCAATGAGATCCAGACAAGGATTGCAGTGCAGTTCCTGACCGACATTGATTTCATCAAGACGCTACACTACGAGGTCAAGTTTTCAGTCGAGCTGGCGAACGAGCACCGGGAGTTCATTTCGGGCAAGAAGAACGGCAAGATCAACCGGATCATGAAAGCGACCGGGGCCAAGATCAAGTTTGACCCCTGCAACGAGTACAACTTTTACGTCGACCTCAGCTCGACTATCGCGGTCAAGTCTGTCGAAGCCCTTGCACTTCTCCAAGAGGAGCTTCCTGCAGAGATCTCGTTCTATGTCCCCGAGACCTACCACAAGCGGATCATTGGTGTTGGTGGCAAGAACATCCAGCGGATCATGAAGAAGTTTGGCGTTTACGTCAAGTTCTCCAACTCGGAAGAGTTTGCCAATCTGGGAGGGTACTTTGATAACCTGGACAATGTCGTCGCCAGGACGCCGTCCAAGAACGCCATGAACCTGGATAATCTCAAGCACGCCGTCATGGAGCTGGTCAACCTCAAGGACAAGGATTTTGTGCACCACTCGTTGTCGATCCCTAAGCACTATCATCTGTCCCTTTTGTCAGATCATGCCAAGGCACTGGCTGAACTCCAGGAAGCCACCAACGCCACTGTTCGGTTTCCGGAGAAGGAGACTGGCAGCGACGTTGTTTGGATCTCTGGACCGGAATCGCTTATCCAACAAGCTACGTCGATGCTGCTGTCTCTTGTCGATGAGCAGTATGCCTACCCTGTTCCCTTCTCTGAGGCCATGGATCGTGTCTTGCTCAAGCCCGAGTTCAAGGTCGAGATTCTGGACAGGATGAGGAACGAGTGGAACATGACTTTGGTCCCTCCTGCCATCCACGAGGTCACCACCACTGGCGGCCAGAGCGAGGGAAGACGCATGCCAGAATTCAAGACTCCCTCTCCTGCCGGATCTATCTCGGGTCGCCAAAGTGCCTCGGAGTCGCCCAAGAGCAGAGAACTCGGTGTAGAGGCCACTGGTGAACTGGCTCGGTCTCTCAGCAGCCTGACAGACAGTGATGACGATGACGACGACAGCGAGGAAGACGACCATGTGTTCATCTTCAAGTACAGCCGCAATAATGAGGATTATCTTCAGAGCGCCAAGGAGCTGCTGGTCCAGTTCCTGATCGACAACCAGATCGAGGTCTATGATGACGAGATCCGTATCCAACGACCTCGCTCGGACTCGTTTGCTGAGGCCTTCCCTCATTTCAACAGCAAGATCCTCTCCTCCGTCACCGGTGGAGGTATGCAACCTTCTTCTCATCGGTTTATGTGCTTCTGCGTGATAATATTTTTTCTTCCATTGATCTAACGCCACCAAAATTTTGTGATGTAGATCTGCCTACTCCCGCCCCTGCGTTCTTGAACTACTCACTGTTCGAGAATGCCGGTAATGCGTTCGAAACGCTGAGCCGTGCCCCCGGCGCAGGTCAAGGTGTACCCAACCCAAATGTACCAGCAGGGTCCATGGTCGCCCCAGACATCCGGGCACTGTTTTCGCACGGACCTGCGCAAGGACTCCCTCCACTTGCCTCCTCGCCTCCTCGTTGGCCGGAACAGCACTCTCGACAGCTCACATCTATCCCCGGATTGCCCTCTGGAATGACCACCGCTATAAGATCGGTGCCTTCTTTCGCGCCCAGCCAACCATCTAACGCCCACCCTGGTCAGAACCAGCAACAGCAGAATCAGTCACCGTCGTTCAACCGACTCACCAGTTTACCGATCGACCCTTGGGCCAGCCCTGGCAAGCAGCAGGCGCAAGTCATGCAGGCGCCCTCGACACCCGGCTACACGGGGTCGGTTGGGCAATTCCGCACCCCGCCTCCTGGTATTAGCAGCGTCGGAGCCAACAACGCGTTTTACTCGCCCAGTAGCGGTCAGAGCCAGCAGAACGCGATCTTCTCCCCCGAGGGACCCTACGGAGGAGTGACGAGTTTCCAGACCCCCGGATCGACAGTATCTTCGAACCATCTCTACTCCAATAACAACTCGCCTGTCCAAGGTGTCTCGAGTAATGTCGGTAGCTTCGCCAGCATGATGAACCAGTACCAGACGCCACATCACCAGCCGTCGCCTCAACGGCCTTACTCTGGATCTTCGGGTTCTAGGGACAGCTTGCAGTTCTTGGACGAGAAGCATGGGTCAAGTCCTGCGTTCGGATCCGGGTATGGACCTGCGCTCAACAGCGGGAGCAACAATAACCGATACCAGCAACAACAGACGAATGGGCAGGGGTACCAGAGCTCCTCGGCGTTCGGGCAGTCACTGCAATACCCTCAACAGCGTCAGCGCCATTCGAGTCACAACAGCACGACGAGTAGTCATCATACCATGTTTCTGGGACCCATTGGTGGAGGGCTAGGATCTACTGGTGGGTCTGTGAACAGCGATGATATCTCGACGGAGGATGAGAGTGATGACCCTTTTGACGAGATGCGCAATCGGCACCATAGGTCGTACCATCATACCCCACAATACCAGCCATCATCGCAGCAGCAGGGGGTTCACGGAGGAGTGGGTATGTTTGGATCGCAAGCGTCGATGTCGTCTGTGCTTGCCAACCGGCGTGGATCCGTGCCGTTGATGGGGTCCATATACAGTAACCAGCTCCTCTACCGGCCTAGCTCGCCTCAGCATTATCAACTTCACCACCAGCAGGCTGTGACACCCCCACCACCACACAACGTAGTCCGATTGAGTAACAGTACTTCGGATCTCTATGGCCGTAAGTCTCTCATCAGCGCCATGGCCCGTCACACCCTCAACGACACCACTTCTACTTCTGGGACCAACACTGGCAACAATAGTGGATTCAACTCGCCTGGTCGGGGCACCCCTATTTCTGGATCTGGCGCTCCTGGACCCATGACTGGATTCAGTCCTGGATTCAGAGCCAACGGCAATGGAGATAACGAGAGGGACTTGTTCTCGAGCGGACTGAGCGGTATTATCGGAGGCGGGACTATCAGTCACAATCACAGCCACGACCACTCGTCGCCGTTTAACCATCATACCCATACCAACCTCGCCAGCCAGATCAATGACCCCAGCGGTGGTTACCAGCAAAGCAGTAATGCCTATGATTTCATCAAAGGCGGTGGGGTTGCATCGGGAGTCGGCGCGTTGGGAAGTGAGTTCGTAGGCGGTGGTGGTAGTGGAGGTGGAGGACATCTTGTTGGATCGTCGGCGTTGATGGGCTCAACACTCTCTGCATCTGCACTACCCTTTCTTGCTGACTCTGCGCTCGATCGACCTGGTCATCATCAGCCGCAGCAGCAGCAGCAGCAGCAGCAGCGTATGGTCGGCGGCTGGGATCGTTAGTTTCCTGTTTTAACTTTCTTTTTCTTTTTTTTTTTTTTTTTTTTTTTTTTTTTTTTGCTTGTCTTCTTTTGTTCACCCTGTACAGTACGATAGTGTAGTCTTTTGTTTCTTTTCTTGTTTTTTTTTTCTTACTCCAAATGTTACCCTCCCTCGCCAACCTTCATCTTTTACCCAGGCGCCTTTACTTTAATACCACTCGTTTCTCTGCGAGATTGTCAAATAAACATATCTCTCCATCCCCCCCCACCCCCCCCCCCCCAAAAAAAAAATAAATAAATAAAAATACAAAAAAATAAAATAAAAAAACCTCTTCGTAAATAATTGTATTCGATGAAAGTGTCTAGGATCTGCGATATGATACAACAACTACATATACCTGCCGCCCGCTCCTGCCAGTTTTTACTGTTGCTGCTGTTGCTGCAGCTTGAGCTGTCGGTCACACTCCTTAACTCGCGCATTCATATCATCCACAGAGTCCAAAAACTTCTGTGTCTCCTTGACAGCCTCCCGTCTCGTCGCCCTCGCAACCTCAAAGTCCTGTTTACACACCACCCCATCAAAGAGCAGCAGTGACTTCATCAGTGTCTCTGATAACAGCATATGTGCGTCCTGCAGTTGTTTGCGGGTGGGTGGCGGTGGTGGTGCCTCCTGTCCGCGGGGTGGTGGACGTGGAGATGAAGTGGCGGAGGAGATGTAGGATTGGACGGCGGACTCGTAGCGGGGGAAGTGTTCTGCGACGAGGTCGAGGGTCTTTTCGAGAGATTGTTGGATCTTGACGATTAGGGCATATTCTTCGGGGTCGCCGTGGGTCGTCAACGTTGAGATGTCCGCTTTCTAAGGAAGGTGGACAAAGGAAGGGAAGTGGAGGAAAAGTGTCAATTGGGCGAGTGTTCTTTGAATATCAGATCAGGTATCCAAGCGTCATTTTTTTTTTGTCTCTGTTTCCTATATCCTCTCTTTCTTTCATCCTCCTTGTCTTATCCAACAAACATCCAAAGGAAACAATACAACACCCTGATAATGTAAACTTACAGTAGGTCGGGTTCCCATCATAGTAATCTGCCCATTCGGCTTAATTCCAAAACAAGACAACGGCGCATTATCGTCCTTCATCGTCGCACCACCATAGATCAAGGTCAACCCGCCTAGGGGAACGTTGGACCAGTCGTGACAGCATTTGCGGAGCTCGCCCAGGCGGATGTCAGGGAGGTTCCTGTCATTGAAGATGAAGGATTTCTTCTCACGGCCCCATTTTATGTTGATCCGTGTCATGATTTTGGTTGTTGTTGTTGTTTGGTGGTGGTGGTGGTGGCGGGTCCTGGGATGTTGGGAAGTGGGTTGGGGTGTCGAAGGAGTGGTGGCTGCGTTCGAGGCTATCCTGGGAGTGCTAGGGGCAGAGCAAAGGAACAACAACAAGAAGGGAAAATATGGTTAATCGCTCTGTGCTTTTTTATAGTTGTGTGGTTCCTCGGTTCCTGAGTCAGAGAGTGAATGGGGGTGAGAAAGGGGTTGGTTTCTCTTCTGGCGATGTCCTTTGTTCCTGAAAAGTAAAAGGTGTCATTCGTTGCCTGCTCAACATTGGAGAGTTGTTCGCATGAGGAGTGAATGCATTCATACCAAGCGGCTAGCGAGGGTCAGGGGTGTGAAGGAAAGAAGTAGAGAAAAGAAGGGCAAAAAGGAACAACTTTCCCTCCTTCCTTGAGTCGATTTCCTGGGGACAGGAACAAGGGCAAGTGGCTGTGGATTTTCTCACGTACAACGTACAAATAGAACTCTGACGATCTGGTCTCTCCCCTAGCATAAAAAGCTCATGCACGTTGTCAACATTTTCAATCAACGCTCCCATTGTACCTTGTCATCGTCGTCCAGCCTTTGCTGATCCTTCGCTGCGCCTGGTACCCATTGGCGAGGATATTCATCTTCCCTCTCTCCATCATTTTATCATTCACACAGTCTTTTCTCACAAATCCAATCCAATCCAAAACACTCTGAAGTCCCTTTGTTGGTTGTTTGTCGCGTCCAGTTCCTTTTGACTCTAGCTTTTTGTTTTTTGTTCTCAATACTTTCTTTCCTTCTTTCATCCCACCATACCTTCCTTGTCCACCCTGTCACCACCTCTCCAATCCACCTCCGAAAGTGAATTTTACCATGGCCATTCACGCCTGGAAAAGAAAATATATAAAAAAAGACGTTCATAAATTCGTTCAATGCTCTGTCATATCAACGAGCTCGATTCATCCTTGCAACTGTGACAAAAAATATATATGGTACAGCCTCTGCTCAACTTGAAACAACAACCTGGGGCTCTAGGGTAAATATCGGACGAATGGCTTGGTATGGGTGCTAGTCCTAAGTTCGCCTTGACCTGACCCTTATATAATGCACCAACAAGGAGGCCAAGTCCGGTCACTTCCGCTTGGTATCGCGAGAGAAGCTTGCATAGATGGTTGAAAGCAACAAGCGCCTTGAGCCTTGAAGAATAAAAATTTTGCATGGAAAATGTCCAAGTCCAGTTTGAAAATGAGCCAATCAGAATGCAGTCTGCGATTCCGCCCATTGCCACCAAATGGTGTGTAGACACACGTCTGGTCTTTGGTATTCCTGGCTGTACGATACAGGGACAGCTGCATAAGCCATTCATACGTCGATAACGCAACGTCCTGCCAATAGCAATGTTGAGGAGAGACCTCGCCCAATGTCAAGACTATATCCAGACGCACCCGTTGTGAGCATTAGCCGAAACCCGCTCTCCCTTTATGTAATCCAGAAAAACACCGCATTCATGACCAGGGGCATTCCTCAATTCCTCCCTGATAATAATAGCAACAGTGATAGAGCAATCGTTGGTTGAGAAAAAAAGTTGATGTATTGTTTTCATTGAGTGATCCTGGCTTGTTCCATGATAAGGGCCCGAAGTCCCTGCTTCCTTTAGTTCTTGACCTGGATGTTGTACTTCTTCTGGAATGCCATGAACTCGTCCTCCTTGTTCTTGTACTTCTGAACCAGCTGCATCGTCACCGTCCTGATCTATTTTGCGATTCATTCGAAGTGAGAGGTTGGCGTTAGTCAAGGTGGTTAACGTGATATTCACCATCAGTTTTTGATAAGTAGGAGTAACGGGAAGATAGTGAGGGAAGAGATCGAGAAATAGCCCACTGTTCTCCATTGAGTGAAAATGAAAGACGTATCCTGTACAATGACACGACAGAAACTACGAAGCGCTGGTGTCGGCTGTGGATAAGAAGAGTGAGGAAAACACTTACGCCCTCCTGGTTGGTCTTCAATGCGGGGAGGACCTCCTTGACGGTACGTTCTACGAGAACACCTCCGACCAGACGAAAGCATTTCCTGTCTCCATCCAAAGGCGAGATTGTGTCCACGACAAGTCTAGTGGAGTAGAAAAGTTAGAGTGAACCAGTCGCGTTAGTTTCTTCAAGTTCGGCGATAAGTTCCTGTTATCTGTAAGGGGAAGGGAGACATGTTTCAGGGTGGGTGTGATGATGGTGATGTTGATGATGATTGTCCTCTGACAGATGACCTGACTCGTAACAAACGAGGCAGTGTTCCTGTAGTGCTTGTTGACGTTACGTGTGTTCATCGGCCTCGGTCTCGAGTTCTCCAATCTTTTGTGCGAGCTGGTTGAGTTCGGACTTCATGGAGTTGTAGGTCTGGGTGAGTTCCTGGTCGCTGGGACGCTTGCTTGCTGCGCTGCTGCTCGACATTGTATGTTGTAGTGGGTGGTGTCCTGGGTGATGGAGAGAAGCGATGTAACCTTGGCGTGAAGGTGATCAGTTACATTAAGCAAATATATGGTCGAATTTGAGATTCCGAGGGCAGGCGATTTACTAACTTCGGTGACGTAATTCTTGCGCCCATTGTCCTGTTTCGAACGCGACAAATGAAATTGACTCGCGTCGCGTGTCTTCATTTCTTGGCTCTTGCTTGAACTTCATCCGCATTCGAACACACTTATATTCCGCCATTGAACTCGGTTGCCTATCCATTGCCGCTCGTTCCGCTCAGCAGTGATTCTCTTCCCTGAAAAACACGTACGTCAACCATTCCTTCTAAATATCCTACTGCACAAACATCTTGCCAATGCATTACCTTCTCGACGTGGGCGATGGACGAGTCATGTTGGGTCGCCTGTGCAGCTGGGATGCGGTCTGGTGGTCAGTCGTCGTTTGGCCCAGAAAAGCGCCTCGGCGCCCTGGGAATCTCGATGTCTGATATCGCTTTTGAAAAATAATTTCGTTAGCGTTGATAATATGATGCACAGTGCTATATCGTATTTGTCTTTGACAAGGTGTCTCAATTTTTTATTCCTCGGGTACTGGCCGAGACCAATTCCGATCGCCACCATATTCTTCTCCTTCCTCTTTGCGCCCACCGATCCTCCGATGGCATTCAACAGACGGTTGGCCATTGTCCTGAATTCCTCCTGCCTGTCGCACCCTGCATCCCATGCATGACGTTTGTAGAGGATATTGTTGCCGTTGTAAAAGTCATCCTGTGGTTCTTGCGCCTGCTCCAACTCTTCGAGATACTTGATAATGCTCGCACCTTCACCGCGAAATGGGAGCAATCCAAATTCAGGATCCGAGATGGAATGTTCACCACATTTGGGAACAATCTTTTTCTCTTCCTCCATCCAGCGTCGAAGCCTCAGTGTCGGTTGCGATATCACCTTCTGTGGCACAGTGACATTGGGAACGTTGGGCTTGAGGAGGTCGAAGGAGAAGAAGCTGATGATGGTGTAAGGCGGTCGAGACACTTGAGAAAGTCCATGGAGTATGGGCAACTAGGGCAGTAGAAGAGCTCGACAGGGTTGGGGCGGTCGAGGAAGTCAAAGGGGTTGACCGAGTGGGAGCAGCCTAGCCAGCAGAGTCCGGTAACAAGGCGCTGGCTCTAACGACGGGCGCCTGGCTGAGATCGATGCGGAGGATATTGATAGCGTCAAGTTGACAATGTGGCTAGAGTCGAGCGACTTCGCCGGGGTTTGGACGACGTTGCAGATCCCAGTAAGATGAGAGCACAGACCGCCAACAGTGGACGTCAGCCGAGGTGGTTGAAACGACAAAGTAGGAGCTCCTTGAGTTTGCACATCAACAGTTGCAGTCGATTTCCATCGGTCCGGATTGAGGTAGTCCTTGATCTCGTCCATCGTAGTCAACTTGATCTTTCCCCTGTATCCAGCCTTGCCCCGTTGACGACTAGTGGGATCCTTGGGACCGACATCGGCAAGTACCATCTTGATCAGAAAGCGGGGCTCCATAGATGCATCGAAATCCAACTTGTCCTTGTTCTTGACAATGACTCGAGAGTCCGCCAGATAATCTGCCACCATGATTGGTACATCCGTACCTAGTTACAGAAAACATTATTGAGATTAGAAGAGAGTGTCGATTGTGGCATGTCGGCGGCTGGAATAAACGATTGAAGAATTCTGCATTAGGAACTAAAAGTCAAGAATGAGCGTGGTCATCTAGGTCAGCACCATGAATATATGGATACCGAGCGACTGTCAACAATGTTCGGCAACTCCTTTCTCACTTCAGGCACAAGGGATGCAAATCAAGAAACCGTTGGGTCTGTCAAAGCGGAGCGTTGCACGTGATTCGATCACTTTGCTGCAGCCAATTCTTTTGATGCACCCAGCAAGAAGCGAGCTCCAGCCGAGGTACTTATTTTTCTTCTTACTTTCCTTCCTCAACACCACTTCCGACTCAGCGACCCTCTTCATCCTCTTCTTCTTCACACTCACAACACCCAACACTCACCAACCAACAGGAAAAAAAGCATACAACCACAACCATGGAGTTCATGTCAAACCTCGGAGGAGGTGCCCAGGCAGACAGGCCCTCCCTCTTCGAACTCATTGCGCAGGACAAGATGCGAGAGATGCTTGAACCGGCCCTCCGCTATGTCATCGCCGTAAAGTCACCCTTCTATCTCATTCCAAGCTCCGCAACACATCTCATACCATGGACACACACACAGGAGAACAGAGGACACGCTTCTGACGCTGTTACCATTGACTTTTTTTTTTTTTGGGTGGAAACGCTACTGTTAGGTTTATGCACAACGATACCCCCGCTATCTGATCCGGATCGTGAACCGATACGAGGAATTCTATGCGGTGCTCATGTTCTTTGTCGAGCGGCACTACCTCCGTGAATACGGTAAGAGATATACTCGTTTCCGGCTGCCAAGACAAATGTCTTCACCAAACCACGAACGCAACCGATCACTCACACTTTCTTTTTTCTCTGTGCGGTCGAATAGGCGCTTCGTTTGCGGAAAACTTTTACGGACTGAAGAGGGTTAGGGCTCCTCGTGCGGTGAAGCATGCAAAAGTCAACATTGATGACGAGTCCGTCGCTTCCTCAGCAGCGGCAGCGGCAGCGGCGTCGATGTCGGCTTTGCCTGGATCCAACAAGTTGCGCGAGCGGGATATTCGCAAGTCGCTTCTCTTCTTGGTGAGAGACGCCCTTCAGCTTCTTGCATGGACATTATCGGGAAAGCTGTGAATGCTTGAAAAGCTTACTAATACTGGACTATTCGATTATCAAACTGGAATAGATTGGATTGCCATATGTAAAGTGCAAGATGGATGAATACTACGAAAAGGTCTCAGGAGGCGAGGCGGCCCGACTCTTTGGGGACGAATTCACTCAGGAGGAGGAGGATCTCACCGGCGTAAGTTTTCTACTCTGTCCTTAACATCCATCTCAATGTCGCCAGCCCAAGCAACCAACAGTTTCGTCCGACCGCTCAAATTCTAACAACCCTCGGCCTTGTTGCCGTAATTTCTGACTGTGTAGCAACCATTGGGTGTTCGGACCAAGGCAATGGCGCTCAAGCTGTTCAAGAAGGGGTATCCATTTGTGAATGCGCTCTACCAGCTTTCGATCTTGGCTCATTACATTGGATACCTCTACAACAAGACGCCCTATTACTCACCATGGCTTCGTCTCATCGGCATCGAAGTCAAGCGTATGAGTGCCACTGACTATGTACGTCTTCTGCTCTGCTTTGTACTGTCATTGTCCACGTTTGCTTAACCTCCAAATATACAAATGACTGACTTATCATTTTACTTCCGATCAAACAACAGCGCGATATCCAACAGAAGGCCAGGAACACACCCAAGAGAACCTCAAACTCCTTAATCGAATCAGTCCAAAACAACATTCTTGGCCTTCTCTCAGGATCCCTCGACTTCCTCAAGGTCCTCCTCCCCATGTCAATCTTCTTCTTCAAGTTCCTCGAATGGTGGTACCAATCCGACTACTACCGTAAAGCTTCCACAGCAGGAGATTCTGCAGAGGTGCCTCCACCAGCAAGAGTTAAGCCTCACCCTGAAGGTCTGCCTCTGCCAAGAGAGGCCAATATTTGCCCGATCTGTTTGAAGACTATTACGAACCCTACGGCTTTGTCGTCCGGGTATGTGTATTGTTATCCTTGTGCGCATAAGCACGTCGAGGACCATGGACGGTGCCCTGTTACGCTGATGCATTGCCGGACGGATGATCTTCGTAAGCTCTACAATGACGCCGGAATGTAATATAATAATGTAGCAGGAATAAAATTATGCACGCCCTCATCCCTAGTGCACATTCGAGCGGCAGCAGCCTTGAGTTCTGGTTGTTTTTTTGCTTTATTAGTTGTTTTTTGCTTTTCTTTGTGAACATGATGGGAGAAGGCACAAGATTGGAGAAGTACTGTTGTCGAGTTTTTTTTTGCAGCACTACCCTGACGCATTTTTTTTTCTTTCGTAAGGCTGGAATAAACGAATTTAGTGCATAGCAGTTTCGACTAAAACGTGTCCATTTCCACCCGCACCTGCTGCTCCCGCGTTTGCAGCATTTGCAGCAGCAGCGGCTGCTGCTACTGACTGGCGCTCCGTCAAGAACGAATGCAGTTCGTCGTACAATACAAAGTGCAGCTTTTGCAAGTGCTTGATATCAGCGTAGACTAAAGGACATGAACGCAACACATAACCAAAACATTAATTAGCTGTTCATTTCCCTTGTCGCTCTGTCCAATCACTGCGCCATAATGTCAGCAATAAGAACAGACCGAAAAGAACTTACCAGCTTCGGTATAAGGGGTATCTTTCATGTAGACTCGCTGCAGAAAGTCCAGCATAGCTCCAGTCGCGATCACGCATTCTTCAAGGGGCAGCGTCTCATAGTAGCTTAGGTTGATTCGGAACGGGTTGACGGGCGACGGTGACAGCGTCAGTGTAATGATCTCCGCTATAATATCCCACAAGCGCACATCTACACGACAGGACATGAAGAGTACAAGTGTTAGCAATTGCCATGAGCATTCGGCGTCTGTTTGGTTTCCTGTGTGCGGTAGAGGTGAAGGACTCACCATCGGTACGCCATGAAGAGATAGTACTCAGCTTGAGGGGGTCGTTGGTTTCAAACTTTTGGTCGTTGCTGTTTTGAATGAGTCGCTTGTGATTTGACCGAAGCTAACGTTATGGAAAAGATAACGAGGTTGGCGATCAATACTTCATTCTACTTTCCAGTTGACATTCGGCATCCTGGAAACGCTATCGCATCCAATTGGGCGCCTTGATTCCTGTAACTTACCCAGACGTATGGGCATTTGTATTTAGGGTATCCTGCGATCAGAAACGTCGCGCGCGATTCATCCTTTTCCAGATCCGTGTCAACGGGGCTTAATGGCGGTGGTGTTTTCTTTGGTGTGTTCAGTTTTAGTCTAGCAAAGGGATGAAAGGAGAAAATGAAGTCAGTTAGAGAAGGCACCGCCGGCAAAGTCGGCGAAAACAGTAATCCAACGGTGCTCTTCGTAGCATAATCGATTGCGCATAGACGCAAAATTTCCTTAGCCTCGTTATGAAGTATCATTTGGAGGGAGAAGGGGCGGAACTACTTGGACAGTCGATGTCAAAGGGTAGAGAAGGGATCAAGATAGTTGACGCGAGGGAATAATGAGATAAGGGCGGGAGGACTTACGATCGTAATGTTCTTGCGGATAGGATGTTGGTTGGTCTAGGTTGAGTGTATTTGTCATGCAAAGAAAAATAATAAGTCAAGTGCTCGTTTTTGGATATGGACGAGGAAAAAGACAAAAAAGGGCGCATGATAGTGGTGGTAGTCGTGATGATGTTGACGGATGGTGTTCCCGTGCAGTGTTCCTTGTCCGTTGTTATTATTTGCTGTGGTTGTTACTCAGCAAGCGGCTTTCCTCCTTGACCTGTCTTCTATTTTCATCTTCCATCTCTCTTCCTCCTGCAGGGTCGAAACAATTGGATTCATATGTTGTTGTATTTGTTACCTTGACTTTGCAAGGGAGATAGAGCTGGGTTGGATGTTGCTGCCGAGGCCATTGGAGGGCGGTTTGATGTCGTTGTAGACATGCAGGAGGAGCTCCTCTCTTCCGCGCAGATAGACTTCAAAGTAATAGAATCCCTAAAAGAAAGAGACAACGAAAGAGCGTTAGAGGCGCGCGATGTTGTTGTATCGTCAATTGAGGAAATCGAGAATAGATATCCACAAGGTACATTGGTTCAACCATTTCGACAGACGCATGCCCTCTCTTTGTCCTGCCTGTATGAGTTGTTGCCGGCATGGCTGGCTCTGGTATGGGGCGCATTTCACCGCAAGACAAAACAAGCGTTCGCCCCTTCATTGCTTGCCCTTTCCTTTTCTTGACTTTCCCATGCCCTTCACTTGCCTGCTAACTCCTTTTTTTTCCTTTTCCTTTCCGATATGAAAATAATAATCGATAGCGGCAAGAAGGACCATGAATTCCTCTTTGTCTCCAACCCTCTCTCGCACTTTCTCTCCTCCTGGTGTTCAATTGGTGGGTGGGGCTGGTTGGTGTACTGTCGATTCCTTGTCCTACTGTTCGAATTGTGCAGACGGGAAATGTTTGCACCCTTTCCCCTCCTTCCTTCGCTGCCAGCACCTCTGTCGTTGGTGTTGTTCATACCTTGAGGGTGCCGACGAGTAGACACTCGGACAGGAAGGTCGACAGGCGTGCGGTTTCGGATTGTGTGAGTGATTCTCGGCCCTAGTAGGTTGATGAAAGCGGTAATAAGAAAGGTAAAGTTGAGTAAGAAAAGTGTGTGATGGCGATGTCGCGACAGACATGGTTGTTAATGTCGGCTGCTCCTTTTTGTGTCAAGTAGAGGGAGTGAAAGTGCGTGCATGGTTTCCTGTGAGGTTGTTGAACCATTACTTTATATACGCCTGCCATCGGGTGCTGGTTGTTGGTGAATTATGTCCTGAGAGGGCGAGGAAGAGGGTGAGTTGATGAAGGGAATTAGTGGTAGTGAGGCGAAAGGAAGGGCGGGCACGGATGAAAGTTGCGTGAAGTCGAGTAAGAGAGCGAGAGTATGTGTTGAAGATGTTGAAGAAGAAAAAGGAAGAGAGAAAGAGTAAGAGGAGGGAAAACAACAGAGGGGAACAACAGCGAGAGAGAAAGAGAAGCAGGAAAAAATCTTCTTGGGAGCACAAGGACAAAAACATTGAAAGCGACATGACCTACTTCCCACCTACTCCTTGCTCTGGTTGCCGCCCTGTGCGCATTTCTCCCTTCCAGCTTTGTACCTTTGCGTACTCAGCATGCCTATCAAACCCCGATATTGCAGCGGAGTCACCCAGCCCCCCTCATACAAAGGTCGATCAAGACTTATTCCTACCATCATAAGTGACACAGTTTGATGGTGCCTGAGATCAAACCAAGACCTGGCGCAAAGGGTATGGCTGCTGGATGGGGGTCGACCCTTCTGTTAATCATCAATCCTTCTTTTTGGTTGATGAAAGAGAGTTACAGTGTCTTGTGGGCGATATCGACCATACAAAGCAAGGGAAAAATAAAACACCAGTCATTCACCAAACTACTTTACCCAACTCGACTCAATACGCTTGGTCCACCTAGTGTCAAGTTATCGGACACATATCATCTCAAGTCCAACAATCAACCTTCCAATGTCACCCATTCAATACACTGCTGATCCCTTTAACTCAACCCCGATTCCGATGGCCTCCTGCACTTGTCGTACATCCAAAACATCTCACAAAGTCTTCACTTCGCAATCATCACAGCCGGATCAATATGCATGTGCGAATAGAAAGTAGGGGAAAGTCAGTAAACACGAAAGGGAGAAAGAGGGGGCTGTTCCTCCTATTTTTTTTTCTTTCGCTGTCACGCTCAAACGCATTACTATCGTCGACTGTTGCAGGTAGACAATGCATGCACAACGATTACATCGGAAAAGCCAGGCAAAGGGGGAAGGAGAAGGATGAGGAAGGATGAAGAAGGATGAAGAAGGATGAGGAAGGATGAGGAAGGATGAAGAAAGATAGGAAAAGCGTTGTCAACAAAGAGTACCAATGTTGGTGTATGTAAAAGGTACCCAGGAAAGATATCAAACGCTTGACGCGTCAAGGGAAGGGGATAAGGTCAAAGAGTCACGATGACAAAAGCAGCGAGTCAAAAAAAAAAAAAAAAAAAAAAAAAAAAAAAAGAGTCAAAAATTGACGCGTCCCATTGGCCAACAAGCAAGAAAGCATGTTTTTCCTGTCTGTGCAGCAGTGCATGGGGATGGGGTGCAGGAATGAGGGGATGTGCCACGTTTTTTTCTTTCATACTGACCTTGTACTCCTCATGGCAAAGATACACTTTTCAATCAGTTCTTTAGCTAGTCGTTTGTTATGCAGGTGTGTATTTTTTGCAAACGTCCTCCTCCTTCTTACACAACCTTCTTTCTTTCGATTGCGCTTTCATCAGACTGTGACCCAAGACAAAAAGGGAGGAAAGGTCACAGAAAGAACACATCTTGACAAGTCCCAAACAATAAAGCAGGCAGGCATAAAATAACTCCTTCACGTCTGATATCATTGCAAAATAGCCCAAAAAACAACCTCTCCTCTTCATTCCCAGTCGCCAATGTGCGAAATAGCTTACTTAACGCCTATCACACTCCCTTCTTCTACACTTCCTTGAACCTATTTTTCCTTCACAAACATTGCTTCCTTCTTTAATCGGGACTTCAACGTGATGAGATACCCTCTATTGCACAACCACGTCTTCCAAAGGACAAAATAGCAGTAAGGAGACACAGCAAAAGACTAAGGAGCGAATCATAAACACCGATAAGCTTGACCCTTTGTCTGTTGCCCCCTTGATACAGGAATCCTCCGTTATTTTTCATCTGTTATCGCGCTCTCCTCTCTTTCTCTTTGTCGCACTTTCCCTTTCTACCCAGAATTCGGAGAATGATAATGCATTTGCAAAGCAGGGCGAAAATGACGGTTGGCGAACGGCTAGTCGGTACAACGGGGCAGGGTTGAAGGAATAATGTGCAGGCTAAAACGAATGGTTCGCATTGACGACCGTTCACTCCTGCGTACCGTGATTTACACCGAAGTAAAAACCATCCATCGGTAGTAGTAAATATCGCGACACTTCATACCAAAATATAGAATAGAGCAGTGTTCCATTCTCTCATAACAAAGGTAGACACGGTTCCCCCAGCGATACTCTTTTACTTAACCCTTTGGGTTCTTGAGATCCTCTTTTCACACAAAAACTCTTAAAGTGTCCGGTGTCCGGTGTCCACATGCCCACCCTATTTTTATGAGCTTAGGTGCACCAATGGACGACAAGGATACACCCACCCTGGTACTCCTCACCTTTCTACCTTATTGAACTCTAGCAACATCTAGTAGAGCGATCCACGAGATGACACTTTCAACAACAATCCGTCTATCAGACCTAAAGGTTGACGAGTACCTTCAAGGACATACCTCTAACAAATAGGCGGTTTGGGTTGGACGAGTTGTTTACGTATAGAGGTAGCCTGAGGGCGTCTAGTTTATTCTCGTCATCAAGATTGGCACAGGACCAATCAGACTGAAGGGCGAGCTTCCTGAAAGTGGTTAGCAAGCGCGTTATGACTCTGCCAAGAGCTTGTGAAGAAAATGACGCGGAGCGAGTGAGTACCTCTTGGCTCGCGATCCCCTCATCCTCAACCCTCCTCCACATGCTATTCTGCAAACAAAAATGAGCTTTGCCGTTTTGGTCAATCACTACCACTTCAAGCAACATCCAAGGAAGCGAGTAGGTTTGGGGTGACGATGATGCCCGCATTATGCTCTTGTTCTCCCTTCTCCAAAGGTCCTCCTCCATCATGACTGAGTTTGAATGTGGCAAAGACCTTTAAACACAAGTGATGAATGCGAGGGTAGTTGGGTCGCATTTTCCTTTGATTGGTTGGTGCAACCGTTCAACACATACTCATTTGTTTTCATCACCTGTATACCTTTCTGTGCTTTGTCAAAGGAAACGGAGAAAAATGAGAGATGGTAAGAAGAAAGTACCTCTATTCTCGTGAATCACGAGAGGGCTTGTCAAAAGGGAAGGCAGGTAATAAGACAAATTGCATTTTAGCGACGCGAATGTATTTTTATGTTTTTTCTGTTCTTGTTTGCGTACGACAGTTCACTTTAAAAGAAAATATCATCAATGTGTTTTGAATGTCGTTATTCTGAAAAAAGAAGGTTGAAGGGGAAGAGCTAATTCGATTTTTTTTTCTGGTGCACAGGCGGACACAGACGAAATTGAAAATCATCGGGGCATTGGATGGTTGCAGTACTTTATGCTATGTACTTTTTTTTTACCATATTTCTCTTCGCGGTTGGCTCCTTTTCCTCGTCTTCGTTTTTCTTTGTGCTCTTTTGTGTTGTCTTCTACTCCACCAACCAACCCCCGTGCTACTAGTTCAGCTCGTGTTGTTTGTTTTTGTGTTGTTGATTTGCGACAACACAAAAACATTGTGGAAAGATGACAATCATGCCCAGCAAATATAACATCGAATTTGAGCAAGGGTCCAATGCAAGGCAGGTGACAACCAACCCAAGTTGCCTCCTCGACGCCATCAACAAAGTGATGTTTTTTTTCCTTGGCTACAGTTGAAAGCAATCTTCTTTCCCCTGAACCTTCTTTTTTTTAATTCTTTTTAGTCGAGTGGCCATTTTGCCTTTGCATGCGCGTTGACGATGGTTGTTCAACAAAATAAATTGTGAGCGTGTCAATAGTGTTCACATGTAGGTGAACGGGTGTAGGAACAATAATAGTAAGGGCCGATAAAAGTGGTGCTTTCGTGTATGAAGAATATCAAGTTGAATCTGCATATGATAGTCTATTGCAGGAGGCCTTGTATGTTGATGATGAATGACTTTCTTGAACCGGAGAATACAAACATACAGAAATCATCAACAACCAAGCGCACACAAAAGGGAAAGAACAGAATGAAAGAGAAAGCAACGAAGCGAGTTATGACGCATTCGAGTATGAGCGTTTTGTCTTATGTTGTTTTGCTATCATCCTAGTATTCTTGTCCTTCCTTCTCCTCTTTACAATGAATGAAAAATGTATGATCGATGCAGGTCATTGTTTTAAGGTACCCGCCACTACATAAGCCGGACGGACGAAATGCAAGCTGCCACATGTTCGTTCTGCTTCTCGTAAACAAACAGGCATGAAATGTTCCTCTTAACAAATAAATCATCTTCCTGTATTTTAAGCATTCAAATACGTTTTCCTGTTTGGCAAACGAGAATGGCATTCTGGGTGTGTACAACCTGTAGTTTGAGGCGTAAGTTGTGGCCAAATGGTTATTCATCGATGGATGCGACAAAGAACTACTAATGGATAGAGAGGGGAGACTATACATGACGATGTAAGTCATAGGGAGCACAAAAAGGGGACCAAATTGGAGATTGGAACGGGCGCAAACATCCAAAATCTAACGAGACACAACACATCAGGAATCAAGAATCAAGAGCAAGAAAAGAAGGGAGGAGACGAGTACCGTGTGTGGGTAAAGGGGATGCAAGGTTTTGAACACAACACACAACTCCGACAGGTTTTTTTTCATTGTGTGTGTGCCCTATTATCCATTATTTAGCGTGTTGAGATGACGACTACAAGAGGGTGGGTGATAAAGATTCGATTTTTCTTGCTTTTGTGTTTTCTTTGTTCCTACTTCTCAAGTGTGTGCGTCGAACGGTGGAGGCTCAAAACAAGTAAGAGTCAACGGAAGACGCAGGTGTCTAGGAAGTCAAGGAACTGACTTTCAAATTCC